AATTATAATGAAAAATAAAGATTCACAATCAAGTATTATTTATCAGTATAATATTTCAAAAGATGACAACCCCCTAATTGTATACATATTATTTACATACTGTTCCAGCTTAAAATAATACAAATATTTGGAGAAAAAATATGCATTTAATAGAGTATTTAATATAACAGTGTTCCTAATTTAGTCTCTTAGAAGATTTAATAAATTCTTGTACATATGAAAATATTTTACAATTTGTTTGTTAAGAGTAATGACATTTTCCTCTGAGCAGAGTGTCGAGTTCAAAAACAACATCAATATCATTTAATTTTTTTACCAATAAATTTCTTTCAACATTATATGATGGGCAGTTCAGTATCTTCAGTATGAAATCCACAATTTTGACATGATTGAATATCTGATAAAAAATGATTTTTTAAATGTGCATTAAGATTACTAGCATTGTTTTGCAACTAACAATGCAAGATATTTTCTTTTCTATTACCAAAGTTAAAGTACCTACAAGGTTTATTAGTTGCTCCCCAATTTTTAAGTTTTGCTTTAAAAATAGGTAACGAAGGAGAGTTTCTTTGTTATATAGTGCACGTTTCGAATTCTCCAGAGCAAAACATGGACAGGGCCATTTTTTCTATAATATTGAAGGGTGTCAATCTCTTATCTGCAACTCCTCCCATATATATATACCAGTGAATTGTTAATTCTTTCACAAATTCTTTATACAAAATGCCGTTGTTATGTTACTTTTTAATCTGACACTTATTTCGGGTCTCTCAGAGCAAAACGTTTATTTTGCCACTATAATTAATCATATGGGAGACGGGTGTATCATTTAGTGAGCTCAGAGCTCTAATAGTATACATGTACTATCATTTCATAGAAAAACACGGTTTGGGGCCGGGCTAATTTTGAAAATTTTAATCTTGGTATGCTTCCAATATAAATAATAATATGACTAAAAATAGCGGCGGGAAAATACTTTTTTAAAAATTGATCCCTACACCCATAAGTCATAAATAGAACATTTTCGAATGTACACCAATACTATCCGATTTTTCCAAAAATATGACTTATCGCGTCTTTGCTGTTTTCAAGAAGAAAAAATAAACTAGAGGAACTGTGAACACTGATTATGTTCGTAGTTAAGAGCAAGCTCTTAATTGAGTTGAGAATAATTTAAGGTATGTCAATAGTCAACTTTTTTTTAGAAAAGTTCACGTAGAACCTCTTACTTCAAAACTATTTAAAATTCAATTTTTATGACATATCAAAATTCAACAATTTAAATATTTTTTAATATTCAACGAAAAAAACTGTTAAAAAAAATCTAAAGAAAAAAGCCAGATTTATGATGGACTATTTTTTGTGGTGGAAGGATATCTAGCAGAAAATTCTGCAAATCATTTTAACATGGTGAAAATTTAGCCTCACATACTTTTACTTGTCGAATATTTTCCGTTATGATATTGCTAGGATTATTTAATATAGGTCTTAATTTATATTTTTAGAACAAGTTTTAAACCTTTCCTCAACAAACTTTGCCAAAATATGAAGATATGTTAAAGAAGTCATGGTAAAATTTACACCATTTTTCGCCTGAAAATTACATATTTTGACCAATATTTTAAAATTAAAATCAATGACCAACTTTTTCTTTCATTTTTTAAACTACTCAATGCTTGTGACTGATCAGCATTTAAGTCGTAAAAAGTTTTATATAAGAAAATGTTTTATTGCTTGTTTTTTTTAGATACCCCCAAACATGTTACTTTTTAGTGCAAAAAGGTCACACATTAATTTCCTAGATTATTTCAATTAAGAAATAAAATATCATTTTTTTTAGAGTTTCAATGGGTTGTGACATGAAGTCGGTCACGTGATCAAATTCTATAACGTCCGAAGGGCGTTATAGTAGATTTGATCACGTACCGACTTCATGTCACATCCCAATGAAACTCTAAAAAATGATATTTTATTTCTTACATTTTATACAATTATTGCTGTTTTTTGAGGTCAATACAATGATTTAGCCATCTGAGGAGTACAATATTCACCGAGCCCGAAGGGCGAGGTGAACATTGTACTTCGAAGATGGCTAAATCATTGTATTGACCAAAAAAAAAAAAATACAGCAATAATTGTTTTATTATATGATTCACTGATAAAATGATACAGCTCATTACTTTTTAACTTGCATTTAATTAAGTCCTAGCCAAATACAAGAGAGAAACAGAATTAAAATGTGATTAAATCTTACCAGTCGTATCAATTTGAAATGTATTTTATTTTAATCAATTTTAGTTGTCATGAAAAAAATAATATAATGTCAGTCTTTTTATAGGATAGATTTTGAAAGGAAGGAATATTATCAGGGAAAACTGACTGCCAAAAAGTAAAAAAAAAAAAAACATGATGTTCAGTTAAAGTGTTGGAGGGGGGTCCCTGCATCCCCTCTTACCACCCCCACCCTAAAATATAATGTTCGCTTGTGTTTTTTTCACATGAAAAAAAATCACAGTCGTTAAAATAGCTTTCCAAAACAATTTGTATCAATTTGGAATTTCCCAGTCTATTTTTAGATCAATGTAGAGGAAATAAATCCTTGTATTGACCTGGAATGTCACGTGCAGGTCAATACAACGTAGTATTTTTCTAACATAGTTGGATCTCAGCCAATCAGAGAGATGGAAATTATTCAATCATATAATAATATACAATTATTGCTGCTTTTTGAGGTCAATACAATGATTTAGCCATCTGAGGAGTACAATATTCACCGAGCCCGAAGGGCGAGGTGAATATTGTACTTCGAAGATGGCTAAATCATTGTATTGACCGAAAAAACAGCAATAATTGTTTTATTATATGAATCACTAATAAAATGATACTGTACAGCTCATTTCTTGTTTGCATTTTATTAAGTCCTAGCCAAATACAAGAGAGAAGCAGAATTAAAATGCGAATAAACTTTACCAGTCGTATCAATTTGAAATTTTTTTTTATCAATTTTAGTTGCCATGAAAAAAAAATATATACATGTAATGTCAGTCTTTTTTATAGAATAGATTTTGAAAGGAAGGAGTATTATCAGGGAAAACTGACTGCCAAAAAGTAAAAAAGAATTCTTCAGCAAAAGTGTTGGAGGGGGGTCCTTGCATCCCCTCTTACCACCCTCACCCTAAAGTATATATTCGCTTATGTTTTGTTCACATGAAAAAAAAAATCATAGTCGTTCAAATAGCTTTCCAAAGCAATTTTTATCAATTTGGAATTCCCCAATCTATTTTTAGATCAATGTAGAGGAAATAAATTCTTGTATTGACCTGGAACGTCACGTGCAGGTCAATACAACGTAGTATTTATCTAACATACTTGGATCTCAGCCAATCAGAGAGATGGAAATTATTCAATCATATAATAAATATTTTTATATTTTATATTCCGTGTTACAAGGAAAAATAGGCGCTATTTAGACATTGTTATAGAAATGCAACATAACGTAACTACGGCGTCATATGACGTCACAGTCAAGACTTTCTAATAGTCTCGTGCGGTTTGCCCAACTGCATGTCATTGAAAATTGAATGTCAAATTTATTTATATTGTCATAAGGAAAGACATTAGTAAATGTAAATATTGATAAATATTATTCAAACCATATACGTCAAGACACTCGACTTGAGAATGAGCCTTATTTTAGAATTATCAATTGATCTTTTACAAGTTTGTGTTATAATTTTGATAAAGATAACCTTTTTGTTACTTTAACTTAGTAAATCATATTGATACTGGACCATTTGAGAAAAATATTAAGTAAAAATAGAACTTACATAGCGTCGGAATTGAAAATTTACATGTAAATATCCTACACTTAAAGTTTTCTTAAGAAAATGGCTAAAAAACTAAAAGTTTCAGTAGATGACGTCACAATATTTGACCTTTGACCTCTTGATATGACCTTGACCTTTATAGTACACAAAGAACAGAGAGTCCTTATATGTGTGTCCAAATGTCAGGCCTCTACTATTTATTGAACAAAAGTTACACTGCATTTTATATCAGACTGTTACATACTTGTTTACTGCACTTAGCGTAAACACATTCCAAAATGTAAGCTCCCAAGTGACCAATACAATGTATATATAGGATTATCTGATTTTTTCCACAAAATATGACGCAATCATTTCAAAACTTGTAATTTTTCTTACAGGGGTCATTCATTGTTGTCAATAAAGCAATATTATTCTTTTATTCTACAGTATTTTTTAAGAAATTAGTAAAAATAGAATCCAGGGGTTTTGCACTACCTTAAGTAATTAACCACAGAGTTAAAATTTAAGTGCACAAAGGTCAACTTATAATTAATTGTACCGTAGATCAGCAAGATGCACACTGACCCCCTATAAGTATTTTCTCTGTGATTTTGAGTTACACTGTATGAGTACTTATCAAAAATACTTATACTTCTCAAAAAATCCTTGACTTAACAAATTTCATGAGTGACATACCTTAATAATCATAAATGCCATATAGAAACTCAATGTAAATTTCATAGGCATAAATACCATATACAGCATCAACGTAAATTTATGTCAGGAGCCAAGGAGACCTAATGCACATGTCAATCTTTTGCATGTGACTTTAGGGATGCCCAATACCTGTAAATCTCATGAGGCTGTCTGTGTTTGATTTAATGGGCAGGGCCTATCTTAATTTACTCTCAAATCACAATCCAATGGAAATATTATGAAATCAGTCTAGTTTATAGTAGACTGTGCCAGTGCATCTATAATTGGAAACATGGGATAATTTGCATTTCGGGTATTAAAAGCAACTACCACTGATACTGACTCTGGCATACTCTACTAACTAGACAATGGTTCCTTAAATATTAGTTACTCATAACTAGTCATAAGCTTTGACCTGAAGAAATGTCATCAGAGTCAAAAAAAAATTCGAGTTCTAACTTTCTTACTGGTTATTAAAAAATACATACAACAATCTTTTTAAGTTACTAGGTTTATTGTTAAAATGAAGATACTAGCACAATTTTAAAATTACACAGACAACACAAGACGTCACTGATAAGAGTAAAAAAAACATTTGTGCTCAGTTATATTTTCTCAAATGAAAAAAAGAAGAGAAAGAAGACAGTCAAGAAATACTTGTAAAAACACTGCTGCACATAAAAACAGAAATTTCCCTGACTGTTCATGATTCAATGATGATCAGCATGGCTTGATGCAGTAAATCAAAGGAAATCTTGATAATTACTTCTTAAAAATTACTCATTTTTTTTTTTTTTAGAAATGTTTTGATATCTTAGTATGAAGTAAAGCGTGTGATAATCTTCATCCAAAAGACATCATCATGTCATAGAAAATCATTCTCAAAAAGTATTAAGTGGAGAACAACTCCAATATGAATCAAACTTGAATTGTAAAGATTAACACAATTTTTGGAATGAAAATTACAAAATACCATGCCACAATGTCCTGAAAATGTCTGCTGCATTCATGATAAAAATTTTCAATGTCTATATGAAAATAAGTTTTTATGATTTCACGAAGATGAGATCATGCACGTTCTCCTCGAATCCTCCTTGCCAACTGAATGTCTTTCGGCATAATTGTGACTCTCTTTGCGTGGATGGCGCACAAGTTAGTGTCTTCAAATAATCCCACAAGGTAAGCTTCACTGGCCTCCTGAAACACCAGAAAGATACAAATGAACTACCCTACTAAAACATTATTTTTTCACAATACATTTTGCAACATTTAACCGTTTTTCTTTTTTGGACAAATATAACTTTTATTCTTTTTTCAAAAAGTAAATTAATCAGATAAATCAAGACCTTTTAACCCTTTCAGAATAAGTATCATTTTACAAAAATAATGTATGACCATGATGACCAACCTGCAAAGCTCCAATAGCTGCACTCTGGAATCTCAAGTCAGTTTTGAAGTCCTGAGCAATTTCTCTCACAAGACGCTGGAAAGGCAATTTCCTGATCAGCAACTCAGTGGACTTCTGGTACCTCCTGATTTCTCTGAGAGCGACTGTTCCGGGCCTGTACCTATGTGGCTTTTTCACTCCACCAGTTGAAGGGGCACTTTTACGTGCAGCCTTTGTGGCCAGTTGTTTACGAGGAGCCTTACCTCCAGTACTTTTACGAGCTGTTTGCTTTGTACGAGCCATTCTGAAAAACAAATTCATTCAACAATCAGATATGCAAAGGTTTCTGTAGCAAGATTATTGCGCAAGAATATTCTATTTATGACTTTCGGGAATTCCATTAAAATTTATACAAAAAAAAAACGAGCAAATTGCATCTATATATGGAATAAACATGTTTGGGTTCGTGAATATGCGTACACTGGATGCCAATTTATGTTTTGAATTATCGAGGGTTGTCTTCAATGCCTCACACGTTGTTTATTTTTAGATCAGAAAATGGCGGTCAATTCATCCATTGCTACACTTTTCTTTGTCCTTGATTCTATGTTGTATTTATGGCTTTTAAACAATAATTCCAGTCAAATATTTGATATTTTGATAATACGTTATTTCTAGAAAAAAAAATTGTGTTTAGGTAAAGACCTTAAATTCCTCACTTACCTGTCAAAACTCTCTACTTCTCACGCTAACTGAAAACTTCCGACTTACAACGATGAATAAATTATTTCCAACGAACTACTTCGTTTGTTATATAAAACGTCATTAGTTGGCGCTAACCTCCAACCTCAACATCGATTGGTCAAATTTGAAAATTACTCATTGGGCGACCTTTTCCATGACCTCAAAAATTATTGGTTCATTTCGGAGAACTCTGATTGGCTGAAACTAAATCATATTTCAATCCACCTAGTGCGTTCAGAAGAAAAAAAAGGGGGGGGGGGTATCTTTGGAAATAAAAATGTTATTGTTTTTTACAAAAGCAAGTAAAAAAAAAACGGATAAAGGATAAATTCAAAGGTATTGTTCAAAGTCATAAGGGCTAAAACAGACTTTTCCTCATGTCCGATCTGACTCACTTTATTTATAAATAAAAATTTGAAAGACTATGAAAAACTTTAACTGAAATTAAGAGCAATAAATAATCATCGAAAAGAATCACACGAAGTATCTTTTTTTTAACTGTAACTGATATGTACAACAAATAATGAAAATTTCCACGATTTACATAAATTTCCAAATATCTATACAGGAATTAAAACCCAAAATAAAACACTGTCAGAGGATTTTATTCTTTACCGATGGATCCGGCACTTCTGTCAAACTATTTGAACTCATCTAGAATACTAGCGGGCCAGCAAAATTACATTCCTGTGATTTATCTTTTTTATTTCTTTTAGTTTCTCTTTATTATTTTTTGAATTCAAAATATTCATATTTTAGGTTGGTCCATGCTTTCAAAATTTCCTGTCAAACTATTTTTTTTTTTTTAGATAAACCCAATAAATCACATGCCTTTAGTTGCGGGCTTATTTTCATACAAATTACATGTATTTTTGATTAACTGCTTTCAAAATTTCCTGTCAAACTATTTTTTTTTTTTTATAGATAAACCCAATAAATCACATGCCTTTAGTTGCGGGCTTATTTTCCTACAAACTACATGTATATCTTTGATTAACTGATTAAAAACCTCTCAAAATTCACCTGCGAAAATTTAACACAGATAAGTAGAGCGTATGATCTTACATTTTATAACACTCCAGCTTAACAAGCGGGAGGGTATAATAGTATAATCGGTACGTCCGTCCGTCTGTCTAGCTGTACGTCCGTCTGTCCGTCTTTATGTCTGTCTGTTACGCTTTGGGGTACCCATATGATCTCTTATCCGCAACTCCTCTTATAAATACCACTGAGTGAAATTTAATGATTCACAGAATCTTTATTACAAATTGCCATTGCGCACCTCCTATTTTACTTTTTGATCAGACACATATTTTGGGTTTCCCGGCCACAGCTAAACATTGACTTTGCCATTGTAACCATATGGAAGGCGGAGGTATCATTTAGTGAGCTCATTGCTCACAATACCTCTAGTTTAGTTATATACCAAAACATACCATATACAGATTTTAAAACACACACACACATACAAAACAAAGAAAAACTTGTAAAAATTATGGAATCCGGATAGGGCCACGCAGTTCACTATCGCATCATCGCACCATCGAGATTTGAGTCGATGGTGCGATGACGCGATAATGCGATGACGATGAAGCGATGGTGCGATAACGATGAAGCGATGACGCGATAGCGCGATGACGATGATACGATGGTGCGATAATGCGATGACAATGATGCGATGGCGCGATGAAGCGATAATGCGATGACGCGATGGCACGATAGCGATGCTGCGATGGCGCGATAGTGATGATGCGATGCTATATCGTGTCTATCGCACCATCGCAGCATCGCTATCGTGCCATCGCGTCATTGCATTATCGCTTCATCGTACCATCGCATCATCGCCATCGCATTATCGCACCATCGCATCATCGTCATCGCGCTATCGCGTCATCGCTTCATCGTTATCGCACCATCGCTTCATCGTCATCGCACTATCGCGTCATCGTACCATCGACTCAAATCTCGATGGTGCGATGATGCGATAGTGAACTGCGTGGCCCTATCCGGATTCCATAAAAAATCAAAAAATTAATTCGCTAAGAGATTTTTATAAAAAGATTTTCACTGGAAACAATAACGAATTGATGCTGAACATGTACAGCCACGTAGCATTGTTTTTGAAAGGGGGGGGGGCAGAGATTTTTTTTTCACTTACATGGGGGAAAAGCAACTTTTTTCAATGCCAACTACTTTCAGTACCAATTTTTTTATACTACATTTTCCTTATATCACAAAGACTTGCGGGGGGGGGGGGGGGGGGGGGGGGCAGGTTTTCAATGAACATATCCTATAGTATAAGTAATGTTGGGAAAAAAAGTGGGAGGGCCAGGCCACCCCATGCCCCCCACCCTCCATTGCTCCAAGTCTGATGTAAACCCCCATTCTGTGGATATCAAGTTTTACAATTATTTTTTTTTTTGGGGGGGGGGGCAAAATTACAGGAAAACAAGAGGCCCATGGGCCACATCACTCACCTGAGAAGCTTTGACCATTCTGTTCTTTACCAGATTTCACCCTTGTTATACATAATGCATCCCCACCCTACCCCACTGATCATAATTTAGACATTTTGAAATCTACCCTACCCCATGAACTTTCCATGGGCACATATGTTTCAGTTTTTTTGGCCCAGTGGTTCCTGAGAAGAAGATTTTCAAAGATTTTTCCTATATACTTCTATGTAAAACTTTGATTCCCTATAATGGCCCCACCCTTCCCCCGGGGGTCATGATTCCTAAAATTTAGAATTTACACTACCCAAAAATGCTTCCACATAAGCTTCACTTTTTCTGGCCCAGTGGTTCTTGAGAAGAAGATTTTCAAAGATTTTTCCTATATATTTCTATATAAAACTTTGATTCCCCATTGTGGCCCCGCCCTTCCCCCGGGGGTCATTATTTGAACAATTTAGAATCTACATTATACCAGGATGCTTCCACATAAGTTTCAGCTTTTCTGGCCCAGTGGTTCTTGAGAAGAAGATTTTCAAAGATTTTTCCTATATCTTTCTATTTAAAAATTTGATTCCCCATTGTGGCCCCGCCCTTCCCCCGGGGGTTATGATTTGAACAATTTAGAATCTACATTATACCAGGATGTTTCCACATAAGTTTCAGCTTTTCTGGCCCAGTGATTCTTGAGAAGAAGATTTTCAAAGATTTTTCCTATATATTTCTATATAAAACTTTGATTCCCCATTGTGGCCCCGCCCTTCCCCCGGGGGTCATTATTTGAACAATTTAGAATCTACACTATACCAGGATGCTTCCACATAAGTTTCAGCTTTTCTGGCCCAGTGGTTCTTGAGAAGAAGATTTTCAAAGATTTTTCCTATATATTTCTATGTGAAAATTTGATTCCCCATTGTGGCCCCGCCCTTCCCCCGGTGGTCATGATTTGAACAATTTAGAATCTACACTACCACAGGATGTTTCCACATAAGTTTCAGCTTTTCTGGCCCAGTGGTTCTTGAGAAGAAGATTTTTAAAGATTTTTCCTATATATTTCTATATAAAACTTTGATTCCCCATTGTGGCCCCGCCCTTCCCCCTGGGGTCATGATTTGAACAATTTAGAATCTACACTATACCAGAATGCTTCCACCTAAGTTTCAGCTTTTCTGGCCCATTGGTTCTTGAGAAGAAGATTTTCAAAGATTTTTCCTATATATTTCTATATAAAACTTTGATTCCCCATTGTGGCCCCGCCCTTCCCCCGGGGGTCATGATTTGAACAATTTAAAATCTACACTACCCCAGGATGCTTCCACATAAGTTTTAGCTTTACTGGCCCAGTGGTTCTTGAGAAGAAGATTTTTTAATGACCCAACCCTATTTTTGTTTTTTCTTGATTATCTCCCCTTGCGAGGGGATATGTCCCTTCATTTTAACAATTTAGATTCCCCTTCACCCAAGGATGCTTTGTACTAAGTTTGGTCAAAATTGGCCCAGTGGTTCTTGAGAAGAAGTCGAAAAAGTGAAAAGTTTACAGACGGACAGACAGACGGACAGACGGACGGACGACGGACAAAATGTGATCAGAAAAGCTCACTTGAGCCTTCGGCTCAGGTGAGCTAAAAATCAATGGGCCTATTCCAGCTTCAGAAAAAATCATTTTTTGTTTAATAAAAGCTCTTTTCTTTCAAAGAAATCTTTATTATTTTTTTTAAAATAAAAAAGTTTACCATGTTTTAATACAATGATAATTTTATTTCTTTTTTCAAACTTATAAAAAGAAAAGAGGAGGAGGGAGCCATAAAAAATTACAGGCAAAAAAAAAAAAAAAAAAAAAAAATCAGCATTGATCAAGCTCAAAAGCATGGTACACCTCACCCATCTATAAGATTGATCAAACCCATATCTTTTTTTATAGACAGTCAGTAACAATCTACCTTTAATAACAAATAATACAATTATTATATAAGCTATATTTCAGAATATAGTTTGAGTTGGACATGCAACATCATAAACATCTATTTCGATTTTACATTGTAGGTAGGATTAATCAAATACAGATACATGTAAAAAAAAAAAATTGAAAAAATCTTATTTTTCCCCTAAAGAGGGATTATGGATTGTTGTCTGGTTTCTGAGTAAATGAAATATTAAACGTTTATATGCTTTTACTGTGTCTAACATACTACATGTAGTGAGATGTAAGAGCTTAAGAAGATTGTAAATTTTTTTTTCCTTCTCATATATGTACTACCTTTAATACATATGATATGTAAACTTAGTTTGAAATCTAGCAGGAATTTTTTTTTGGCTGAGTAGTGGCATATGACATTTTTTTCCCTTTCTGCCTCTTAAAATTACTACAAACTAGTTAAAATATTTAAACAGTCAAAGAAATTTTTGAATTGATTGTAATTGAGGTTGTCAAAGAAACAAAACTAGACTCTATTTCGATTATCCTTCACATTATGACATATACTTATTTTATTACAGACATTACAGAGGCATATACTCCATTATTTCTCCACTGATCTTAAATCTTGTGATACAAGAAATTCAGATGTCTGCTAAGCTTGGCTCCCTGCAGTGTAATATTTTTTCAGAATGACATTGACCAGTTCTGTAAAAGATTACATTTACTTGTTCACAGGGTTGGCCATAAGACCCTCGGCTAGGAAATCTCCCTGCCAATAATGATGTCATCTCCTGGTTAGTTGATATTTGTCCTAAACTTAACTCCCCATTACGAGGGGAACTCCAGATCCCCTTCTACTTTTAAATGTCCCCTTCTATTTCCACTCAGAGCTCCTAAGATGGCTTGTACCTTACACACTAACTTCTGATGTCAAAGGTGTTCTACCATCTTGCTGATTCGATGTGTGATCTTATTCAAATGTTAAACTTTTGAAATCCAAGTTACTTTAGACTTTAGGCAGAGCGAAATATGAACTGAGTGACATGGCAGTTTCCAATGAAAAACATGTATTGACCTAAGGGTATTCCTCCAGGTTCCACCTTTCACATCTGAGGTTTGAATGGAGCATAGCGGAATCAGCTGAGGATTGCTGATGTTCTATTTCAATGCTAACTTCTAAGGGACAACCCTGTGTTCATATTGTTACATTAACTTACAGAACACAAAAATACATAAGACACTGAAAGAAGCAAACAAAAAATACTGAATACATTCATTATAAACTTTATTCCTTCATAAAAAAAAATCATTCCAATCCTTCCAATTTGTCTTCATTTTCTTTTATTTCTTTTTGTATGTCTACCAATTTCTTCTGATAAAACAAAGTGTCTTTGTATGTTCCAGTTTCAAGAATTTGAGCAATGGCTTTTACGCACATTTTTTCGTCAAGTTTTAACAATCGCAAATTTGATTTAATGTCACTGTCATTTTCGCTTTTAAGGGACATGTAGAGAAAATACACAAGAACACAAAACATAAAGGAAATAAATGCAACTCCCGAGTTTGAATCCATCTCTGCTTTGATTTCCTCAAAGTTTTTCTGACGAATTTCATCTGTTTTAGCAGAATATCCCCCTTTATCTGTAAATGTGTCACTTTTCTTGAATAAATTCATACTGGTAGTAGAGAGAGATCTCTGAAAAAGTCTGGAAAAGATAAAAATATTACAGCATTTGCCATTTATCATTTTATGATGATCTTGATCTGAGCATATAAATCATGATGTCGTGTAAAGGAACTAAAATGATGTAAAAAGTAAAATTTACTTTTAAAAATAATATAAGATGTTTATTAAGTAATGATAGAGAAATCAGTGACCTATATACTACTAGTATAAAGGTCCCTGTTGAAACTCAGTATCCAAGTACAACAAAGGCTACATTTATGTAAGCACCATAAACAGATAAATGTGAAATTGTCTACATTTCTAAATAAAGATATAAACTCATGAAGCAAACAAAAAAGTACTTGCTTTATAAAATTCCCCCGAAGTATCGCTCGTGAAGAACGAACAGCTAAGGAGCACATGATGACTTTCAAGTTTTGGTCTACAGCCAAAGTGAAAGCAAGTTTATTACGCAAGATGGCCTAAAGGAGAACCAGTTTAGTTACTGTGATATTAATTCGTACGTAAAATGGCCCTTTTTAAACACTTATCAATGAATATGGACAAAAGTAAATTCTAATATGAATAGCAAAAATTAATTGAAAAAATCTCAACTTTAGATGAAAGGAAGTATCACTTCATACAATTTAACCACAGACAGAACTCAAATAAATCGAAATAATACAGACCACGTTAGCTAAATTCTCTTAGGCCCTTCAGAAGGCGCGCTATGTATATTAGGTTCAGATTTTTACTTTTTAGGAAATACTGTACTTCTTCAAACAGTGATATGGTTAAGGTGCTTAATGTTGCTGAGAAAAATGATGCAGCAAAAACTCTTGCAAATGTCATGTCACGAGGGAGTGCCAGAAAGGTGATAACTTATTTTTGAATGTCAGCAATCATCCTTTTAACACTACAGGTTCATTTAGCTACGTACCTAGCCTTTTAGCCTTATTTAGGTACTTCAGTACTTGCAGATGAGTGACCAGGTTGAAGTTTTTGGAGCAGGTCCATTCCCAAGTAACTATAACCCCTACTTGGACCAAACTTGCATGGATGATGCATATAGGGATGGACACTACCAGACTTGCTTCGGATGCTGGAACTGACTTACATATTCCAGATGAGTGACCAGGACAAAGGTTTTGGAGCAGGTCCATTTCTAAGTAATTATAAACCCTATATGCACCAAACTTGCATGGAAAATGCATCTAGGGATGGACACTACTAGACTTGCTTCGGATGCGGGATCTGACCTACATTTTCCAAACGAGTGACGAGGTTAAAGTTTTTGGAACAGGTCAATACCCAATGAACTTTAAGACCTATTTAAACAGAACTTGCTTGAATATTTTGTTAGAATAAATACTAACTTTTAAGAAAATATGATGTGAGACTTGCATTACCTAAACTGATATCATTCGTCGAGGTGAGCTTTGTAATCTTTGATTACCTATGTTTCTAAAATCTAAATGTTTAAATTGCATATAGCATCATCGTACATTATAGAAGTTAAGCAAAGGTGAATAATAGGGGTGTGCAAATTGCCGCCAAATTCAAATATTATTGATATATTGGTTCACTTCAAACTTTTAGTAAAATGCAATTCAGAATATTGTAGTATTTATGATATTGCAATATGTTATCTAATATTGCAGTATTTCACAATATAATTTTTCTGTTGATATGCACCCCTATCATTTAATTATAATATTGGAACTTTAAAATTAATTAAGGAGAAAAAGTTCCCTCCTTATTATCCTTGGACCCTGACCTCCATGATTCTTGATACACACTACCCCTAGATAAATGGATAATTATATGAAAAAAGTGGACCTACTGTAATACTTGTTGTTTTGGTTTTTTTTAGAGGGAAGGGTTTTCCAAGTTTAACAAGATATATGAGTTTAATTACAACATACTAAACAAGAACTGTTTGATGATGATGACCTCTGTCAGTGGACATCTGTTGGAGCTGGACTTTGTTGGACAATATCGCAAATGGTAAAGTATAAGTAAAAAGTAAATTCCAGAACTTCCCTAGAGGAACATAAATTTTTTTTTATAATTTTAGTGATATAAAGCTAATGACAGGGATTTTTGAATGTAATATTTTTTTGTACTTGGTTAAGAATTTTCAAAGTTTGCTAGAAATATACTGGTAAAAGTATACTGTGCATGTACATCATTAATGCATTCAAAATTTAGTGCAATAAATGGATATGCAGTCGGTGGTGTACCGGTAAAAATGACTTATCACTACACATGTCTGTGCTGTATATATATAAATAAATGATTTTTTAGCGGTATTCATGAATTAGTGCATCGTTGTCTGTGCCAAAGCTGCCAAAATAAGAATTTCGCATTTTCATGAACACTACAATACTTTATGATCGCTGTTTATTTGTCTTACACAGCTTGTTCAAAGTTTTCAATGAAATTGCACATATGCTTACTGGTAAGAATTCCTTTAAATTGGGTTGAAGTGTGTTACAAAGGAGACAATTAGTATTGTAATACACAAAGTTTGAAATTATTTAAATTCTACAAATTTCTGACTTCTTCATCCACTGTTGTCTGTAGGTGTTTATACATATATTCTAGAAAGGCGTTGTATGCGAATAAAAATTTATGGAGGTGGCTGATACAGAGTTTGTAAAGCAGAAAGAAGATCAAGTCAGTATTGAATTATTATCAATATTGGATGAATCTTTGGAACTTTCCAAGACCATTGTACTTTTATAATAGGTCTATTTGTCTCTGTTACTCTGTGTGTCATCCTGGCTGTATGAAGACATTGATGGTTTCTATTTAGTTTTGTCTTCCTTTCTGCACCTTGGTTCATGGAAGTACATGTACATCTTTATATGATGTAAATGTTTGTCTTCCTTTTTGTTCATGTGACTGCCACACCTACAATTTCATCACAGGAATATACCTTAATTATGAAGTTCAGGGTTCGACATTCGCGCTCGTCACCTGGCCATTTCCACCCTAAAATGATTTCGGACGACCTGATTTTCAGTCTGGCTCGCCCAAATGACGACCTGGGACAAGTTGGGAATATTTAATAATTATATTTAATATTTTAAACTAAACTTCATAGACCTTGAAAACATATTTTCCTGTAACAAAACCAATTCATTCAACATGTTCAAATTGCAGCCGCGAAGATTTTTGCCAAAGATCCTGCCAAATCTTCGTTCGATCAATCAGCTGATGCAATTTTTACTAAAAGTCTTTCATAAAGTATTATTTGAGATATAAAAAATGCCAACTTAGTCAACAATCACCTTAAATATAAATAGTAATAATCATCATTGTTACATCTTGCATTTCCCCTACAACTTTCTGATCATAATGATCGTTTTCTGCTGCTAGACAGCCATTTTGGGTGTCCACTGTAATGTAACACCTGATTAATTCAGTCCAGGGTTATTTGACTCTATATATTTAGGCCTTCATGGCAAGTGAAAATGAATGTTTTAAGCTACAAACTTTAGCATTCTGCATGTCTGATTCTGGCAAATCTGCTTATATTTTTGTTTGATAAAATACTAGAAGACATCTTTAAATTCCAAAAATGTCTGGTTTACATTTTTTAATACAAAAGTGAAAAACACAACTTCTATTAATTATCTTAAGAAATTGTAAACAATTGCACATTAAGTTTTGTTTCAACTGATTTTATTTGGACGACCTGAAATTCATTTGGGCAACCTGTGATCATACCAAGGTTGCCCGAATGGCGAGACCAAATTTTGACGAGTGTCGGACCCTGGAAGTTTATATTTCAAATCTGATAAATACTTTTTGATATATCAGAAGTTGAGAAGAAAAGTCAATGAAATTTATTGGATCTGAATTTATACTGATTGAACTGTTTAACTTCCATTGAAAATCAATGGATCAAAGTTATTTTTCAATATAGATGATTTTACATCTGATTCCACAGGAACTCCTGCAATCCATTATCCCTGTTTGATATCCAAGTGGAGAAAAAATGTCCAGAAAAATTTAATGATATCAAGGTAAGAAAATCTGCATGCAAGTTTTGGTTTTAAAAAAAAAATGAAAAACTTAAGTAAATTTGGCATAAAAGTGAATATCTTGCTTGTCACTGCTAGAGAACTCTGGAGAGGGAGGCTAGGAGCAGTCAGTATTTGATTATCTGGACAGATTGTGACAGAGAGGGAGAAAATATAGGGTTTGAGGCCATTCAAGTTTGTAAAGCAGGTATTAAACAGATAGAACAGTAATTATTGTACAGTAAAACTTGGTTATAATGAAGTAACAGGGATCTATAAAATTTCTTCGCTATATCCATAATTCGTTATATCCGTATAAGGAATTTGTTAGATTTATATAGCTGGGGATCCAAGATAACTTCGTAATATCCGTGAATTCGCAATATCTGTGTTCGTACTAAATGAGTTTTACTGTATGTACGTGTAGCTTTATTTTCAGTGTTCTGATTTCGCTGTTTTTATTTAAAAAAGAAAATGCGATGTCATTATTTGCTTGAAAAAAAAATTCTGACTTAAATAAGTAGAAAAAAATAGATATACACATGTATTTAGAAAGGGCAAATAATGATGTACATGTAAAAGTAAATTGTATCATTTTTGTCAGTGTGAAAAATTTCTTCACTGTAGAGTGTATTTTGAGATGTAATATTCCTCACAAGAAAAGTTTCCGATATTTCAATATTTCAGTGAATCCAAATCTACCTGTCTACAGAGCAAGGTTTTCTGAGATTACACCTCAGTAAGTATGAAATCCAATGAACAGTAAGCTTACAATCTGACTACACAATAGTTTAGTATGTATACAGTCTGATTTAACCACAAAAAAATAATACACAACAATGCACATTAATGTATACTTCGATTACACAGAAAAAATGTAAATCATGATGACATCCATAGTTGCCAACTCACCCGATTTCGTCGAGTCACACCCGATTTTTCAACCCATAACCCGATTATTTTTTATGACCAGGCGGGTCATGCTTATCACCCGATTTTTGCAGAACAACCCGAAAATCTCCAGATTTCCGGATTTGGTTCGTAAATTAGGTTGCACTTTTAACTTCCAGTTACAACCCAAGCTTAGATCTACGTAAACAATGCCGATGGATATGGATTAATTATCTGTGCAGGTGTAAACAATTAACTGGGTGTTGTTTTGACAAATCAATGTTTGAAGTTAATTAAAATGGCTTCCCATAGAACTAGATCGTTATCAGGGCCAACAGGAACAAACTGAACCAAACACATGTCTCTGATTGAACCAAGAAAAAGAGAAACGATATTTATGTACATATCAAGGAATCTTGGGGAAAAAACTTTCATTCTAGATCAAATAAAGTGATCAAAGACAGTGTAGGCCTAACTTCAAATTTAAAACATGTTGCAGTAATTAATTAATTAAGAGAGAGGAAAAACAACTTCAAAACTGAAATTGGTATGCTTTCAAATTTAGCAGAAACTGAAAAGGCCTTTTAAAAAAAATGTACATTTACTTCAGGTCAAATCTGAAATATGAAACCTTCAATTTTCATTTTTAACATGTAAATTAAAGCAAATTATGTATGAATTTTTTTGTCATAGTAAATTAAATCCTTTTTCAATAAAAGAATTCTCAATACACAAATACTTTGTATACATGTATTATAAAATTTAATCATGGTAAATATGTCGTGAATGTCGTTACGCGTTATGACCAGATTTTTTACTTTCCAAATCTGGTCATGACCAGATTTTTACATGCTGGAGGTTGGCGAGTATGATGACATCACAGTTATAATACATTACATTACACTACAATAAGAATACATTACCGGTACATTAAATTGTTGTAAACCCATGATTGAACCCAAATAAATTCTTGGTAAACATTATTCAAATCAACTGTGTCTTAACCTCTATCAGTAATATTTATTATGTACTACAATTATTAAATTAAAGGACACGTGGCACCGTTTCTGTAATTGGGAAGGACAGATTCACATCTTTTGTAGAACAAAATTTAACACAGAATTTAATTTCTCACATTTAGTTTTTATTAGCTCTACTGGTCAGAGACCAGAAGAGCTTATGCGATAGTAATGCGTCCGTCGTCCGTCCGTCTGTCTGTCTGTCTGTCTGTCCGTCTGTAAACAATTTTTCAAAATGCTACTCCTCCTACAGTTTTGGTCTGATTTTGATATAACTTGGCACACAAGTAGACTACACTAAGATACATAATTCTCTATATCGGTTTTTGATTTCGATGAACAGTGTTGCCGTGGTTACTAAAAATAGAAATTTCTGTGAAATTCTTTCAAAATGCTATTTCTCCTACAGTTTTGGTCTGATTTCAATATAACTTGGCACACAAGTAGACTACACTAAGATACATAATTCTGTGTATCGGTTTTTGATTTCGATGAACGGTGTTGCCGTGGTTACTAAAAATAGAAATGTCTGTGAAATTCTTTCAAAATGCTACTCCTCCTACAGTTTTGGTCTGATTTCAATATAACTTGGCACACAAGTAGACTACACTAAGATACATAATTCTGTGTTTCGGTTTTTGATTTGAGGAATGGTGTTGCTGTGGTTACTAAAAATAGAAATGTCTGTGAAATTCTTTCAAAATGCTACTCCTCCTACAGTTTTGGTCTGATTTCAATATAACTTGGCACACAAGTAGACTACACTAAGATACATAATTCTGTGTTTCGGTTTTTGATTTCGATGAACGGTGTTGCTGTGGTTACTAAAAATAGAAATTTCTGTGAAATTCTTTCAAAATGCTACTTCTCCTACAGTTTTGGTCTGATTTCAATATTTATTGGCACACAAGTAGACTACACTAAGATACATAATTCTATATATTGGTTTTTGATTTCGATGAACGGTGTTGCCGTGGTTACTAAAAATAGAAATTTCTGTAAAATTCTTTCAAAATGCTACTCCTTCTACAGTTTTAATCTGATTTCAATTTAACTTGGCACACAAGTAGACTACACTAAGATACATAATTCTATATATCGGTTTTTGATTTCGATGTACGCTGTTGACGTGGTTACTTAAAATAGAAATGTCTGTGAAATTCTTTCAAAATGCTACTCCTCCTACAGTTTTGGTCTGATTTCAATATAACTTGGCACACAAGTAGACTACACTAAGATACATAATTCTGTGTATCGGTTTTTGATTTCGATGAACGGTGTTGCCGTGGTTACTAAAAATGGAAATTTCTGTGAAATTCTTTCAAAATGCTACTTCTCCTACAGTTTTGGTCTGATTTCAATATAACTTGACACACAAGTAGAACACACTAAGGTACATAAATCTATTTATCAGTTTTTGATTTCGATGAACTGTGTTGACGTGCTTCTAAAAATAGAAATTTCTGTGAAATTCTTTCAAAATGCTACTCCTCCTACAGTTTTGGTCTGATTTCAATGTCACTTGTCACACAAGTAGACTACACTAAGATACATAATTCTGTATATCGGTTTTTGATTTCGATGAATGGTGTTGCTGTGGTTACTGAAAATAGAAATTTCTGTGAAATTATTTCAAAATGCTACACCTCCTACAGTTTTGGTCTGATTTCAATATAACTTGGCACACAAGTAGACTACACTAAGGTACATAATTCTTTATATAGTTTTTCACTTCAATGAACGGTGTTGCCACGGTTACTAAAAATAGAAATTTCTTTTTAATACTCTCAAAATGCTACTCCAAATACAGTTTTAGTCTGATTATAATGTAATGTGGCATGCAAGTAGACTACACTAAAACATAAAGAGACTTAATCAAGGATCATTTTTCTATTAATTGCTGTTGAAAAGTTTCAATTCCCAACTGCCTAAGTACTTTTCTCTTCTTTTGCTATAAGTACAAACCAGTAGAGCTTCAGTCTCGACAGAGACTTCTGGTCTATTTCAGAGCAGTAGCTAGAGCCTGCAGTAACCTTGTAGCTCCAGACAAGAGAACGAGCGATGCAGTGGATGTCCGACAGGAACTAGATCTACGGATAGGTAGGATTTAGGAACTAGATCTACGGATAGGTAGGAATTAGGAACTAGATCTGTGGATAGGTAGGGCATAATGTAAAATACAGAACTAAGGGAGTTACACAGACTAACTACATAGTTTTTTAGGTCACCTGAGTAAACTCAGGTGACATATTGCTATCTGTTTTCGTCCATCGTGGTACGTCGGTCGTAAACTTTTGAACATTTTTAGCTTCTTCTCTGGAACCACTGAACCAATTTCAACCAAATTTGGTGTACAGCATTTATGGGCAAAGGGGGACAAAATTTGTGAATTTCATGGTCCCTGTCTCCCTGGGCTTGAGGAGTGGGGCCAAAACCACTAAAATTAATGCAATCTTTAAAAATCTTCTTTACTTCTGGACATCATGCAGTCAAACTGTTCGCATGATTTTAATCAGCATTTAGTCCTCTACAAAAATTGTGAAATTCATGACCCCTGGTGAGGGGTTCTGGTGTTAGGTTGGGGCTATATACATGTATATCATATAGTAAAAGTGCATTATTTCTTTGAAAGTCTTCTCCTCTGCTCCTGGGTATAAACAAACTAACCAAGTACAAAGTTATGATGACCAAGAGTGCCTCTTCAAAAATTGTGAATTTTATGGCCCCAGGGTCAGGGGTTCTGGTGTTAGGGTGGGGCTCTATTGATTATATACATGCAGTGAAAATACATTAATTCTTTGAAAATCTTCTTCTCTGCTCCTGGGTATTAAACAAACTTACTATGTACATAGTTGTGATTAACAAGAGTGCATCTTCCAAAATTGTGAATTTTATGGCCCCAGGGTCAGGGGTTCAGGTGTTTGGGGGGGGGGTGGCTCTATTGATTATATACTGTAGATCACTAAATTTTAGAGTCACCTTATTTTCGCGAGATAGTCATTAACTCTTGATTAGCGAGACAAAATTTTCGCGATTGTGGTTATTGCGCGTAATTACGCGAAAATAAAGTTCTCGCGAATAAAGAGTGATTTACAGTAGTGAAAATGCATTAATTCTTCAAAATTCTTCCCCTCTGAAAATAAATTAATGCTTTGAAATTTGCTCTTTGGTATTAATCAACCATTTTTGATGAAATAAAAATTATAAAATTTCCAAAATTTTGAAATATGTGCCCCCAATGTCAGTGATTCATGTGGGGTCGGGTGCACAACTGGTTATAAAGTTGAAATGCATTTTCTCTTTGTTACTCTGATCTACCTCTAGGTATTAAGTAATTAGAGTAAGCCTGCTAAGTATAAGATTATGATAAGCAATGATGACTCTTTCAAAATTGTGAATTTCATGGCCTCTGGTTTAAAACACGAACCAAATTCAATTGTTGGAAAGTTGTTGCATGATACTCAGGTGACCTATAAGATATATCATTGACTGGTGACCTTAACCTTGTGATAAGACCTTGACAAATCCTTTTGATTTTATGTTATAGCCAAAACAATTTTTTGAAATGTCAAGAGATAGAAAAGCTTAATTAAAAGTTATATCTTCTTTGGAAAAATAATTATTAAAAGGATATATTGATAGAATGTTTGCTGAGAGCAACCAAAATCCCTTTGTTGTATCCACAATTTAAGACCAATATCAGAAAGATTTTCAACTGGGGTCAATAAAAAAATAAAGGAATGTTATTCCTTGCTATCACATCAAGCTTGACAAGTTTGTACTTGTTTAAATGATCTTTTTGTATTTAGAACTGGAGTGTAAACATCACTTATATAGAATTCTGGTATATGTATCGTTTTCCCCATTTTATCTTCCACCCTTTCTTCAGCTTGTAAATGAAATTGTAAATATTGTCTGGTGGTTTGAAAGCCATTGCATTATTTACATTAGGGTATTAACTGATGACTTTACAATGTTATAAAATAACAACAGTCAGAAATACTGACACCAGAGACACTTTATGTAGGTGCAGCCTTCACCAGGTTTCAGACAATGAGGTTACAGAAGATTTTCCCTGAGGCTCTAGCAGAGAAGTTGATCAGTTACGGAAGCTGTCAGTTTCCCACCCTCGGCTTTGTGGTGGAGCGATATAAACAGGTCCAGGCATTTATACCAGAACCATTCTGGAAAATTAAAGGTGAACTAATGTTTTCAGTTTAATATATAAGGAAAAAAACCCCATTTTTTTCAATGAATTCAACATCAGTTTAGTTTCATTCTTGATTAATAGGCATAAAACCACCATGTTACAATTTACATCTGAAAGTTTACTTTACACAGTTGAACTTTGGTATCTTGAACTCTGATATCCTGAATTTTATGTCAAAATGGTTTTTTTAAACAAAAAGTAAATATTCTGTTACAGTAACACATATCTTCGATGAAGCCACAAAGTGTGAATTTTCATGGAAAAGGTAATATACAGTTTACAAATAAAGTAACAGTTTGTTGACTGTTTGAATAAAGGAAGTTTTCATTGGAATATGCAATGTTTCAATTTTGTTTTTCTTGCAGAAATCGTTTATTTGATCACAATGCCTGCCTGATCCTCTATGAACAATGTATTGAGGTAAAAAAAATACAAAAAGAAAATATGCAAGATCCATGATTTGAATCAATTTTCACATCATACATGTAAAAATCTCATTCTTTTCTATTATTTGTTGAATGAAGAACCCTGAAGCCAAAGTAATTGAGGTGAAATGTAAACCAAAAAGTAAATGGAGACCAGTTCCATTGGATACTGTGGTATGTGAATGTCTTTACCTAGGTTTCTTTATGGATTGGCAAATAATCAATTTTATACTTTAAATTTAATTCTCTAATGAATTATTAGCCAAACTTGACATTGAGATATATGTAAAAGAAACAAGAAATATGTCATCACACGGAATTAGTTTTTGTAGCAGTTTTGTAATGACCATTTTTTAATAGTTGTCAGCTTTGTTGTAGCAGTCTTTTTTAAAAACAAAGTTTACCAGTAAAAGTTAGCTAATGAATTATTATAGGAAATGGAGAAGCTGGCTTCCAGAAAATTAAGGTTGAGTGCCAAGGAGACCATGAGGATAGCAGAGAATCTCTATACCAAAGGTTTTATCAGCTACCCACGAACAGAAACTAACATGTTCCCCAAAGACCTTGACCTGGCAGGGCTAATACAGGAACAGTCCAGGGATCCAAACTGGGGAGGTAGAGCTTTATTTGTAGGAAAACAAAATATGTACAGTGCACATATTAAAATTAATGATATGTATCTCAAGTGAAATGTACCTTAAAGGTTGACTTTGTGATAGAATTTTTGACAATGGCAAATAGGATAAGTGCATGGATAAAGGTTATATGTAATGTCAATTCTTCTGAGTGTACTTTTAAAATCAAGTATGTTTTGTTTAAAAACCTCTAAGCTGTGAGAGTATATTTTAGGATTTGCCAGTGGGATTTTGCAAGATAGACCAAACCCTAGGAATGGAAACAAAACAGATCAGGCTCACCCTCCCATACACCCCATCAAGTATACAGACACCCTACAGGTAAACTTACAGACCCTCCCCTTAAAGTATGTATATAGGTAAATAATTACCTACAGACCAGACTCACCCTCCCATACACTCTATCAAGTATACAGACATCCTACAGGTAAACTTAGAGACCCTCCCCATAAAGTATGTATATAGGTAAATAATTACCTACAGACCAGACTCACCCTCCCATACACCTCATCAAGTATACAGACATCCTACAGGTAAATCTAGAGACCCTCCCCATAAAGTATGTACAGTATATAGGTAAATAATTACCTACAGACCAGACTCACCCTCCCATACACCCCATCAAGTTATACAGACATCCTACAGGTAAATCTAGAGTCAAGATGTATCCCACGTATACCCTCCATGTAGTATATAAGTAAATAGTAATAACCTACAGAACCCTGTCCATTCTTTCAAGTCTCAAGACACACTAACTGTAAATGTTGCATTGATTACTTATTGATTGAAACCCCCTCACCCTCTAATCCCTGTGCAATACACAATCAATGGTTAATATTAATTATGTACTGATCTCTATCACACTTTTAAAATTCCTCATGAAACATGAAAAAGACTTGGTAGGATTCACGTCAGTGGGACTCTTAGATTATTAAATTTTTAAGAGAGTGTGTGACCCTCAAGGTCTTTGGCTTCTCAACTCATCATTCAGTTTCTTTGATTTATTTATCAAAATTTAACACATGCTGTGAATAAAAAGCCTTATTGGCATGTACACATACATTTACAAGTTTTTTACAGTAATGAACAATGTTTCAGGGCAATGATGCCAGATTGTATGAGTTTATTGTCCGCCATTTCTTAGCCACTTGCTCTAAAGATGCCCAGGGACAAGAGACAACCGTTACCATAGATATTGCAGAGGAAAAGGTAATAGTTTTGTGCTTCTTAAGTACATTTACGTATTTTTGCTGTTAACAAGTCTTACAAGAAATGAGTAAAAATGTGGTATAATTATAGATTTCTACACATACAATTGTACATTGCAAGAAGCATTGGGAATTGCAGTTAAAAATATTGTATATTTGTTGCTGAGAAATGAGTAAGTTGTTGTGTGGAAGACTTTTGGATTTATAATTCTTGATTTATTTTTTCAGTTTTCAGCCCAGGGTTTGATGATAACAGCCAGGAATTATCTGGATGTTTATCCTTATGATCTTGATTTATTTTTCAGTTTTCAGCCCAGGGTTTGATGATAACAGCCAGGAATTATCTGGATGTTTATCCTTATGATCTTGACTTATTTTTCAGTTTTCAGCCCAGGGTTTGATGATAACAGCCAGGAATTATCTGGATGTTTATCCTTATGACAAATGGAATGCCAAGGTAAACATCACCATTTAATACTAGAACAGCACGCTATTCATTCTGTTTTATGGAGCATTGATAGTTCCATTATTTTAGGTCGTCAGAGTCATTCCCACTCACCTGACTTATCTCTATCTGCTCCTGCCTGTAATTGTAATGTCCATAAAATAATGAACATTTTATCTTCTTGTATGAAAGTGCTGGATGTTTATCCTTATGACAAATGGAATTTCAACATAACTAGAAAAATTTGTGATGTGTGATTTCACTGTATGGCATTGATCTTGCTCCATTGTTTTTAGGCCATCAGGGGGGGTTGGTCCTTGTCAGTAAAATATTGAACATTTTTGAAATTCATGTTCAACCAAAATTTTGTGTGCTGCATCTGTGAATAAAGTTGCAAACATTTTGAAAAGAATGCTTTTATTTAAAATGTGTTTTATTTTTAAAACTTTTTTTTTTTATCACTTTTAAGTATTTTCTCGATTTCTTGCATATTTTTGGGGAGACCTTGTGGAAGGAAAACAATTTTTGAAAGTTGCAGTGAAAATGAAAATTTTCTTGCAAATTATTAAACTTTTGGTTTTAGAGGCAAAGGAATAATCTTGTGAAGAAAGTGCACACTTTGTCCTGTATTATGTTTACTGGATTTGTGATTTAATATATAAAAATAATTTGGCAATAATGATTTCTGGTCAATTTCTTATGATTGAATTTGCCTATATGTAATATTTCAGACAATACCAGTGTACCAGGAGGGTGAGGTTTTTGAGCCCAATGCTATAGATGTAAGTGTGAACATTGTTATTGTACATGTACCATCAAACAAAGTTGTGAGAAGATATCATTAAGAAAGAAAAGCTAGAGGCTCTTGCTTGATAGAATGATGGAAAGATGTTTATGAAAAAATATTTAGACCGTTCAAGACTTAAATCCAAGGTCTTTAATCAAGGTCAGAGAATTGCTACTGTAAAATAGACCATAACTTAGTACAATGTAGTGAAAGAGATCTGATAACATCCCTGAATATCTTATGGTATGTTTTGACTTTTAAAATACATTTAGAAATGATTAAGGAATCAAACATGAAAAATTCTTGCATGTGCAGAATCTTCAATCTTATATACCATATATACTTGCCAATAAGTTGGTTTTTTTGGAGTTAAATATTGGTCCAAAATTTTACATCCGACTTCAAGGCGAGTCATAAAGAGATTGGTATTTTTCTGGACAGTGAAATATAGCATTTTATATATATTTCCAATGATTATTAAAGAACAAAGTCTATATATGTATAATCATTTATGCATTCAAAAATTATACAAAAGGTACAATTATTTGCTTATTTTAATAATTTTACAAGTGTGCATTACGTATTTGTTTAATGATTTAAAATTAAATATCCGCGTTATTTCAAAACAATATTAAAGGAAACTGGATAAAAATAGTGTATTTATTTAAAATGTCAAACGATTCTGGCAAAAAGTTATACCTACTTACATGTATAAGCGTTTCAAAGGCAAATCCCTCCAAATTAACCTAAAAAAAAGACAACCAACTTATAGGCGGACTGACTTATAGGCCAGTATATATAATATGTATTTAAAAGATATATTTATTTTTCTTTGACAGATGTTATTCAGTGAAACCTCACCACCCCCACTGCTGACAGAAGCCGATCTTATCGCATTAATGGAAAAACATGGGATAGGTTCATATTTACACTAATCAATCTAGAGAAAATACTATATTTCTTACAAGTATCATAATTTTAAATTAACCAAAGCCAAAGGCCTCAATGTGAGTTATCTGATCAAAACTTGTCTGTCTTTGGCATTAGCATAAACTTTTTACATTTAAAGTCCTGACTAGTCATATACATGTATAATATGTAATGTAGGAAGAAATCTTTAAGATTAGTCATTAGTCATATTTACATGTATATGGAAGCATCCTCAGGTAGTTAGTACTAGTTACTAAAGTAGATTCAAGTTTCATAAATCATAACTCCCATGGATAAGGAAGCCTCCTTAAGTAGTGTAGACTTTGTAAATCATGGTCTCCAGGTTTGAAAATCTTGCTGATGTAGAACAGTAAGGCCCTATTGACTCAGGTGAGGGTTGTAGTCCATGGGCCTCTTGTATGAATGTTTTTGTATGTTCTTGATGCAAAGTTTTTTACTTGTACTGAATAATTAGGAACTGATGCAACTCATGCTGAGCACATAGAAACAATCAAGACCAGAATGTACGTGGGATTGAACCAGGATAGTCGCTTTGTTCCTGGCCAGCTGGGGATGGGGTTAGTAGAGGGTAAGGTCACTACAATAATCAGTGCTTAAAAGATGATGAACTTGTGGAAGTTGTACTATACATTGTAAAAAAAGCCTAATATATTACCTGTATATTGAATGGAATTACTTTGTAAGAAACACTGACATTTTCCTTGTAAAACAACTGTCTATAATTGCAGGCTATGATGCCATGGGGTATGAGATGTCCAAACCTCATCTACGTTCTGAATTAGAGGCAGACCTGAAGAGGTATTAGTATCTTTTAATTAAATGCTATATCTGCTGGGTTCATTTCTAAATGTGAAATGCTCTATGTTTATTTCAGTCAAATGATGTTCTGCTTTTTAGCTCACCTGAGCTTTTCTGATCACATTTTGTCCGTCGTCCGTCCGTCCAGCTGTCCGTCCGTCTGTAAACTTTTCACATTTTCGACTTCTCAAGAACCACTGGGCCAATTTTGACCAAACTAGGTACAAAGCATCCTTGGGTAAAGGGAAATTTAAATTGTTAAAATGAAGGGACATATTGGAAGGGGAGATAATCAAGAAAAGACAAAAATAGGGTGGGGTCATTAAAAAATCTTCTTATCAAGAACCACTGGGCCAGTAAAGCTGAAACTTATGTGGAAGCATCCTGGGGTAGTGTAGATTCTAAATTGTTCAAATCATGAACCTTATAAAGCAACAATGGGGAATCAAAGTTTTATATAGAAATATATAGGAAAAATCTTTGAAAATCTTCTTCTCAAGAACCACTGGGCCAGAAAAGCTGAAACTTATATGGAAGCATCCTGGTATAGTGTAGATTCTAAATTGTTCAAATCATGACCCCCGGTTGAAGGGCGGGGCCACAATGGGGAATCAAAGTTTTACATAGAAATATATAGGAAAAATCTTTGAAAAACTTCTTCTCAAGAACCACTGGGCCAGAAAAGCTGAAACTTATGTGGAAGCATCCTGCTATAGTGTAGATTCTAAATTGTTCAAATTATGACCCCCGGGGGCAGGGCGGGGTCACAATAGGGAATCACAGTTTTACATTGAAAATATATAGGAAAAATTTTTAAAGATCTTCTTCTCAAGAATCACCCGGCCAGAAAAGCTAAAAATTGTTTGGAAGCATCCTGGGGTAGTGTAGATTCTAAATTGTTCAAATAATGACCCCCGGATATAGGGCGGGGCCACAATGGGGAATCAAATTTTAACATAGAAATATATAGGAAAAATCTTTGAAAAGCTTCTTCTATGAACACTGGGCCAGAAAAGCTGAAACTTATGTGGAAGCATCCTGGTATAGTGTAAAAATTACACAAATCATGACCCCCAGGGGAAGGGCGGGGCCAAAATGGGGTATCAAAGTTTTACATAGAAATATATAGGAAAAATCTTTGAAAATCTTATTCAAGAACCACTGGGCCAGAAAAGCTGAAACTGTATGTGGAGCATCCTGGTATAATTTTCTAAATTGTTCAAATAATGACACCCGGGGGAAGGGCGGGGCCACAATGGGGAATCAAAGTTTTATATAGAAATATATAGGAAAAATCTTTGAAAATTTAAATTGATGAACCACTGGGCCAGAAAAAAACATATGTAAGCATTCTGGGGTAGTGTAAAACTAAATTGCTAGGAATCATACCCCCGGGGGAAGGCGGGGCCGGAATGTAGTTTTACATAGAAATATATAGGAAAAATCTTTGAAAATCTTCATCAGGAACCACTGGGCCAAAAAATTTAATATATATTTTTTAAGGATCATGGGGTAGTGTAGATAACAAAAAAATAAAATCATAAGTGGGTAGGGTGGGGATGCATTATGTAAAAAAAACAAGGGTGAAATCTGGTAATTGAACAGAATGTAACTGTTTGTTGGGATGTGGCCCATGGGCCTCTTGTTGGAGTTCCAGCATGTTTTTCATATACATTTACATGTAACATGTAAATCTAAACATTCAAGTAGAAATTACATTTAATATTCATGTACTGGAGTGAAAAAAAGACATAAAATACTGATAAATATTTACAATTAATTCCAGAATTTGTGAGGGAAAGAAGGACAAAAATGGTAAGTACATGTTTATTAAATTTTATATTTCAAAAACCGTGGAAATTATCCTTCATAGATTTGTAAATCTTATTTAAGAATCCTGTGAAATCATTTTAATCAGGAGTTTAAGTGTTTGGCAGGCAGTGGTGTTTAGTATTGTATTTTCTAGTTATTATAAGGGGGGTATTTATTGTTGGCCAGTGGTGCTGAATCCTCTGTTTTGAGTTTTTTTCTGTTTTATCATTGACCAGTGATGATGAGTCCTGTATTCTGAAATTATCTGTTTTATCTTTGACCAGCGGTGTTGAGGCCTCTATTTTGAGTTTTATTTTGTTTTATTGTTGAGCAGTGGTGTTGAGCCAGCAGGTGACTAAGTATAAGGAGGTGTTTAAGGTTGCGTGTGAGCAGGCCCTGAAGATTGACCAGGCCCTGGCTCAGTACCTGGGGGAGGCCCGAGACCTACCTGTGGAGGAGGGTCAGTACACACAGATTGTTAAATAGCTCTAGAGACCTTAGTCAAAAGATATCAAACATTTATATAGGGTCAAATATACAGCTTCAGATTGTGATACACCGTGTTTTGTTGATTTTAGCCCTTGACATACTTGCCTCAGTTCCTGTTAAGAAATGTGCCAGCTGTGGAATGGATATGACACTGAAGACCAGGAAAACTGGAGGGTAAAAAATTACACAAATTCAGTTTGGAGAAAAGCATTTATTACTGCATGTATAATTCAAACAGTTTATTCAAGAAGCTTGTGTGTAAAGTAACAGTGATTTATTTTTCCTTGACAGATTTTACATTGGCTGCATGGGATTTCCATCGTGTCGCTCAGCTATCTGGTTACCTAACTTTGTTCTGGATGCCAGTGTTAGTGATGTCAAATGTGAAAATGTGAGTCCATGAGTATCCTTCTGAAAGTTCTATGTAAACATTTCTCTTCTTCTTACACAGTGTGTATCCTAAGTTTCAATTTTTTACAGCACCCTCCGTTTTGTTCATGTCTCTTAATAAATTTCAGTGTCAAGCCCAGCTGATGAATTTTAAATTCAAGATGGGTTCTGTACCTCCAATGTTACCACTACAGTGAGTTCAGTACAAGTTTCTTAAATTAAATAACTGTATTGCGTTAAGTGAAAAAAATGTTTTAAATAATAAATATTTACATTACACATGTATTTTGCATATAAAGTGTGTGGAAATCTATGGCATTCAAAACACCATCACGAAAGGGGGTTCAAATGGTTAAAGCATGCACTTTATTTTGATGTCACAAACGTTGAACGCCAAGGAAGTGCCATAAGTGAAAATAAAAAAAATCACGCTCAAATTCACCAGAAGCTGTTACATTGGCTCTTTCAAGAACAATAACTTACACTAAGGGTACGAGTAATACATAAATTTTCAAATATAAATCACATTTGCAGTCAAGGCAGAGAGTTTAAAAAAATGTAAATATAAGCAATGAATCATTTTTGTTTGAAAGATTTAGTCTCATACATGTAACTGCAACAGTGTGTGCAAACAAATTTTCACAACGTGCTATTATAAACATGCGTTTCTCAGTTTGTTTGCACACACCGTTGCAGTTATGAGACTATATCTTTCAAAAAATAATGATTTATTGCTTAAATGTAGTAATATAATACCTTTATCCATATATTAACATCTATACATTTATAATACTCTATTTCATGTGGTGAAGAACCAAGATTGATTTGCCACATTGTCAGGCAGACCTTGTTTTTCCAGATAGTTGAGTTTAAATTATAAGTTAAAATTTGGTTCCAAAGGCTATCAGGTAAAATGTATAGAATTTGACAGCAAGATTACCACCTTTATACGGGGTACATCAGGTGTTGTAGGGGAATATATTTTGTCTGTTTTATGTTTATCAGATACACTGGATGTGTCGCTGGTTGTGACAACTTACTCTCAGAATCCCTACAAATTAACAATTTTGGTAAGTTAATCAGAATCTGTGATTCTTTACAAATGAACAGGGTAAGTTTACTCAGAATTTCTACAATTTAAAAATACATGTATAAGTTACATGGATACTCTACAAAATAAGAATGTAAGTTACACTAACTCTACAAATTAACAATATATTAAGTACATGTATGTTACACAGAATCTACAAATTTTTTAACAATTTACATGAAAGTGAGCAATAAAGATTCTATGATATTTTACAAGTGCATGTATGTAGAAGCAATTAAACATTTCCTTCGTACATTTCAGCTTTCTATGAAATTTATATGCATAAAAATATTTTGACAGGTGAAAATAGAGGAGGAAACAATTCTTTTGGAGAAAGTGGAGGGGGAGGGTAAGTTTAGCTTAGAACAATTTGTAAGTTTTAATAGAACCTATATTGGGCTACAAAAAATTGAAATTCTGGTTCACAGACCCGCTCGCATCCGTTTTGAGGTAATTGTATTGCTAAAAAAAATGTATTTTTTGGTAAAATATAAAGTTGTTATTGTTACACAAAATCTAAAAAAATTTTTTTAACAATTTACATGTAAGTTTAGTATTCAAATATCATTTCCGGTAGTCATTTTCAAAGAGATTTTGGCTAATTCGTTTGAAAATACATTCGAAGACATTGCCTATGATGTCCACAGGCTGATAAGCAATGGATAATGCAGAACATTTGATCAGACATGGAAAGTATATTGTGATTAAAAAAAATATCTTTACAGGAAAATTAAAATTAAAAAAATACCTCCCTCATCTACCGATACTTTATTACCAATAAAATGATAAATAAAATGCCTCCCTCCTGCATCTGTTTTGGAGAAAATTGGCCTGAGAATTAAATTTAAGTAGCCTCGATTTACTCATTTATAATCAGATTCTAGAGTATCTTTGTACTCGTACATTTATCCCTGTAGGTCTGAATTTGAGAGAAACTCCAATGTCAACTGCAACTGTGGAAAACCTGCTAAAATGTAAGTTTGACTCTCTCTTCTCTATGATATCTTCAGTTCTTTGTGACATTGTCCTTGTACCCAGTAGAAATTTGATTTATTGCTTTAATGTGTAGGTTGACAGTAAATAAAGATGGCCCCAATAAAGGTCGGACATTTTATGCCTGCACCAATCCCAGAGATCAAAGCTGTAACTTTTTCCAGTGGGGAGATGAAATCACGGAGGCAGGCAATAACAGAACTGGTGAATAATGGCTTTGTAACTTAATGTCAAATTTTGTTTCTTTAAAAACTTTTGCAGCATTAATCATCCTTAAAATATGTATTACAAATTAAGGTATTTCTGAACATTAAAAAAAACAAACTAAAAGATTTTTACGAAAATTAGCTATCATTTTAATGTATAAAAAACTTTGTTCAATTCCTATTATATGTTTCATATTATTGATATATTTCATACATGTGTATTATTGATAACATAATAATTCAGATTATTTTCTGCATGCTACATTAAAAATATACATGTAATATACTCTGACTTGGACCTTCACTTCTATTTAGCTCCACCGTTTAGGTCTGATGCTCCGAGCTCTCAGCGAGTTCCCTTGGTAACAGTTCAGCCATTCAATAGACAGACAAACAATGAAGACGATGGACAGGACATTGTGTGTAACTGTGGGACGAGTGCAATCCTCCTAACTGTCAGAAAGGAGGGGCCCAATCAAGGTAGTCATAACACTATTACTTAAATGTAAGAAAGGAGGGCCCCAATCAAGGTACCTCCCAGTCCCCTAATCATTTGTTACTGAGAAATCATGATAAAACTGTCAGATAAAAGGTATCCTACTTGCTAGGATAAGGAATAATTAATATGTCCTTCTAGATATTCAGGATAATTGAGGTGAATGTAATACAATTCTAATATCAATCAATTTATCAGTGATAATAAATTTCTAGTGAAATAGACCTGAGATAATTAAGTTTATGCTACTGGATACAGTAAAATGTGTTAAATATTGTGAAGTCTTGGGATCAGTTGATTTTTTCGGTGGGTCAAAAATGTGTTAGAGGGCTCGGCAAGCCTCGCCCTCTATCACGTTTTCTTATCCACACCCAGATATCGCCTATATTTCAAGACAGTATTAAATCATGTATTTTAAATATATATCTGTAAAACAAATTCGGTAAAGTATAAGTCATTGTAGTCCATAGTCTGTAGATACATGTATATCTCTCTTAGTTGCCATGGGGGTAAGGAGTCTTGATAAGGGAAAAAAATTAATAGTTTCTCAGGCACTGCCACATCACTTCAAAAATTTTCGCTTTGACCAATTTTATTAACATTTTGAAAAGGAAATAATTTAATTTATTAATTTTTTAATAATTATTTTATGCATTGAATTTCAAATAAATTTTTTATTGACATTATTTAGAGTTTATTACATATTAATCTATATTTAATGTAAAAGAACATAAATTAAGAATCAGTTGATGTCATCATTTTGTTGAATGACTGACATGAAGAAAGCTTCCCATACAAAAAAATGCCTGTCGCATTGAATTTTTGGCCTGACAAACAATAACTTTTTTTTTTTTTTTGTAAAAGACAATTATCCATTCTATGAATTACATTGTTAAATGTGTTTTCTAGGGAGACAGTTTTACAAATGTGGAGGATCCAATTGTAACTTCTTCCTGTGGGCGGACCAATCTCAGGACCAATCATCAGAAAACAACAGGAGGCCCCAAGGAGGGGGAGGAGGGGGGTAAGACAGGGGGCATTCAGCATTTGAATAAAAAGTTTCTGTTTATAGGACTTCTTATGAAAATGAAGATTCTTATGCTTATGAAGATTTTCATTATGTTGTAGGTTCAATAATCAAAGTTCAGACATGGAGATGAATTGCAATTGTGGAACTCCGGCTAGACTGTAAGTTATCTATAGCAGAATTGTTCATGTTTGTGAGATAGGCTTAGTGTTTTTTTTGTTTTTTTTGTTTGTTTTTTTACGTGTAGTTCATCTTTTGCTAAAATATTTTTATGCTTCACCATGAATATAGCTGGGCATATAGTGTTTGTCATGTCTTCCTTTCACTTCTCTGTCTGACTGTTTGTCAAATTTACACTTGGATCAATTTCAGTGGAAATGATCAAGATATTTTAGCCTACATCCATACATTGATACATATGATAAAAGCTGTTAAACTCTTTCAATTATTCTCTTTGAGCACACAGGAGAAATAATGAATTAAAAAGTGAAGAACTATAATTTCAGGTTAAGAGTGGTTAAAGATGGACCTAACAAGGACCGAGAATTTTTCTCCTGTTCCAAACCAAGAGGCCAAGGCTGTGATTTCTTCCAGTGGGCAGATATTACAAGTACGTTGGAGTATTTATGACTTTTATGTCAACTGATTACTCTGTACTTATCCTTGATACTTAATTGAAATTTAATTATTATGAATATGTAAAGTACTTACATAAGTAAATACAGTGTAAAATAATTTTGAAAGCCCCCTAATTTTCTGTTGACAGATGAAAACAGAAGTGATGGTGGAGGTTTAGGTGGTACAGGGTATGTATTGAGATTCTTTTGATCAATGAGCTCTATAGGCTAATCATAAGCTGGGCTTTAGGGTTGTATCTTTTATTTTTGTCTCGTATTTGTAGGTTTCAGACTGGTGGAAATTCAGAAGTTTGTTGTAACTGCGGAAATCCTGCCAAAATGTAAGTTAGGTTTATATCAGTGTTGTAGGGTTTTAATGGCTCATGTCTGTATAAAAAGTGTGTATGGAATGTTTTTACTTGTATTTGTCTTCCATCTCCACATGCGTTTTTCTGACCCTCTTTGTATTAAGCTCAGTATTTTAAGAAAAACTGAGTGACTATGAAATATCTGTAAAAAAATTCAATGAAAAATAACATTTTGGTTGAATATCTCACTGTCAAGATTTTTCATTTCCTACATGTGCAGAAACATCATTTTAGATGTGCTATTTTCTGCAGGTTGACAGTAAATAAGGAGGGCCCCAATAAAGGCCGTACATTTTATGCCTGTGCCAAACCCAGAGAACAGAGCTGTAAATTCTTCCAGTGGGGAGACGAAAATCCAGAGGGAGGCAACACAGGCTCATGTAAGTTATTAAGCCATATAATGTATATGTAACCAGCAGACCGGCTTACTCTTCTAGATCTAATTTACCCTGTAATTTTTGTACAATTTTTGACCCCCCAATTTTGCTTGATGATTTAAGTGCCATATCTCTTTATTTCCCTATTTACACCAATTTTAGTTAAGAAAAGTTGGAGCTTTAAAGACATATGATTGATAGAAAATTTTTGTGTAATGCCCCTGCTCAGATGTGAATATACAATTATCATGTTAATATACATGCCAAGTTCAGTTAGGGGCAGATGCACGGATAAATAGGAAGTTGTCATCAGATTCATATAAAAATAAATCCAATCATATGGCATGCCTAAATAAAGTATGTGCTTAAATTTCAAGCCTCTGTAATGATTAGTTGCTGAGAAAACTGTGACAAAAATTGTTATGTTTGAAATGGACAGACGCATGGATAAACAGGAAGTTGAGTAGACATCAAATGTCAATAAAAATGAATCCCAACATATGCCATGCCTCAACAAAGATTGTACTAAAATTTCAAGCATCTGTGATGAGTAGTTACTGAGAAAACTGTGACTAAAATTTGTTATGTATGAAACAGCCAGATGCACAGATAAGCAGGTAGTTGACATCAGATTTAAACAAAAGTGTATCCCACCATATGGCATGTCTCATAGAAGATTGTGTTAAAATTTCAAGCATCTGCGATGAGTAGTTGCTGAGAAAACTGCAACGAAAATTTTTTATGGACTGACATACGGACACACACACACAGACAGACACACAAGGGTAAAACAGTATACCCCCCTCTCCTTCGGAGCAGGGGTATAAAAATGTGTCTGTGACCGCTGAGTGCTTTGCTTAGCAGTTCTCATTGTGGTCACCACCTCTATGAAAAGGGGTTTGTAATGTGTGTGGAAGTACTTACATGTGTGTGATAATAATGAAAATGTGATGTTATAGATGTTGGTGGTGGTGGTAAGAAGAGAACATCGTCTGATCTTGGCAGCAGTGGTACCACTCCCACCAGGAAGCGGGCCGCCAGAAAGTGTGGGCTGTGTGGAGAGGAGGGTGAGTAATCTCCCTTTATACCATGTAAAACTGTCAATAGATAATGTATAATGAGCACTTGTTAGTTTTAACCTGTTGGCTTTCGTGTGAAGGTCTTTTATACATGTAGTACAACATTTATATACACATTTGCATAAAAAAAGTTGTCCATTTTCCATTTATCTGTCTGTCTTTGTGTAAACAATTAGCCAAAATGATACTCCTCTTCACAGGTTTAACTTTAATTATTATATATTTTCTTTTCAGGTCATACAAAAAGAACATGTCCTCACAAATAATACCTGAGTTTTAGTGAACAAAAAGACGTCTGTGATAAAGTGTATTAACATTTGTTATATTTTTTTTTATGTTAAAATGTGTTCTTTCTTGTTATTTTATGTTATACATCATGTTGTGAAAACAGAGATGGTTTGCAGAATTAAAAAATCCAATAGAATTTTCTTTTCTTTTATGTACAAGTAACTGTGATGAATGTTGGTTGTTTTGCATCCTTTGAATGAGGACTTGCAACTCTAAGCCTCTACTTTGCTGTGGCCATTGAGCAGTGAGGGTTCTCTATCGTGTTAGTATCTACTGGGATGGGGTCCTCAGTACCCCCTTGCTTGTCGTAAAAGGCGACTAAATGGGGCGGTCCTTCGGATGAGACCGTAAAAACCGAGGCCCCGTGTCACAGCAGGTGTGGCACGATAAAGATCCCTCCCTGCTCAATGGCCCTGAGTGCCGAGCATAGGCCTAAATTTGCAGCCCTTCACCGGCAATGGTGACGTCTCCATATCAGTGAAATATTCTGGAGAGGGACGTTAAACAGTATACAATCAATCAATCAATCTACTGGGATGGGGTTCATACAGTCTCATTCAAAGCTCTGCATGTCCTGCATTCGGATTCAAATGCAGGATAATAGTTATTCTGCAACTCTATAGAGCAAACAAGGGCTTTAATGGTTGTGAATTATCAGATTTATCCCATGTGCAAAGAATGAGCTTTAGGACATTTTCATGTGGGCCAAAATATTTTGACATAAGCCTAACCTCTTAATTGTAAAATGAAAACCAAAGATCTAGGTCCAGATTGCTCACCTAAGTCAATAAGGCCCTGCTGTTCTTAGCAGATTTTTTTCTCCTATATATTTCTGATTAGAATTTTTATGCCCCCCTCGAAGAAGGGAGGGCATATTCCTTTGCTGCTGCCTGTCGGTCAACCATCAGTTTCTGTTCAGCTTCACAGAGATTGCACATTTTTGAAATTTGGTATCCAGATTTATCATAAGAATATATCTAGGTCAACTTCTGTTTTGGGTATGATGAAGCCATTTTAAACAGAGTTATGCCCCTTGGACTTGGAAAAATTCCAATTATTTGCAGTTCCCGTTCATTCTCTTTGCAGAGGTTGCACATATTGAAATGAAATTTGGTATACAGATTTATCATAAGTATATCTAGGACGAGTTCTGTTTTGGGTATGATTGACACATTTTGAACAGAGTTATGCCCCTTGGACTTAGAAAAATTCCAATTATTTGCAGTTCCCACTCATTTTCTTTGCAGAGGTTAGACCTACTGAGATGAAATTTGGTATACAGATTTACCCGGTATGAACGTCATGGCCTCTGGAAAGAATATCTAGGTCAAGTACTGTTTTGAATACGATGGAGCCATTTTGACAGAGTTATGCCCCTTGGACTTAGAAAAAATCCAATTATTTTGGGGAGGGGGCATGTTTAACAAACATCTCGTTATTTCCTGTTGGGACCCTACCATATATTACGGTGGGGACGTAATAGGGAACGCAAATTTTACTTTCAAATATAAAAAAAATTAGAGGTTCTGTGTGAATTCTCAAAATTTGGTCTCATTTTGACTCCTTTGAAATAAGATGGGTTAAAAAAAAAAGTCATGGGAATATAGGGAATGACTTGTGAGTGTTAGTGACCATAGGCCACATCTTCCATCTTCCAGAGACTTGCAAGACAGACAGATGTTAACATTTTCTTGCTTCACAGTGTATGAGTGCATAAAGTCATATAACTACTAACCAAAGAGAGCTAAATGTATAAGAAAGTTGTCGTTGAGTCCATCCATATCTAAAGCCATGTAACTTATTCACTGATCAGACTGATTTTGATAAAATTCCTGGCCCTGTCCTACTTCACTAAGGTATTAAAAAAGAACAATCAATTGGTAAACTATTTTTAACTGTAAAATGCTAAAATAATTCAGAGATAATTAATAAATAAAACAAATCTAAAAAGTTGATGTATACATGTACACCAGTCACAATCACAGTACAACACATTTACACAAGAGCTGATGAGAGTACATGCATACAATGACTATGTTTTATCACAGGAAATATTTCACTGCAGCAGGCCGGCTATTTCTTCCTACTGACTTGACCTTTGAGTTGCTTTAATTCATTCTCATGATAATGTGACACTGCTGTAGCTTCTGCTAACTGTAAAACATAAACAAAAAGTAATTCATTTAACTAGTATTTTAAGTGTTTCTTTAGTGAAGGTAAAGATATAACTCCAGGTTTTGTTTATCATTTCTTGAGCATGATTTTTCAAAATTCTTGATACAATATGAGTATGTTAATCTAAAGCAAACTTACCATGTCTAGGAGAACATCTATTTTTAATTTAAGGAGGTTGTTTTCCTCGGACAGAAGTTGGTTTTGTTTGCGCAGTTTCATGACCTCTTTATGACTAGCTCCCCCTGGACCACTCTCTGCAAAAATGATAGTTAATGGAGTGGCATTAATTTTTAATTAATAGGGAAAGTCCTGCACCTTAGAAACTTTGAAGACTTTAGAGATTACAAAGCACGACTCATAATTTTTGGAAGTGCATAGTTAAGCATATTTTTACCTGTAATCAGTGATACTAGCTTCTCAATAAGTTCAATTTAAGAATACATAAAATCATACCTGCCATCCACATTCCATTTTCAAACTGAATCTCGCTTCCTCCTAGTTTTAGTTTGACTGGTCCGACCTCGGGACCGAATTCCTCGCGAGTCTGAGTGGCATCAAGATGGAGGTTGGAGAGAGAATGGGCTCTCCTGGGAGGAGTCTTCTTGGGAGAAAACTTGTTTCCGAATAATGACAGTGGCATTTCTGTGATCTGTTTGCAAATAATTAGAATATGAAATTATCAACACTTTTGATAGACATTAAAACCATATTTTATGGGTGCTGTATACTGCTGCTAGTCTCCCTACTTTAAATACAGTCTTTAGTAATTATTAAAATGTTCATATTTAACAAACGTACTACAGTACATATTAAAATAAATTACAAATGATCCACAAATTGATTATAATTTTATTTTATAATTTGAAGAAAATGCATAACTATGTATATAATATTTGCATATTGTGTGATATGCATTTTTATTAACTTATTGATAACATTGCTAATATTTAAAATTATTAAATAAAAATATTTTTTTCATGTCTTGAATAACATAGAAAGACTTAATTTTATGGAGACCAATGTATTCTTTTTCTCTTAGTATGATGTGTGTGCACAATGCAGTGCAAAGTAGACTGTCGATGATCAATGATCAAATGAATCAGAATTAATTCAAACATTATTTCTGATTTCTTCAGAATGTTACAAGCATCTTTATCAAAGGGTGGCTACCAATGTGTGAAGTTTTGCTTCATGTACCTTATTTATAAAGTGAGGAAATACATGTGCACTAACAATTGTTTGACCAAAAAAAGTAACACAGTGGGAATTAATACATTTTGCATGAAGTTGGTGTCAGATCAACAAGGATAAGCCCCTTTCATTTATCATTCAATTTTTAGAAAGAAAAGAAATATCTTATATTTTATTTTTTCTATAGTATCTATAATGTTGCTGTTAACATTTAAACATTTTATTTGAATTGATAATACTTTTCATTTTTACATTGATTCAATAAAGCCCACTGAATTTGCAATTGACATCTATACTTTATGATAGATGTGATAACTTTTCTATCATCAAGTTACATCAACTTCCCTTATTTATGTAACTATACATCATTATCACTTCTATTAAGAGTTTGTGTTTCCTAGTTGATTCGATTTGCAAAAGTATGTTCTACTGATGAACTATTTTAACAAGGCAGGTTATTGACAAATAATTTGATGATACATGTACAAGGACATCAAGAATCTCACTTTTCAAAGTCAAAATTCAAGAAGTCCATTGGTCAATACAATGACCTTGTATGCCAATAAATAATCTGTTAATATAATAAAAGAACAATCATTTCCAACTGATTTTACAATATCAATGCTTTCAAAATATTAATGTTTGATTGATTGATAGTAAGTTGTTTTATGTCCATTTGAGAATTTTTCAATCATAGACATCATCATAATATGCCAGTGAAGGGCTTCATATTTAGACCATTTAGCAGTGATGGATCTCTATCATCCCAATGCCTCACATTTTAAGGTCTCATCAGAATGATCCGTAACTTCTTTCCAAAGTGCCGGGTACTTGGCAAAGGAACAGTTGATGCTTATTTCAGTTGCAATTGAGGATCTCATGCTCAACCTTCCAATCATGGAGTAAGGTCTCTAGCTCTCTACCATATTTTCAATGTTTGAGATACTGAAGATCAACTAAATTTTGTCCAACTGATTTTATTGATGTAGGATTGGGATGTTTAGACTGGTGTAATGAAATTTATTTACAATATATGACCAACACTCACAGCTGATTATTTAAAAAAGAGGTCAATTTTCAAATAGACAGTACAATTAAGAAGCAGAAATAATAATCAAGGACTTATACTTGTGATTGGAGAAAATAGATCAAGTATAAAACATTCTACCCATTGTACAGTCTTCTGCATAACTGGGGAATTAAAAAAATATATTTACCGGTATATATCAACAAAATCTGAAAAATCGGTGAGCTTGCTAAATGTGTTATATCTTATAACTATATCTTATATCGTATTGTTTGGTAATACTTGGCATAAAACTGAAAATACATTATGTCTTTAAGTCAAAAATTAATATTTTACACACCTGTTACCATTTGTTTCTACCTGTTTTGATTTACAGCGCCATCTGGGATGGGAAGTTGTTAAATCGTTCTCTGAAAAGTCGATAAGAGGTTCAATACATTATTAAATGAGAATTACCATTGAATTTTCAATTTCCATTGAATTTGCAGATGAGAAAAAAAATCTTACTTTACCATCAAGGATTTTTTCCATAGGAAGACGATATCGAGAATTGATCCTCACACTGGATACGAATAATATAAGAACGCATGCACGTCCAAATAAACAAAGTGAGAGTGATTTATGACTGAATTTGAAGGTATGACAAAATTATTCTTTGAGTGAGTTGTGATCAATGATATTTTTCATTGTTTGTTCAACATCGTCGTTATTTCACTTAGTTTCTGGCACTGCTGTCGTTGAAACCAAGATTCTCTATGAATTGATTACCTTCTGTATTGTGTCAAGTTGAGTTCAGTCAGTTCCTGGTTTATGTACACAGATAAACGCTTATAATGTGTAATATAAAAAAAATCTAACATTTCTTGATATATTGTATAAAGAAGTCCTAGAATTGTTGGTCTTCTCATTTTTAATAAAATTAAAATAAAATTTTTAATATAAACAGATTCCTTTAAAAATGTAAAATAAGTAATAATTTAAATAAACCAGTTTTACATTTTATGAAGTGGACTTTATTACATATAACTTATTAATCAACCATTTTTTCTATTGGCAATGTATACAATGTGATAAGATTCAGACCAAAATCTAGGTAGGAGCCTTGAAATTAATATTTAAAAAAAGATACCCCCCCCCCCCAAAAAAAAGGAAAGAAAGTATAAAATATTCACAAAAATCATTAATGTCAACATTAAAGGATAAAAACATAATTTTACCAAATTTCAAATAGACAAATGAAAACATATGGTACTCTTAGCCAAATTTCATCCATGATTTGATTATCTTAAAAACATAATTTTACTAAATTTCAAATAGACAAATGAAAACATATGGTACTCTTAGCCAAATTTCATCCATGATTTGATTATCTCTTTGTATAAATGAAAAGCAACGTTAGTCATACACGATTACAATAGTGGTGTATCTCTTAGAATTAAAGCTTCAGAACTGTAGCATGGTTTTATATATTAGTCTTTGACCAGAATGCTACAGATACTGTTAAATGCCAATAAAGTGCAATTTAGGGCACAAGATTGGGAATTTCTCCATTTTTCAGCATTTGTCAATCAACTATCTTTCACTCCCTAATTCTAGACTCAATCCTTAACCAACCTGTTTATTTTATTCACTTCCCAATCCTTTATAATCATCTCTACAGACCAGTAAACTTGTTTGTTTTGAATTTTTTGTAAGATGATTGAAAATTCAAATCAAGCAAGTTTATAAAGCTACACTGTTCTGCAGCTATTATTACTAATACCATAACAGGGATATAGCAACAGGCTTTTGTTAATGATGGTTTTGTGTCCAGGGTCTGTCATTTCTAGTTTTGTTAAGTTGTACTATTAAGCTAGAGCTCTGTTAAATATCAAAATTCAAACAATTCAAAATATTACTATTTTGGGTAAGTCTTGCTTTTAAATATGAAGGCCCAGTAGGACAGTAAAAGTGCTGAGTTGACCATGCAGTAGACATTTAACTTGATTTAAGGTGGTAACCTGAGTGACCATTGAAAAAAAAATCTAGCCCTTATGCTGTCATATTGCATTAAGGTCTCCATCTGTAGTTACTGCATTTATTAATTTCACATTATACTCTATAGCATCTTTCTGCATTACAATATGGACAGTACTTTTAAGCAAGCAGAGCAAATGATGTAATCAATTGAATTTCATTTCATGACACAGAGTTGGTTCTGGTTCTTGTCTTTTTCTCTTTTTCGATCCTCATTTTTGCAAAATTCTAAATTTGAAGTTATGATTGAAGTTGAGAGGCAGGTGTTTGGTATTTGACATTTATATTACATAGATTTATAAGCATATGACACTGTATACTATACAGTTGACACTGTATACATTTACTATACACATTTATTATACAGATTGAAATGCTATGAAAGTACTCTGTGATCTGTATACCAAAAAAAAAAGATCAGAATATTAATAGACTGACAATTTTAGTAAAGACTATTCAACTTCATTATTGTTCATTTAGCTTTGAGTGTGTTGAGGTCTGGGGAATCATATTTCTATTTCATTGTCAGATTTTAATTTATGAGATAAATGCTACTGTAGATTCCTTATTTTTCTTGAGTACATTTATATTGGGAATGGACTCTTCAACGTCAAATCGCAAGAATAATAATTCGCGAATGGACGGTTGGTCTAAAGATTTTAAATAGATTTCAGCACCTTAAAAATAAAGACGAGTAATTTTATTTCGCGTGTAGTGCTTCTCGCGAAATTACGCGATAATTATTTAATTCTACATGTATATTTAGGATTTTACAGTGTTATATCAGTCTTGCTATCAGTGGATTTTTTTTCTTTGAAGGCATTTGCCTGAACTTTAATGCATATAGTAACAAATCAATATCTGAACACCCTTAGATTTATTGTCCCCCGCTTGAAAAGTGGGGGATATTAATTTGGGTTTGTCCGTCCGTCCGTCCGTCCGTCCGTCCGTCCGTCCGTCCGTCTTTCTTTCTGTCTGTAACGCTTTCGTTTCCACACGATATCTCGAGAACTCTTTGAGCTTTTGCAATGAAATTTAGCATAGCAACTCCCTATGGACTAAAGAAGACCCCTATTGATTTTGAGATCAAAAGGTCAAAGGTCAAGGTCATAAATAAGCAAATTCTGTCTGTTAAAACACTTTCGTTTCCACACGATATCTCGAGAACCATTTGAGCTATCGCAATGAAATTTTACATAACAACTCCCTGTGGCCTAAAGAAGACCCCTATTGATTTTGAGGTCAAAAGGTCAAAGTTCAAGGTCGTAAATTTATACATTCTGTCTGTGTGTAACACTATCATTTCCGGGCGATATTTCAAGAAGATTTTGAGCTTATGCAATGTAATTTTATACCAAAACTCCCTAGGACGTCTCTCGCCCCTCTCAAAGTGCCCCGCCCCGTTTGTTTTATTAGTATTTATAGTATTACATGTCGCTATTTTTAGCGCAGGGGCATGAGGAGAGTTATTGCGTATAAAACAGGTTCTCGGCGGACTTTATGTTCTTATTACATCTATTATAACTGTTTAATAGAGGCTAAATAAATCAAACACCATGGATTGTGTAAAATTCTGAGAATACCGAACATGAAAACATGAATATATACATGTATGTGACTTCAGTTCTGCATATACTTCACTCCCTGTAAAGCGACTCCGTGGTGTAGTGGTTATGTCTCTCGCTTCAAATGTGAGAGGTCCCGGGATCGAATCTCAGTCAAACCTTCCTTTTTTTTTTTTAAATACTTTTTTTTTTACTAAATGATAGTATTCAGCATGTGAAATGAAAAATTTATGAGGTTATAAAATCATCATTACAGTGTGATAAATATTCCATATAAAAAAAATCTTCTATACACATAATAAAGAATAAGCAATCAGATCTTTATATGCATATTGACATACATGTATTTTATTTCCTTCAGTATACATGTATACATTTAATAATTCTACAAATTCAGTCAGGGGGAGCCGACTTTTTCCTTAAGCGGGGGACACGAATTCTCTGAATTAGCTTGTTTAATATTTCATGATACTGTCAAACAGGCAACACATGTGTTCCCTGTCTCTTTGCCACAGATAAAATCTTAATTCTTTTTTGTGTACCAGATAGAATTCCATTAGATTAAATGACAACCAGGAAGTCTAAGTGTAGAATTATCATGCACTAGGTAAACACAAACCGGGTAACCCTATACTGACTGTGACAGTTAGGGACCCATACTATCAGCATTTTATTCTGTAGAGAAATCAGCTTCTCAAGGAAACGCATTTGATTAAGTTCTGAAATCTTCCTCCTAACCAAACAGATTCTTATGATAAAAGCAGTTTTCAAAGACATCCTTGTTTAATCATAAATATTTAAAAAATGGCATTCTAGATAACAAGGAGAGAATACACTCTGGATTAGAAAGAATCAGCATGTGTTGATCCGATGACCTGAGGGAATGGCTGGATACGGGAATAGTTACGGAGCGGGTGGTCAGGGTCAGGACATCCCTATGACAGAGAGGTCACACTGTAAGTACAATGTGCCACAGTAATTATAGAGATTACCAGGAGTACGGCCTACTGAATTAACTGAAATGTTGTGGAGCTATTATATGTACCAGTAATTAAGACAGATTTGAATCCTGCAAACTAAAAAAAAAAATTACAGTTAGTCGAGTTACCATAATGTGTCATTTATTAGCAATATTTACTTGTTTTCAACTCAATTTTCATGGTCAAGCTTTGTGAGAATCTAGGTCATGTTCATAAGACAGAGATACACAGATTACAATACTGTTTATGCATGACTGAATTTTGAAATTCTTCATTTTTGCACCCCTGGATTTTGAAATTCTTTAAATAATTTAAAAGAGGACAAGATCACCTATTGTGCTTTTTATTCTTGCTCAAAAATGAAATGAGATCATAAAGAAATATGATTTGATACCCATTTAATTACACACCCATACACACTGCAGATCTGAAATGACTTCAAAAGGAAATGTCATTGAGAAGAAATGTTGGAGCAGCTCATTGAAATGTATAAAAATTCAGTTGGATTTAGGCTTTTTGTAAAACATAGAGACATGGTCCTCCTTATCTTGTACATGTTTTAATTCTTCTCTCTCCTGATACTCAAGGTATTATTAGAATTGGTTTAGTTAAAGAGTCTTGCTGGAACTAGGAACAAAAATATTAAAAGCACAGCATTAGAGTAGATTATACTTCTTGCTTTTTGTTTTAGACACCGTGCGTTGTAAGTATCAAATGTAAGCAAAACACTCTATATACAAAATGTAAGCGTAATACGTTCTGGAGTATAAAATGTAAACTGAGAACACTACATGTATATAAACTACATATGATATCAAACTAAGTATATTTTTTAACTCTGACACTCGAAGTGAAATATGCCTTCTGTAGCTGTGCATGATTAAAATAACAATAAAAAATCACGAAACATGTATTGCTATACATTTCTGTCTTCACACATAGCTACTTGATAGATGTATTCATAACAATGTAGAACATAGTACTCCCCATTCAGTAGATGCTATTTATATCTGTGTTTACATGATATTTTTAAAGTTAACCCAGCGTACCGTGATGACAGTCTCCCCCATGACAGGGAGAGGGTGGTGGTAGACATGGAGGGGATACACATGCAGGACCGCCGGGGGTCAGACGGATCACGAGAGTTCAATCCAGAGGGCAGCACTCGCAGGAGATGGGCAGCCACAGAGGAACTGAGGGACACAGCTGACCTGATCAACTCCCTCCCCAGTCGACAGCTTGGTCAGTGGTCAACGGTGGTCATCTAAGTTCAGAAAATTAAAGTTTAATTTAATGAAAGACAGCATTAAAAATTTGTTATCAGATCTCTTAAAAATGTGTAAATTGGACATATATAAAAGCTGCTCTGATGTGAATGAAATACAAGACATCTTTCAAGAATATTTTCGGATTAAGACCAAACTATGTTTTACAGAATTTCGTACAAGCCTATAAAATATCTAGAGAAAATCTTTTATGTCTGAATAAATAGAGCAAATAGCCAGTGGTGTGTCAGCCAAAGAGTCTCTCAGAAGAAGGAAGAGCAGTAGACGATCCTTACACGGGACAATCAGAGCCGCCCGGGGGAAGGGGGCGGACGAGCTGGCCGAGTCCTTCAAACACAACGAGGAGTATATGGACGAGTTAGACGGAGAAGCCAGAACAACAGAGACACTGCGGAGAATTGCTATGCCCATGCAGGATAAAATATCAATTAAGTAAACATGGCACTCTCAACTGCTATTGTATTATTTTATTTAATCATGACACTTTTTAGCTCTACTGGTCAAAGACCAGAAGAGCTTATGCCATAGTAAGGTGACCATCTTCTGTCAGTCTCTCTTTCTGTACACAATTTTCAAAATGCTACTCCTCCTACAGTTTTGCTTTGATTTCAATATAACTTGGCACAAAGGTAAAGGTAGATTACCCTAAGATACATAATTCTCTACATTGGTTTTTGATTTAACTTATGATTATTTCTTAATTCATTACTTTTGCAATGTTTCAAGTTCAAATGCTACTTTTCTCTTCCTTCATTACAAGTATAAACCAGTAAAGCTACAGTCTCATCAGAGACTTCTGATTTGTAAATGGTACATACTTAATATTACATTTACCACTATATAGCTTTCCATAATAATTCACTCAATGGTCTGATTTGTATTTTAGAAAAACTACTTCAGAAACCAGGAAACAGATGACATTGAAGAGAGGCAAGCATAAGAATATAGGGTGGTGGAAAAGGACCAAGTACAGTATTGGAATTGTAAGTGTGAAAACAGGAGTAGCATTTTTGTCTAAGGAGATAACAGACAGCTAGAAATAACTCATCTGATTTTTATTTCATATGAGCTGAAAGATATGAGCTTTTCTGGACATTTTGTCCAACAACTAGCTGCCCATCTATCTGTAAAATTTTCACATTTTATACTTCATGTCTATGATTTGTAATATAAATATGGAAGCATCCTCAGGTAGTATAGATTCAAGTTTGTTCAAATCATTACCCCAAGGGGAAGGATGGGGCAAAATAGATGATCAAAGTTTTACAGATGTATAGGGGAAAAAAATCAGCTGATGAAAAAGAGCTGTGCCATAGTGACTCAGGTGAGCATTATGTTCAATGGCCCTCTCAGAAATTTGTAGTCTTTTTATGGAAGGCTTGTTTGCATTTAAGAAACACATAAAAAAAGTTAAATTGGACATCATCGTTGAATGTTGACATTTATTTTCTTACTTGTAGTCCTGGATGCACTTTAAGCATCGGATGGCTGAGTTTGCCTATTCCTTGGAGTTATGGAGAAGTCACATGAAAAGGATAGAGGGACACTTTGGGACTGGTGTGACTTCCTACTTCTTGTTTCTGAAGTGGATATTCCTCCTTAATATCCCTGTGTTCACCTTAACATTTGGGTTTGTTGTCATCCCCCAGATTCTCTATAGATACTACCTGAAGGATCCCACTGGGTACGGCTGGCCAGTGAATAAGACAGCTGTATCATTTACAGGGGAGGAACTCTTGACAGGAAGTGTAAGTCACAACAGCTGTATCTTTTTTGAAAGAACAAAGATTTCAAGATGAGTGTCTTGAAATTTTTTTATAATTTTTTTTTTTTTTTACAAAATAGCAATGCTTTAATTAATCAATTAAATCAATAATCAAATACTAGTTTATTGTAGTGGAAATTAAAGATTGATTAGACTTTGTACCCTTGATGACCATGATGTTCAATTTTACAATGGAAATATCTCTTGAACAAATTTATGCATGGACATATGTTTATACATGTATATGTTTGGAAACTTGCAAGACAAACTTTAGAACACATTACGTGTAAGTTAAACGAGGAAAAGAAACAAATTTACAAACATTTAATTATATGCGTAAGTATTTTTCAGAATTGGTTTGACAATACTGAAATGTACTATGGGTTTTACACCAATGAGAAGATAGCCATACCAAGGAATTCCACCAGTGAATACGACATGAAGTATGCCTATCTCTTTACCTGTGGTGGTTACTATATCCTTTGTCTGATTACACTAGCCATGAGGTAAGATCCAGAGTTCTAATAATGTGTTTCTACAGCACAAATAGGAATTGCATTTACTAATATTAGATATTCCCAACAAAATTTGGGAAGATATTTTCAGTTCATTGATTGTAATGAACATTAAGCTATCGTTTTGGATTATTTTGCAGTATCTCTCACTCTTACAAAATGAATTACATTGAGGGCAGTGGCACTCACACCTTTTACAATGTAAGCCGTGTTTTCTGTGGTTGGGACTATAACATCACAGATAAAGCTGCAGCTAAACTCAAACACAAGAGCTTCTACAATGAAATGAAGGTAAGACAAAATTAATACTTTAAAAAAAGTGATTTTCAATTTTGCTACCAATTTGCTGTTAACTTCTTGATCCTCTTCTCAGAAATTGGTGAATTTAATACATTTTTCATGTACTGCAAGTCTATGCCCAGTTGAATATCATTATCCTATATTTTGTAGGAGTATTTATCAGGCAGTAAAAAGAAAAAGATGAAGAAGAGCCTAGAAGAGAAATGTAAATTGTTTTTCCTGCGAGTGTTTACAAACCTGATAATCCTGGGTGCTATTGGTGGCCTGTCCTACCTTGTCTTCTGGATATCACAGAATGATTCACTCAAGGTAAGGGCTCGGTGAAAAGTCTCATTATCTGGGTAAAGAAGCAGGTAGGGTTGATTTGTTTGCCATAATCTTTTAAGTAAATTTTGAAAGGAGGGACAAAAAATGGGATTTTTATGTAAATAAGAGGTACTGATCTTTTAAATTTCGCATAAATTCTCAAAACTAACTTTTTAAAATCATTATTTTGCATCATACAAAATACTAGCTGACACATTAAAAATTTAGCATATTTTCATATGAACCTTAATTTATTTTATAATGAAAATCAACAGATTCATATTTCCTCTTAAATAGGTTGTGAAAAGTTATTCATATTAGTTAGCATCTAATAAATTGTAACTATGTTGGTGCAGATTTAACAATTTCAATTTTTGCAATGCACTTTATTGGCAGAAATTTCAGAAGGTATATGAAAGCATATATTCAAAAAGCATGAGGTCATTAGCTCACCTCAACGAAGTTGGGGGGAGCTTATGTGATACCCTCGGCGTCGGTGTCGGCGTCGGCGTCCCAGGTTAAGGTTAAGTTTTTTGGAGCAGTTTTCTTTTAAATTACTTCTGTGTCCTATATTGATTAGACATGCATGGAAGATGGTTTTAGTGTGTTTCATTGTACCAGACAAAGTTTCAGATGCTGCAATTTCAGCAAAGGAATGACCAGGTTAATGTTTTTGGAGCAGGTTAACATTTTTGGTGCAGTTTTGGGTGTAGGGTTCATTTCCAAGTAACTATAAGCCCTATGTTGACCAAACTTGCATGGATGATACATCTAAGGATGCATACTACCAGGCTTGCTTTGGATGCTGAATCTGACCTACATTTTCCGGTTGAGTGAACAGGTTAAAGTTTTTGGTGCAGGTTTCATTTGCAAGTAACTTTAACATTTGACCAAACTTGCATGGATGATAAATCTAAGGATGCACACTACCAGGCTTGCTTCGGATGCTGAATCTGACCTACATTTTCCGGCTGAGTGAACAGGTTAAAGTTTTTGGTGCAGGTTTCATTTGCAAGTAACAATAAGTCCTATGTTGACCAAACTTGCATGGATGATACATCTAAGGATGCATACTATAGGGCTTGCTTCGGATGCTGAATCTGACCTACATTTTCCGGTTGAGTGAACAGGTTAAAGTTTTTGGTGCAGGTTTCATTTGCAAGTAACTATAAGCCCTATGTTAACCAAACTTGCATGGATGATACATCTAAGTATGCATACTACCGGGCTTGCTTCGGATGCTGAATCTGACCTACATTTTCCGGTTGAGTGAACAGGTTAAAGTTTTTGGTGCAGGTCTCATTTACAAGTAACTATAAGTCCTATGTTGACCAAACTTGCATGGATGATACATCTAAGGATGCACACTACCAGGCTTGCTTCGGTTGCTGAATCTGACCTACATTTTCCAGTTGAGTGAACAGGTAAAAGTTTTTGGTGCAGGTTTCATTTCCAAGGAACTATGAGTTCTTTAATGACCAATCTTGCATGGATGATACATCTAAGGATGCATACTACCAGGCTTGCTTCGGATGCTGAATCTGACCTACTTTTTGTGGATGAGTGAAAATGTTAGTTTTTGATGCATGTTTCATTTCCAATAAACTATGAGCCCTATAATGAGCAAACTTGCATGGATGATACATCTTAGGATGCATACTAATGGACTTGCTTCGGATGCTGAATTTGACATACATTTTCAGATAATAGACAAGGTAAAAGTTAAGGTTGCAGGTCTATTACCAAAAACTATAAGGCTTATATAACATCGTATAAACCAAACTTGCACAAAGGTTGCATCAAGAGATGAAAGCTCTAAAATTTGCTTCAGTTGCTGGATTTTCATTACATTTTCATGAAGAAGAACTAGTTTAAATTTTTTATGCATGTCTATTTCAAAGTATCAGATCAAAATTGCTTACATATTTTCATTTTTGGAATGTATACTTTTTGTTGGTTAATTGTGAGACTTTGCCTTACTTAAAGACAACATTCGTTGAGGTGAGCTCTGTAATCTCTGATTACCTATGTTTTTTATACTGTGTATACTCTATTTTGAATCTTACTGTAAATCAGAGAAAACATATCTGTTAGAATCTTCTGCATCAGTTGGAATGATAGTTGAATTTTGTAAATTCATATCTAATTGTCATTTGTTACTTAAATCCTCTTTTTATGTGCCCGGATCAATAGATCGTGGCGTATATTGTTTTTGTCCTGTCTTTCTGTTTGTCTGTCTGTTTGTCTGTCTGTCTCTCTGTTGACAACTTTAACCTTTGCCATAACTTTTGAACCCTGAGAGGTAGATACTTCATATTTGCTATGCATTCTCCACTAATTACCATAATTGGCTGAATTTAATATGTACTTTTTTCCTAAAATAAATTTCTGTGAGTGTGTATTTTACACCACAATGGGATTTCGATAAGTTTTTCTTTCAGGGGAAACATGGCTATCATACATACATACCGTAGTATTGCCTAGAGACATATGCAATTTCGTTTTATTTATCACCATATTTTAAACTTCGGAAAGTTATTGTTGGAACGTATGCTTGTTGAAAATATTACTTTCATAATCTCTTGAAAGGAAAATGAATTAGTTCATACTCCACTAATTAAATTCTTTCAAATGACACCAAGGTGAATGATTGTTTGACCTTGACTGTGATTTACAGTAAAACTTGGTTATAACAAAGTCACTGGGACCTATGAAATTACTTCGTTATATCCGTAATTCGTTATATCCATATAAGGAATTCATAAATTTATATAGCTAGGGATTCAAAATAAATTCGCTATATCTGTGAATTAGCTATATTCATGTTCTTACTAAACAAGTTTTGCTGTATATGCTAAAAATAGCTTTTTTGAACTTTGTTGCCATGGTGCAAAACCTTAAAAAAAACTTTCAAATTCGGCACCACTCTCAAATTCACTTTCATTTTTAATTATCATCAATTTTGTGATGTAAACCAGGGTATATTTTTCACAAACACATCTTTTCCCGTGAAATATGAAAATGGCCCGATCACGTGATAAAGTAAAGGTACATTATATAATATGTCTTCCTGGAATGTACATCTAGGTTTCTGATACTGAAGCATGTACATGTACGTACTAACAAACTCAATTTTTATGAATCATAAACATTGCATGGTATCTACAGGTAGCCTTTAGAATCTTGCCTGATAATTTTTTTAAATTTTGATTCATTCTAAAGGTCAGTTGGGAAAAATATTTGCCTTTGAAAATGAACAGAATGATGAAAGTACAGAGGAATTTTTTAAATGCACAACTGACACAAATCTAATATTTATTTACTGGTAAATCAGATTAGTTGAAAATTATGATGTTATGTTAGGATTGTTCTGAAAATTACGTTTTAGATTCTTCTTTCTAATCCTTTGCTGCGGACTATTATTTTTAGCTGTCTGTGTACATCCTGAGTGATATGGCCCTGTCTCTCTGTGTGTCGGGAATATTCCTGATTTTTCCACCGATCTTCTCCATGATTGCCAGATTTGAAAGATACGAAAAACCAAAGAATGAATTGTACATCAACATGGTCAGGTAATGAATTTAAGCTGAATAGAGTAAGAAAAGCTCTCTTTTCATGTCTTGGGTTAACTCATGGAAGACCAACCAATTGTCTTTGTTTATCTCTCATCAATAATGCTATTTTAATTTTAAAATGTGTCATTGAAGCTACAAAAGATCTATTAAAATATACTTCATAACCACCCCTCCCCCCTTATCTCTCTCTACAATATCCCAAAAAGTGAATAGTTAAAGGAGAAAATTCTTTTATTTTTAAACCAGGTATTAAACCAGTTTCAAATTTATAAATCACATGAATATATTATTAAATTATTCAATGCTGTTGTTATAAAAAATAAGAATAATAGTTGTGATTATTAACACTAACATCTCAAATGTGTATGTTCACTGTAATTATGAGGGTATACCTTATTCTTTCAAATTTTGTTTTTTCTATATAACCTGTTATTCTGTTTCAAAAAATCTTTTGATGGAAAATGCAAAAACACATATTTTTCTTGTTGTTTCTAAATCATCAAATATTGGGTTTTTAGACGTATGAAAATGATGTTTAGTGACTGGTCAGAAAAAACTTTCTAGTTTATGAAGTATATTTGAAACAACTTTCAATGAAATTCAATCACATGTATTTTTCTCGGGAATTTTGTATGGAATTTTTTTAAAACTGTTTTACATTGCTGGAAATATTCAACATTATGGTTCATATATCACTTAAACCTTAATTATTCCCCTTTGTATTTGTCGCCCATCATGGCATGGACATTTTTCATCTGCAGAACCATGTTGCTTAAAACCTCTGTGCTGGGAGTTTTGGTTTATTTTTGGTTCACTACAACAGCTGATGATAAGGAGAAAGTAAGTTACACTAGAGTTAGACATATATTATTTAGTTATATATAATATTTAGTTTATACTTACATTGTAATGGAACATATGGATGATGGAGATAACGAACAGTAAACTAAATCAAAGTATACATTCTTATTTCTGGATTAATTGTTGAAATGACTAGTTATAATTTTAATTTTATTACTCCAAAACAACAAAGGAGTTACTGAGTTTTCATCTTTTATAAATCTAATATTTAAACTTGCCAATAGGGTTCATGCAGCTAGGTAATTTAACACACAGTGATCTAAGTATTTATCAGCAGCATCAAAAAAGAAGACTCAAGTTATGACTTAACAAGATAGAACTTCCTGTGTGTAATTGAATGAACAAAAGACAGAGAGCAAGTGAAACTTGCCCATATGAAACATGGTCACCAGCACCTGATACATGAAGGCTGAGGGCAAGGCAATCTTGCCTATAGGAGCTATGGGCACTAGCACCTGTGTAAAGAACGGAGTATATGACTAATTATGAATTTAATATTTCCTATTTTACAGTGCTGGGAGACAGATGTGGGCAATGAAATTTATCGTCTTGTGTTGGTGGACTTTTTATTTATTCTAGGAGCTACATTTGTTCTGGAATTCTTACGCAGGTATATGTATAAGGATAAACATGACTTATTTTTCAAGAATATTTGTTGTTGGCCTGGTTATACACCCATTTAACAAAGTGTAAGGGGGTATTTTGGAATCACCATGTCCGTCTGTCTGTGTAGCTGTCCGTCTGTCTGTAGACCAGATTTTGTCTGGACCATTTCTCGGAAACTACTGCAATGATTTGTCTTAAAATTTATACACTAATTATTCACTATAAGAAAGTGTGCACCTGGTGTTTTTGTCTTGATTTGATGATTTCACTGCATTAAGATATAATATTGATCCTGACTAGAAGCATAAATTGGAAATACATGTACTGGATGCCATATATGAGACTTAGTGCTATGTTGATGTTGTTGATTTATATTAGCATAACTCCTCTGATCAAGCATGTGCTACCGGTATATACCGGTATATCTTCCGGAAATTTGGCAAAAGAATAAAAGATATCTGTTCTCTAATTCTTTTAATTGTAATTTATCTGTCAAAGCACTTAGTTACTGGATTACCAGACTTTTGTTTTAAAAATGAACTTGATATAAAGTTATCAAGATTAGTTTGATTTTGTAAACCGGGTTATATGATTTTTTAGCCATGAATTTGCAGAGTGTCATGTGTCTTACAAGGATGACAGATACATGTGTAGTTCCAATTTATTTTTTCAATGTAATAAAAACAATGTGATAACAAAGTGTTGATGTGTTAATAGGTTGCAACTTAGTTTCATTCATTAAAAAATAAAATAAGCAACAATTATATTTTCAATCTACATGTTTTTAAGTAAATTTGGAATACCTCTTAGATCCATAAAATATTCCTAATTTGGCACTATCTCTGAAAAACGAGGGGGGGGGGGGGGTGAATTTGTCCCTTTTTACACTTCTGGTTTGTTTTTTGATCAGTTTATTACACTGTATTTTCTAGATTACATGTATTTGATAGTGTTCTGTTCCATACTTAGGATATTTGTTATTCTGTGGCATGTTTTATTTTGGAAAATATTTATACCCTTTCAAATGAAAATTGGGTGTATAGTATGGGTGAAACAATCAGGCTTGAGTGATATACATGTATTATGAAATGCTGGGACTGAATCAAGAGATGCAGCGTGTTATATCACCTTTTTGTAATGCATACATCCTTTTCTACATCTCCTCTTAAATCATTGGAATTCTGGCATTGTGCATCTCATAATTTTTTGGGGGACACATACAATATTTTGGGATTCCCTTAGCAAAATCTGGACACTACCACCTTTCATTAATGTTGATATATCCATAAGTAGTTTACCACTGAATAAACTAAAAAAAATTGTACATAATACAACTCCTGTTTTATGTTTAGATTTGACAGATTGTTGGGTTGTTTTATAGCAAAAATGGTTTTCACAATTGTAATCAAATGAGAGGATGATATCTTTTTGTGATTTTATGACAGTGAGTGCTCACAATACCTCTAGTTGTCATTCTGTTACTATGTAGGTTATCTGACACTGTTTTATTTGTCTTACAAGACATTTGGGAACCTCTATATTATTGTCATTCTGATACTATGTAGGTTAGGCCATGCAAAATTAATTACTTGGTTCTCAGGCCTTTTTTCAAGAAATATGATGAGGGAGGGAGGCATTTTTTTTTTATTTTTTATTTCCCCCAAAACATGATGAGGCAGCTTTTTACATTGTACAAAACCTCAAAAAATGATGAGGGAGGTGATTTGGTGTTTTTATTTTATTGATTTGGCAATAAAAAGGGTCAATGAGGCACCCTTGGAAGAGATGAGGGAGGGCCTGAGAACCAAGAAATTAATTTTTTTTTGCCTTATTTAACATGACTTTATTTGTCCTACAGGATATTTGGGAAGTACTGTTGTAAGAAGCCAGAGGAGGGACTTGAGTGATATACATGCATGTATCATGATACACTGGGGCTGAATCAAGAGACACAGTGTGTTATAAGTGTTATCACTTTTATTACAGTTCATTCTCCTTTTTCAAGAGGAATATTGGCATTTATACACCAAAATTTACATTTCCACTGTCTTTGTCTGAGATAGAATTATATATAGTCCTTTGATGAGGTCGATCTGTAGATATATCAACTTCACAGAAAAGCATATCGACCGAGCACAAAATGTTACCAAAGTCAGTCCAATGTCAAAATTGTTTGACCAGTTCTTTCAACTGCTATGCATTGGACTTTTTAATCTCTAATACATGTAATAGTGCTGTGGACTATAAATTAAATTGTGTACGTTGTGTGTTTTAGGTTGGGAACATTTTATTCTCCACTTTTATCTCTCGTCATGATGGTGAAGCTCTTCATTATTTTCTACGTCAAAATGGTACGTATATCCAGCAAAGCATCCTATAACTAAATGATGATTATTTTAATTGAAAGATACCATGCTCTATTAATATTTGGTTTTTCAGATAAGTGTCCTTCAGAACTGCCGGCCTTCTCTGCGACCTTGGAGAGCTGCCAAAAGTCACACCATTTTTATGGGCTTCCTGTTCTTCTTTTTTCTAATGGCTATGGTAGCTGTGGCTGTCGGGGTCATCATGTAAACATCTCATTCATTGTTGTTGTGCCTTTCCAAATTTTCATTACATTGACCTTACACTTTTGTTAAACTTATAAAGACAATTTTAAAATTAAGAATTGCAGGTTTTGCATTGCTTTTTTCTAGGGATGTCAAATCGGTATTTAAACTCGGTCCTTTGATCGAGTACCCGGGATCGGTAAAAGTGTAAATATATGAAGAAGTAAATTGATGAATGTAAATATTGTAAACTCTTGTAGTAATAAAACCACATGCATCTGATAGGAGGTTTACCCGTAAATGTATTTCTGGTATAACAATGATGAGCACTTCGTGCCCGACGAAATTTAATACAACATTTTTTAAGTTCAGTATTATATTTATCAGATAAACACAAGAAATAAAATCGTAAGTGGTTCACAGTGTTTGTGTTTTAAAAAAAATAGTCTACTCCGTAATTGTAATGTAAATCTTTGTTGCGTTTGACGTCCAAGTATGTGTCGTTGTGTGTTTTGACTTGAACTTGACTAAGTTCTCCTAACAGAGCGGATTTACGATTTTCGTATACTTTTCTATCCTAGATTTTATAATATTATGGGACGGTATTTTGTAGTTTGGTGCATCGATGGACATCAGTTTTTTAAAGCCTTTGCCTTCAACTATTTGTACATGTATTGGCATTTAATCAAACACAACTATATCAACAATCGCGCTATTAATATTTGGTTTTTCAGAATTCATAAGTGATAAAATTATCCAATTTATTTAATCATAACAGACTTTAAACGATGTTCAGTGAAAACAAATATTTAAAGCAAATCAAAAAATAAGGGTAGAAGACAGCCGAAGGTGAGAAAAGCGAGGTAACAGGTGCTTGGTCACGATAATTACTGTATAAACACTCGATAACTGTGGCTGTTGAGGATAGGAAACCCTATTTCTATATGTACAAGTGCAGTGAGTTTGCGTTTTAAAACAGATTGTTTAATGCATTAATAAATAATCTTACACTTTTGTTAAACTTATAAAGACAAATTTTAAAATTAAGAATTGCAGGTTTTGAATTGCTTTTTTCGTAATTTTTTTTTAATTTTATCCAAAGAATTGAACCAAGTAAAAACTGTGGTCCCTTTCGGGGAGAGGAGAAGGCTTATTCTATTGTGACTGAACTGATTGACAGCTGGAAAAAAAACTTGCCAGTGCTTCATGACATCATCAACTTTATTTCCAGTCCAGGGTGTATAGCCAGCATTCTGGTGGCTCTATGGTAAGTCATCAACTTCATATCCAGTCCAGGGTGTATAGCCAGCATCCTGGTGGCTCTGTGGTAAGTCATCAACTTTATATCCACTCCAGGGTGTATAGCCAGCATTCAGATGGCTTTATGGTAAGTCATCAACTTTATATCCAGCCCAGGGTGTATAGCCAGCATTCAGATGGCTTTATGGTAAGCATATATACTGGTGGCTCTATGGTATTGAGCATTCTGTAAATGTTTTACATTTGGCGTGTACGATATTTGGCAGAAATTCAATTTTCAACAAGGTAGCGTAGATTTGATTTAGCGCTGTCTGGATTTGCTAGTTATAAAATTTAATATAAAAGACATTTAGCGATGTACTATAGTACTTGAATAAGGGGATGCTGCTTTCTGCCAAAATCGCTAAATAGAATACACCACTAAATGTAATACCGTATAAGTGGAAATTTTAGCGAGATGCAAATCTAGCATTTTCTACCTAAAAATGGTATTTTAGTTGTAGTGAGAATTAATTTTAGCGAGTTTAAAATGCTAACTAAAGTAGTTGTTACAAATAATATGCAATTAATTATTAGCGATATTCAATTTTAGCGTTATCAGCACCCTCGCTAATAATGCCAAAATTAAATCTTCACTAAGAATTCTACTTATACGGTATGTTTACAGTATATACTGGTGGCTCTGTGGTAAGCATATATACTGGTGGTTCTTTGGTAAGCATATATACTGGTGGTTGTATGGTTAGTCATTAACTTTATAACCTGCCCAAGGTGTACAGGCAGCATCTTGATAGGCATGTAGTAATTATTTTTTACTTCATATACATGCACAGTCCAGGTTGTATATCCTATATCCTGGTGGCTTAACAAACTGTTTTACTGCTTTCAGTGTGGGGACTTACTACATGAGGATTGTAATGGTGGGACACAAAGAGATGGTGACACTATTGAGGCAACAGCTACATATGGTTTGTCAAATCACTCAATCATTATTTACTGTCACAGATAATAGTCATAATACATACATGTATCTCAAAATAGCCGCACCCTCAGTGTACATATTCCATATTTTTTAACAGTTGCAAAAAGGCTAATGCAAATACACATGTACCTAAAATTCTTTAAAAAATCAGTTTTGAAATGGGCATAAATCATTAGAATTTGATGATGTTTTACTCTTCATATTTATTGGTGCTGGACTACATGTATGTACTCTCAATGCACTTGATGGTTAATTAATAATTTCCTAATTGTCTGCACAGGAAGGGCGAGATAAAGCCTATTTACTGAGAATGTTACAAGATGTCAGTCAGAAGAAGAAGGAGAAACTCCCACCATCTAATGTGAACAGGCTGCTGTCTCCGACCTCAGTCTCGACCCTAGAGGCAGGTCAAAGGTCACCAGGTATGTCATTATAACCAGAATGATCAGCAGACTTTTGTCTCAGAAATCAATAATATGAATACATTTCAGATTAGTTTCTTATCATTTCATTTGTTTGTTCTTCTGTACTGTAGGAATCTACTTTTGATTTCAAATAGTTTTATTAGATAATATTTTGTTATTGCACACTTTATTAGCACATTATTACACATATGGATTATGGTATTTGTGATATGGAAATGAAGACTTTTTTCAATTCTGCACAGAATGATTTATTACACCCTGTATCATTTGACTGCAGTTATGTACATGTATATGTACATGTATATGTATCAGTTTTGAAATGAGGATGAAACTCTAGTTGTTCTATCAATCTTTAACATATATGTAATAGGTATAGCAGAAAAATGCATATAGATTATGTTTGTTATAATTGAAATTTTGAAGGAATTACATGCTGAAAATTTATTTAATTCAGTTTATATTGAGAATAATTCATACTGTTTTCCAAATCACACCCTGTATCAGAGGGATGTTGGTGATATGGAAAAGAAAATGTATTTATAGTTTTTCATACTCTTAGTAAAAGAAAAAAACTTGAGCAAATAAAATCAATCACTGACTAGCTTATCATATCAAAGAACAGTAATTTAAGATTTAGAGAACGTGAACAAAAAGAATCAGGTGTAATATAAGTACACTGTATTGATTTTCAAAGTATTAAGCTCCAAGGGTTTGGTCTGAATCTATCAACCTTGCAGGATCTGTGTATCAGATATCAGACATATTGCATATTCAAAAAGGAAACACCAAAATAACTTTTTTTTATTTTTTTTTATTATAAGTTTTTAATTAACAGCTAAATACAACAGTATTTACACTTCATGAATTTTATCACAGTCATCTGTTACTTACGTGTACATTCTCTGCCTTGTTCTGTACTCTGCTTCCTTTGACAGCAGGATTTGACCTGAATTTTCCAGGAAGTGTCCCAGCCATCAGTATTTCAGACTTCTCTTCCTAAGTTATCTCCCTTGAGTTCAGTATGTTTCTATTTTGGTGTGGTGGGAATTGAGATGTGGTGTAGAGATGTACATGCATGTCCGTAGATTGATATGGCTTTGCTGTTTGAAAAAAAAAAAACAAATGTGTGTGGTTTGTAATAATGCAACCTTTTTTTCAGAAAATAGTAAGTAACCCTGTTGTTTCCAAGGGGAAGTTTTAACCAGCCCTTCCACTGGTTTAAATGTCAGCAGTCTCTTTACTTTACATGTACAAGTTGATTGTAGTTTTGAATGTTCCCAAATTACATGTGAAATACCAGTAACTGTTGACTGTTTTATTCTAACAGCTCAGAGAAAAAGGGCAACAGTAGCTTAAAGGTTAATTGGTTCACCATTTCTGCTTTATTTTCATTAGTTATACCATTCTTTCTTATTTCCTTTTCCAGGCTTAAAAATCAAATTTCCAACTTTTGGCTACAATTGAATTTTTTTTAATTTTTCTTTCATTTTGAAATCCATTGTTTGAAATCTTTGAATTTTCAAGTTCAGTCATTATCTTGTTCTATTCACACTGATAAAACTTTTCACCAATACAGTTATACAAATTGATATGCTTTATGTGAAGGATGTGATAGAATTTGCTGAAGCATGATATTAGCCAACTCTGTTCATTGAATGTCAAGTCACTGTACATAAGTGTATATTTCAAATTGCACATGATAAAGCTATAAATGTAAGATATGGAAGATGTGTGCTTCAGTGCCACTACTTATAAGCATGAAAAATGTGCAAGCCTTGCAAAGAGAGCATGATTTTCATTGATTATTACATTGCATGTTTACTGTAAACATACTTTTTTTTCTCCACCGTGTCAAAATTACATTAAATTCCAATTTCTAAATAATCAGTGGGGAAAAAATTACACATACTCTTGGACTATGTCTTAAATGCACTTAAGGACCCTCTCTACACCAGTGCAAAACATTTTTTGGACATTGAGAAAAATATATTCTATAAAGGTGTTAATATTAAGATTCTTTAATTAATTTTCACTATATGGTAAGTGGCATTTACCCCCAGGAAAAATAATCAAACACAACACAGTATCAGTAAATAGAAATCACTGTTAATTACTTCAGTAGAGAAAATACAATAAAGCGCATTGAAGTGGTAAAAATTTCCATTTGAATGAAACTTTCTGAGTCATGTTTTGAACGTCAATTATAACATAATGACACGCCCATATTTTTAGAAACGAGAAAGAAATATTCGTCGTAATGTTTTAGGACACCCTTTCTTCACGACAAGCAATATGAGTTACACTTAAATGGAGCTTTATAAAGATTAGAAGAGAGAGTTAGAGACTCCCTGCTTCTGTAAAACACAAATTGGAATGACTATGTACATATTTTTGAACTTGTCATGTCTATTGAAGTTACCAAAATACATGTTTCGGTCAAACATGTGTTTACTCGGTGTTTATTTAGACCGTCAATTTCATTGGCTATTATATTTATGGAAAACCTGTTCTACAGGTATTCGAATAAACAAATTGACCGTTTTATCAATTTCTAAGGAAATGGGCGTGTCATAAGATGACAATAAACGTTCTAAAGATAGCTCAAAACGTTCCATTCGAACGGAAAAAACTTCAATGCGCTTCATTGTACATGTAAATAACATGTTCAATTAATTTATCTTGGCCTTTTAAAATGCTAAGAATACTTGAATTGATTACAAATTGTGTAATGTACTATGAATTTCTATTTTTTAGAATTTAGATCTAAGGGCAGATCACTCTAATTGCTAAAAAATACCATAGAATCAGAACTCTTTAGTGTGCAGTGTAGAGAGGGTTCTTAAAATATACTTTGGATTTCTTCAGAAAATCTGTAACTACATAAATCAGTCTCATGTGGAATTTTTTTTCTTCGTATGTTTACAGTATATTATTTTATTCAATTGAAAGAAAATTATGCATATTTTATCATCTTAAAATATTGTAAGATTTCATTTGGGAAAAACTTTCCTGGGAATACATAATTATACTTGTCTAAAATTATGTTGCCATGAGCTTTATATCTTTGTATATTTAAAAGAAAATGAAAATATTTTTGGAAGAATTTATTTTTATTATCATTCATATATAGCTAAAAAATTTATGTTGAATGTACTACACGAAGCAACAGTTAAATTATGTATATATCATTCATTTCTAGTGTTAACTTTTGCCTGTGAACTTTATTAAATTTTGTCTTATATTTTGTAGGTCATCGTGTGTTTGCAAGAGCAGCAGCTGAAAATGCTGCAACACTGTCACCTAGCAACCCCAGAGTGAGGCGGGGGGAGTCTAATGGGAGTCTCAATGGCATTCTACGCTGAGCAGCCCATCCATTTCAGACACAAAGCTTTAAGAAATCCATTGTCTTACACATCAGTATAAAGGACTATCTTTACTTTTACAAACCTTATATTCATGTACATGTATCAAACTAATACTTTATTTGTGACAGCATTAAATAATATGAAAGATTTTGATCTGTGTACCTTTAACATGTTCCTGGGTAAAGTTTGGGTCCAATTTGGAGATTACTATCTTATTTGATATATACCCTTATAGTAAAATTAATCTGTGATAAGTTTGCAAAATTGAATGTTCACATTGTGTATATGTACATCATTTAAAGCTGACTCAGGTGGTAGGTGTTTGTTTGTATATGTTAGTTTGTCATCTTTGATGAGTGGCATATTTTTTTAATCTTGAATTTCTTTGTCAAATTATGAGTGGGCATAATGCATAATATTATATTCTAAGCATCTAAGGCATAATTAACTTTAATATACTGTTTATACAATTGTAAAATTTGTGGAGGGTAGCTTTGTCAATGGCAAGTTCTTATAAACATAGGGACCAATATCCATAGATTACCACTTGCAGTGTTGAAGTGGCTTATGCTAGTGAATACACATGTTTAAAACAAATTTTATGTAAAACTTTTTTTTTTCCATATATTTACCGGTAGTTGAAAAAAAAACATCTTACCATGAGAATAGCAGTGAAGTGTGCATTATTTCAGTTCTGATCATGTTAACTTTATACTTCATTTTGCTTTAAAGCTAAACTGACATTTCATCTTTGTTTTCATTAAAACTCTGAATTCATGGGACAACAGGCATTTAAAATTTTATTCAAAATTTAATTTTTTTTAAAATTTGTTTTTGATTTCACTCTTTTTTGGACCCTATTATGTACCTATATGTATTTTGTCTTGTATACATGTATAAATGCAGTGTGACAATTTCACTTTCTCTGAAAATAATTGCCTATATTAACTATGTATGTTCATTGAGACACCAGAAATGTAATAACCAGCAAAGACCTTTGGTGCCTATATGTCTGTGTTCTTCGTAGGTGCAATGATTTTTGTTGTCTCCCCTCTTTTAGAATGCTGTCTATTTGCTTCATAAATTATAAACATCACACATTAACTTATAAACCTTTCTATTTCAGTAATATGTACATACATGTATTCAGTGTTCTGTATCAGATGCCAAATATTTGTCTTCCTCTTGATGAAGGGAGATCTACATGTATATGTACTTTCTTGCATTAAATTTTTCTTGTCTCTCTAAAACTGTGATCTGCAGACCTTTATTTTTCTCTGAGATTATTGTGGAATAAATGGGTTTTTTTTCATTCAAGAGTCATTTTTATGAAAATTAAAAGATGGGCAATTTTTCAAGTACCTTTAACGGCTTAAGCATTTTGCCAGTGAGAATAGACCAATCCACACTTTACATAAGCTGTTTCCCTTTGCGGGGTCAACCAAAAGGTCAGAAGGGAAAGAAACAACATTTCTCCTCTTTATGCTACCAAACATTTGGGTGGACTATGATGAATCCACTGTGTTTAAATTGTTTTCTTTGGATGTGTGGGTAGCCCCAACATATACACTATGCAATGATTTTTCCCAATCAAATGACAAAGTTACAAACCTGAAATTTAAAACTACGAAGGATACTGTGAGGATTCTAGGGTTTATCCCCTAAGATGGCGGCCAAGGGACATAACTTTGAAAAGTGTGGATTCAACTACACATTTTACTCTTTATATTTAGGTCAAGTAATGTATTTGCACATCTGTCAAATACATCTCTACATGAATGTGCAAAATCATGAGAACAAGGCCCAAAACAAACTGATAATATTGTTCGAGACATATTTAGCCATGTGCCTCACTTAAAATATTGCCATTTTTAATATTTAGTGTTAAATATTGCTATACACTCTATACTTGGAAGTGTCCTTTAGATATTAGTAAACAATAGAAAATCATTGCAGACCATTTTATTACATGTATTAGACAGAGAGAGAAAAAGAATGAGGTCACAGCAATGTTTAAATGTACATTATTGAGTGTTGGTTCTTCTTTTTGTTGTACACTCTGATGCTTATTAGTAGCTTCTATGTATGTTGGAGGTCAGCTTGACACATTTGTTCAATGATGCTAGAATATACACAGAACCTCTTACAAATTTTGTCAGTTGAAAGAAGAACGAAATGTATCTCTACACACGACTTGTACATTCCTTGACTGTAAACACTATATTTATACAGGTATACTTATGATGTATTGTTATATTTAAACAAAGATAACCTACATGTATGATTTACATATACTTGATAATTATTGTTATTATTAAACAGAGATAAATCATTTTGATAGTGTTTTTTTTATTTATATTTTGTACAAAATAGTTTTCTGCCAAGGGAATCTATATGAATCTGCTATTTCCTTAATACCTATTCCATAACTGTTTTATCATATGGAAAAAATATAAGGAGGTTCATTTAACCAAATATAAAAAATGTTCGACGATACGAGGGGTGATAAAATTCTTCACAAACTATATATTTACATAACTACAATTCAAATCAGAATAAAATTTAGCACACATATGGTCATAAGGATGTTCTATAAGTAGCATATGTTTATGTTTTGCTTTTTGTTTATGACATCACAATATGAAAACGATGTCATCTTTTAGACTGAAAAATGGTTGGCCTCATCCTTCCTTGAGCAAAGAACAACAGCTGTTAAGTTTGATACAAATCTTGTAAATTCCTTTGCAGTGGCATATATAATAATTTGTCAGAAGTTCAATCATTAATGGAACCTATTGTTTTAGAGAAGGAAGGGAGATTGTTAAACATGATGTTCGTTCAAGTACCCAATGAAAGTTAGGTTGGAAAGAGATGTGTCCTTTGTTGAACAAATTATGAAAATTACGAAGTTATAGTATGAAAAATAGTTGAATACATGTATCTTAACAATGAAATAAGTATTATAAATCCCTAAAATATCATTTACTTTTAGATGATAAAGAGAAGGCACCCATACTTGATCCATGTTAGATTAAATGACTCAAGGAGTTTGGTTTTGATGGTCAGCATGCTCAATATTCTGGGAAAATGTATCTTTGTCCACCCATTTGTAGCAATGGACTATTCTTGTTAGAAAATATTTAACCGGTGTTGTAAGAAATATAACAGGTTTGTAAGGTCACTGGAAGTTTGTATAGTTTTTAAAGTCGGCACTTGTTGGTGATGTTTGTCATATATTGTTAGGGCTAAGTATTGATCATCTATTGCCAAAACTTCAAACAACAATTAAGATGCAGAGCTGTGTAAAATATTTTAATAAAGCATCCTTTAAATAACCTAGTCATCCAAAAACTTCCTAAGACATAAAGATACAAGTCCTCAACAGTTATCAATATCACAATGGCATCTACATAAAAACAAACAAAAAATTACCCCAACATTGAATGAAGCTCAGTACTGCTCTTAAATTCAGTACACTACAATGGAAATTCTGGATTATATAAAAATATTTTAAAAATTCTAAAATAATTTAATTGTAAAATGATTCAATTAAAATACTGGCTATGATTAGAAAAATTGGTGGTACAATCTGAGTGTAAAACGGTATATAATAATTAAAACATTATATCAACAGTCATATTTTGCTAAATTAACATAGATTTATAACAAATAGATCTAGACATTCACAATAGGTCCCTGCTATGAAGACAAATTCAAATTAAAACGACACATTACTGGTACATGTACATGGTTTTGTGTTGACAACATGCTTGTACATGTTGTTAACATAAAATCATATATTGGATATTTTACTTCAATAGATATTATACAAAATAGAATATAAAGTCTATGAAATTTCTTTTATACTAATATAGAATTAGTTTGAAACACTGGTATAAAAAAATCAGCAATGGACGGATATAACATCTTTAAAGATATCTATTAAATCAACAGTGTTAAGTTGTAATCACTTCAGTTTCCAATGAAAATATGACAAACAGCAAGAAATGCAGTCATTTGTCAGCAATACTGCACAAAAGAAACAAAGCAACAGTGACTTATAACAGCTGATTTGCTACTTTCTTAAAAATTAAGTACAGATCCCTTATTAGACTTTATTTATACTCCATTTCTTCAAAATCCCTGGAACCTTGCATTAAATATACAAAATAACGAAATTGCAAGTGATTCAAAAGGAAATTGCTTGCATCATATTGCTGTTTAAATTACTTGGAATTCTAGCAGTCAAAGTTGTGATTTCTCACTCAGTTACAAACAGTGCTTGCATCAGAAGCCTACAATATCACAGGAAATGCCGTCTAAGTCTACAACGTCCATCACTAGGTAGGCTTATGGCCTCGGTTCACTCTCAAACTCACGCTGTATGCTCTCTAAAAATGAGTCGCCACTTTGCTCCATCTTTTTGTGGGTTTCCTCAAACAAATGTTTTTTCTCCTGCAATAGATAAGAAAGAGGTAGTGAACAATACACTTAGGTTGTGTCTTCAGAAGATCTGTTCAATAAAATTTACCCTCGTACTCTGTCAAGGTTAGGGTATCAGATTCAAAATTGTTCATCCCTTGCACTTTGCTATGAGCATGTTTTATAATACACAGATACATGTAATGTGTACATTTGAACAATCATAACATAAATAAAATACATTTATAAAATATAGATACTTTGTTACATGGTATAAATTTAAAGACAGGAAGAAATGCTGTGGAAACACTTAATATTTCAAACAGTAAATATGCACATGTATTTCAATTTGAAAAATTCTTTACAAACTAGATAAGTATAGCCAAATGTTTGTCATTGAATGAAGCTAGGACACATAACTAAGGCTCCTTTGAGACAAGGAGAACTTTAAAAAGCAATAATTCGAACCAAATTACAAACTTCACTAGATCTCTGCTACAGAGTGTGTTTTTTTCTTTTTGTAGACAATGAAGTCTGCAGAAGACTTTGGAATACTGAATAATTCATCCCTGTCTTAATTACTACATATATCTCAAACAGTAATGTAGCATGTCTCCTTCTCTGAAAAAAATGGAATCCTGTTTACTTATTGATGGCCTCTGATTCACAAAAGACCTTGGAAATGTTCAAATGTTTCGATCATGTTAAAATAATAATTGAATAGAATGGTGAGGGACAAACAGATCAGAAAAGTTCTCATGAAGCTTTATGACAAAAAAGCAATGTTTTAACCACGAGTCCCTAAACATTATCTCAACACAGTTTAATAAAATCAAACTTCATGTAATGATGGAATTGCCAAAACTTTTACTTATTAAAAAAAATAGACCAAAAGCTTTATATAACACGGTAAACATCATTAAAAAAAAGACACATATAGCAATAAACAAATGTGGCAAGGAATATATGGGCATTGTATTGAAGAATGAAATAAATTCATTGCTTTATTAATGATTTGAAAAATTCACCATGAAGTGTTATTAGACAAATTCACTGAACAACAATCAGTAATTTACCAACGTCAAGCATTACCTGCAATGATTCCTACATTGTGACCTAAATCTGTTAACAAACCAGAGAATCAGGTCGCCATATTGATTTAATATATTATACACATGTTTCTAAAGTGCAGCTAATTTTAATTTTTGCACAAATATACATAACGTGTATATCTGTACATATTTTATACCATAAATACATAGGCATATACCATAGTTGTTAGAAACTACATGTAAATTCCCAAAGTGCCAAATATACATTTCATAATTATAATGCAAGTGTGAAGTTGTGTACTGTTTTCATTAAGACTGTGACCAGTGTTTATTTATTGGTTAGGTATCATTGTTAGTATTTATATGAGAGTTATCTTCCCCTGTGGGAGGGAGGGAGGCGGGGTGGAACTGTTTTTACCTGTAAAATCTGGCAAGGTAATAAGGAGAGAAGACATTAACATAATCATTAGCATATATAATATACAGTTATTGACTGGGTATGAGGGCAACATATGATTTGTTGGACCTGAAGGTGAAAATGTTGCCCGAGGCCGCAGGCCAAGGGTAATTTTTCACCTTTCCAACAAAACATACCTGATACAAAACTATAACTGTTTTGTTATACCCTTCACTGCTCACTTAAGATTGATCAATTTTATCAATACACGCTATACTATCAATTATTTTATATGGAAAATTATGGTTTCTTCAGCTTGCTGTTAAAAAACAAAATCAATTATAAATCTATTATATCACAAAAAATATTCACAACAACATACTCTTCCCTTCTACATTACCTTGCTGTTAGCAGCAACTCTTAATAGCTCTTTAACTTCGGCTATTTTCCTGTCGCCGATATTGAACGATGATTATTAATTGTGACGTAACAGAAGTGACGTGCGGTCTAATAATTCTTATGTAGGACCGGTCAATAGTGATTGTTAGACCGATGTAAAAAACATTTCTTTTGTTGGACTTTTTATTAGTAATAAATATATAGAATGATATTTATAAGGGTATAACAATGATTAATATTGTACATCAATATACATGTACTGTATCAGTCACACTTTTAAATCAAAATTGCTTAGGGATGTTGGATTAATTGTATATTTTTTTACTCTTTTGAATCAAAACCACCTGATACAAAACTACAATTCCGGTCAAGCATAAACAAAGTTTCTACTAACCTCTTTTTCTTTTTGACTAGAGCGAGAATCTTCATTATCTTCATCTTGCTGTTAAAAAAAATGACAGAGTTAATTATATCAAAGAACAGCAAACACATACACATGATTCCCACTTACATTTTACAAAAAGATATTTCAACATTTTTGGTAAATTTGTTTCAATTTTTTTTCTTGCAATGATTTTGTTAGTAATTAAGAAGGGATTTATTTACTTGTGTAATCCAGCACTTCCATTTTTATAGTATGTGAATATAAACCTAGATTTAGATCTGATAAATCTAGGTTTTTATCCATTTATCCAATGAGATTGACTTTTCTAAATATACCTGTAATTACATTATCCTCCAATGAAATCTAGTTTTATAAATACATTATCTACCAATGAAATGTACTTATTTATAGACACTTACATTATCATCTTGCCAGACTGGTTTCTCATCACTGTTTGAGTCCTCTTCTATTGTAGGAAGTCCTTGTCTATAATAATACAAAATAATTGTAGAATAAAGAAAAATTATAAAACCCATACATTAGGCCAGATAAAATTAATCTTTAGATTCTCATCCTAATTTGCTAAAAAATTGGGGCGGGTGGGCGGATTTTATTTTCTATTTTTTATAATTGAAAATATCAAAAAATTTAGAAACAATTTTTCCTTATGTAAATGCCTATATGAATAGATTTGTATGACTTCTCATAGGCCTTTCCCCCCAAATACTTTTTAGTTTCGCCAACAAATCCTTCTGTTTAAAAATTTTGTAAAATATCACAGATTTCTACATGTACCTTTCTAAAAAATTCGATTGTTCTTGGGATTCTACGTTTGACATTGAAGTAGGTCATATTTGCAAACTCTATAAAATATTTTACTGGAAAGCCTAGTCTTGAACAGTTTCAATATTTAATATTTTCTTAATACTATTATTCTCTTAATTCTGCCAACGATGTTTTATTTAATTATATATTTCTTTTATACAAACTCACATACAGTAGAGATCGTTAAAACTTGACCAGGTGCATTTCCCTCATCAATTTTTACCTAGTAGTTTAAAGTCTCTTCAAAAACTTGCTTATCAAGATGTGTTTATGCTATTTTTTCTTCTCTGCCTCTTCTATACTGACGCATTATCCTTTCCTTTCATATCTAAAATGCTTTTATTGCCGATTTTTCTCCATTCTTCACATGGCTCTTTTGCTATAAATAGCGACACGCGACTTTTGATACAAACGGGAGATAACTCTAAAACTTTGATCCAAATTCTTACTGAATAAAAAGACATTAAAATATACTTTTAACACCCAAAAATCAAAATAAAAAACACCGGGGCGGGACATTTTGAGAGGGGCGGGCGGGGATGAGAATCTAAAGATTAATTTTATCTGGCCTTATCTGCTTGTGAGATAAACATTCCTGCTGTCTACAGTTAAGTGCGTACCCTCGACTTCTGAGCTGAGCGAATCCACTGGAGGGATTCTCCAGTTCATCTTCACAAGCCTTCAGGAACCGGACAACATCGTCATGGTGGAACTCCTCCCCGATCTCTCTCGGCGTGCGTCCCACGTCGTCTTTAACAGACATACTGCTCCTGTTGGCTACAAGCCATTTCACGCATTCCACATGTCCACTGAAAAAAGACATCCTCTCTAAGACACATGCGACATAAAATCAGGAAATGAAATCTTGCAAATATTATGGTTTTCACAGGAAATTGAGATTTTTGTATAGACTTACTTCATTGCAGCTAGATGCAGAGGAGTTTGCTTGTCTAAAGTTCGGCAGGTTATTACAGCACCCATAGCGTGAAGAATCTACAATTACAATAAACATACACAGTACAATATGTACATGTACAACATTACAAATTTTCCATCTTTTTGTCTTATATTTGTCACTTTATCAAAAATAACTCCTAAGTGAAAAATAATGAAATGAGCAATAAACAAACCAAAGAATACCAATACCTTATTAATATACATATTGTTTCATATATTTAAAAAAATTTTAAAATTGAAATTCAGAGATGCCCATCAGTATACAAAGCTGATTGTTTCCTATCTTACCATTAAACAGTTGACATGTCCATTCATGGCCGCCAGATGTATCGGTGAGTACCCTTGTGGGGTTTCTCTATTCATGTTCACTTCATTAATAGCAAGCCATTTCAAAATTTCCACTCGGCCAAACTTGGCTGCTAGATGCAGTGGGGTTAGGCCCTGCTCATTTGTGTGACTAAAATAAAATGAATGTATCGTTTAGTCAATGAGTGAATGTAAAAATGATGAACATTTCTTTGTATTTTATAATAAAAAACAAATACAGCAAACACACAGTGTATAATGAAATCAAGTTTATTTACAGCCAAGTGATTTTCATTCCTTGTACAGTGCAGACTTGTTAGTACAATATACTATTTTTAAAAATTGCTATAAACCTGATGGACACTAAAAAATTCATAAAATCAGAATTTATCATCCCTGGCACCTGATTAAGGATGTTACCATGTTTAAACTGTTAACTTTAAGAAAAGATAGGGATTATAAAGTTTAGTTTAATAAAAAAAAATATGGAATCATTTTATCAGCTACATAAAAAGAGACAGATACTGCTATTTCCTTACTCTTTCATTTCTGGGAAGTAGTTGAGAAGCTCCTGTATACGTTTTAGATTTCCCCTCTCTGCGGCCTCATGTATTGTTGCTCCCCTCAGGAGCCTCCTTCTCTCTTCATTCTCTTCTTCACGTTGTCTTCTTCTCTCGGCCTCCACTGCCTTCAGTCCACTCTGTCAGGATAATAATAAACATCTTATATCAGTCACAAGATTTAAACATAAAACATACATGTAAAATTCCTTACAAAATGGTGAATTATTTTTTTAATTCTTTGATCTTATCTTTCACTCATCAAAATTTATATTTAGGGATTGCTGTGCTGGTTTCTGTCTAAGATCTTGTATGTGTACTAAAAAAAAAAAGTGGCTTCATATTTTAGCAACTTTGGCGCGAACAAGAATGCCCTTATTCATGAATACCGCTAAGAAATCATTTACTAATACAAAACAAGGCATGAACACGTGTTCATGATTACAAACAACTCTATAGCCTTGATTATGCTAAATCTGAATATGCCAATTTATGTACACGTACAGTAGCTTTTAGCTGATTACATACCTCATATCCCTCTACAAATTCCTTTCCATTCTCAGATTTCCTGCCCTCGGAGGAGGACTCAACAGACACGGTCTCCTTCTGTCCTTTCTCCTTGATTGACCTCAGGGTGAAGGTCGGTCCTTTAGGATCATCGTAGAACTCGTCCTTCATGGCAGTGGTGGTGGTAGTGGTGGTGCCGGTGGTGGTGGCAGTGGTGGTGTACGTCTCCGTTGATGACGAGGAGGAACTGCTGCTGTAGCTGCTCACAGACTCGCTGTCCGACTCCGAATCATCCCGACGTCTGGAGGAGCGAGACTTGGACTTCCTGTCTGACTTTGTGTCTGTGTAGCTCCCTTGATTGGACCTCACACTTAGAGGGTCGTCATGGAGACTGGTCTGAGAGGGCGACTTTGATCGCTTCTTGTACGAACGATCACTTTTCTTGTCTGTGTCACTCTCCTCTTGTAGAGCTAAAAAAGAAAAAAAAGTTATGTTCAAAAATTTCCAGAAATGCTTTGGGACACAGTTAAAAAATACAATTACTGATGCACTAGTATATTAATAAATTCTGCAAAGAATATTCTGCAATACAAACAGTGGATATTAAAGCAGTGCGAAGAAAAAAAGAGATTTTAAAATTCTGCCAGCTGATGTTGTTATTGTTTGACAATGAATCAAAAAACAGAAATTACATGGAGTAAGGACCATATTTTAGAATGTTTTTATGTGAAAAATGTTTTACAGATTAGTGTACTTAAAGATCAAAGAATTTGAAGGTTTAACAACAGTGCAACACCCAAAACCAAGCAATACCAGATATGTGAGGAAACTGGGAAAAAATCTTTTACCTGAATTCTGGTGAAAAAAGCTAGGATTGCAGAGTTTTACCAATTTATAATATACATATAACCGGTAATTATACCAACAGAATAAGAATGAGATGAGACATATCCAGTCTCACATAGCTGATATGCTAAGATCCTATAAAGAAGTTCACTTTAAACAAGCAGGGGCCCATTTTACAAAAGAACTTACGACTAAGACCAACATTTAATTCAACTTGTACCTGTCTAATTTAATTAAAATTGAAAACGATTTAAATCTTTTTCAAAGGAATCTAGAAAGATGTTTAAAACTAGCAATTTTAAAAAGAAAAATTCATCTGTCAAAATTCTACAATCAACTTAAGTTTTTGGTCTTAGTCTCAAGTTCTTTTGTAAAACAGGCCCCATATATTTAGAAGGAAAGCAAGCAATATCATAACAGTGTATTTTGAAAAATCATTTTTAACAAAAAAGAAAATAATACAGAGAGGTAGAATGTACATAAAATATAGATTGCAATCACAAGAAATCACAGCCCAGCAAATAATCAGCAAAATTATCATGCAAGAAAAAGCTATCTATATTATCAAATAAAGGTGAAATCAGAGCTAAATGGCAGGAAAGCATATAAAATCCACAAGTTCATCATCAGACATATATTTGATGTCGTCAAGACCTTGTATAAATGCACGATCACGATCCACGATGAGTTCTCTGTATGTTTTCCGATCTCCGTCCACACCTGACAACCAGCGGTCACACACAAACTCATAAATCTTCTTACTGAGCATGTCGAAAACTGTCACAGACTCCAAAAACCACGCATTACCTGTAATTTATATCAGAATGAGTCTTATTTGTATCACATAGAGAGCTTCATACATGAAATACAAAATATCTAGTATTAAGAATAAAACAATAGGTCAACTTTTGCTGTACATACACATATGTGATATAGTATCTTAAAAATTGTAAAAAAAAAAAAAAAGAAAAGAAAAGAAAGAAAAGTAGGCAATAGAAATGAAATCTATACAGATAAACTTACTTGCATCTGCTCTGTCATGTCCAACTTTAACTTTCAGCAACTTTCCAACATGATGTTGAGCAACAATGAATAAATCCTCCTATAGAAAAAATTATCCAATCACTACCATTTTGTAAAAAATCGACCCAATCAACATCACCTAGAGACTTATAAAGTTTATCTGTAACTGTGATTCTTACCTTTCCCTTCTGGAAGCAAACTTTATGGCGCTTTGATTTTTCCAGTACTATTTCCTTGGTTCTACCCTTTTCTCCGTACAATGTGATCTTGACCTCGGCCTTTGTACTCGCTCCAATTCTGTTGCCAGTCCTGACATAAATCTGATATTCTCCTCTCTCCCCTGAGGTCACTTCTTGGTCCAGCTTTATATATCAAAATAATTATATTTTTAAATTAAAATCATTTTTTTTTGCAACTTTTCAAATACTATATATACTATATATATTTGTACTGCTGTAATAGCTAGTGTCTATATCTTATGTAACTGTACTGCTGTAATTGCTAGTGTCTATATCTTACATAATTGTACTGCTGTAATAGCTAGTGTCTATATCTTACGTAATTGTACTGCTGTAATAGCTAGTGTCTATATCTTACGTAATTGTACTGCTGTAATAGCTAGTGTCTATATCTTATGTAATTGTACTGCTGTAATAGCTGGTGTCTATATCTTACTTAATTGTACTGCTGTAATAGCTAGTGTCTATATCTTACGTAATTGTACTGCTGTAATAGCTAGTGTCTAACTTGCATAATTGTACTGCTGTAATACCTAGTGTCTACAGTCTATATCTTATGTAACTGTACTGTTGTAATAGCTGGTGGTCTATATCTTACGTAATTGTACTGCTGTAATAGCTAGTGGTCTATATCTTACGTAATTGTACTGCTGTATTACCTAGTGGCTATATCTTATGTAACTGTACTGTTGTAATAGCTGGTGTCTATATCTTACATAATTGTACTGCTATAATAGCTGGTGGTCTATATCTTACGTAATTGTACTGCTGTAATAGCTAGTGTCTATATCTCACGTAATTGTGCTGCTGTAATAGCTAGTGTCTATATCTTACGTAATTGTACTGCTGTAATAGCTGGTGGTCTGTCTGGTTCCCGTTCTCCATTGTCTGTGTTCCGTTATCAACAGATACCTCCTCTCGAGGTCGGGAATCATCCATCTCTATCACTGTCTTCTGTTGATGTCTACGCTTAGCTGACCGTGGACGAACTTTCTTTGGTTCCGGTTCAGGGGATTCAGGTGGTGGAGCTGGGGATTGGACTGGGGACTCTGACCTAGATATCAAGTGAACCATAACTGATTCAAAATGCAGTACTAAACTACAGTAACTTTTTTTTTTTTTTAAAATATGTATTACAGTCAATCCTTGTTATCTTGAACTCAATGGAATTGAATTGAACATATTTTATTGACAATTAAAGCCAAAAGGATAAGACAATTTCTACAACAATGTTTGTATCTTCAAATTCACATATACAAAATTTTATAATATTGCCAAAATAAAGAACAATTATTTTCAGTAACACTTAGTAGTGTCAAAGACAGTGATGTTTGAAGCAGAACACAATACTATATATACAAAAAATTAAGATTTTTCATTGTGAATAACATATTAACACTGTTGAAAAACACAAGTTTAACAAGTATTTATATGTAACAAAATTTATAACAGAAGTTTTGTTTTTATGTTTTTTAAAGTTGATAGTTACTTTGTTATGGCTGTTTTATTTATTTTTCTTCCATTGAATTGTATTACAAGACTCAATGGAACTGAGAAATAACTTAAGATATCCAAGGATTCAGGAAATCAGGGTTTAAATTCTTAAAGATAATGTTTGCATCTTCAAATTCACTTTGATGGTATTTGTTTTTTTAGATACTGAAATTCAACTGTAATTGATTTTATTCTAAGAGAATTTTCTGCCAGTGAGAACCAATACTATCAGCAGTGTCCTAGTCTTACCTGAAGTCTGATGTTTCACTCATGTAAGGATTATCATAGCTGGACTGTAAAAGATCAAACATATAAATCAGATATATTTACAGCAGATACCTTACATTATCCATTCAAGGAGATAAATAAAAATGAAGTTGTGGCCCTTGTTTTTTTGTTTTTTTTCTTCTTTTTAAATTTCACACAAATTTTGTTTAATAAAGGAATAACTAAAGAAAAAAGATTTAAGAATGGCAAAATATTTTGTATTTATAGGCACATATAACAAAATGAAAATGTTCTTAATCATATTTACTGTCATATCTTTAACTTGAAAGTAAAGGGAAACTACTCCTACCCTGACATTCCGATGACGTCGACCATGGATATCCCAGGTGTACTTTAAATGGTCAACTTTTTTCACAGGCTGCAATATAAAATCAAATAAAGTCTGAAGCAGAAAGGAAACAAATGAATCTAAATAAAATGAATATTCAGAATATTAAGTGATCCATAGTAAGAAAATGTTTATGCAAAAAAAGTCTTACATGGAAATTTGCTAATTTAAGGAGTTTAGAATGGATAAGTCTTTTGTACTGATTATTGTCAAGAGTTACAATGTAGTAGGCGTGGAAATCAGAAGTTTCTGATGAGACTGTAGCTCTACTGGTTTGTACTTATAATAAAAGGAAAGAAAGGTAGCAATTGGACTTGAACTATGACAATATCAATAATGAAATAATGGCCCTTAGTTTAATCTCTTTTAGTAACAATTTTAATTGAAATCAGACTAAATTAGATGAGGAGTAGCTCTTGAAAAAAATTGTACAGAAATTTCTGTTTTTAGTGACCATGATAAAGCTGTTCATCAAAATAAAAAAAGAATATTATACACAGTACATATCTCAGTACATGTATAGTCTATCTGAGTATCAAACTATACTGGAAACAGATCAAAACTGTAGAAGAATTGGCATTTTGAAATAAAAAATGTATACAAACAGACAGATAGACAAACAAAATAGATGGATGACAGACATATTACTATTGCATATTAGTTTTTTGTCTCTGACCAGGAAACTAAATTAGAGAATGCAAGCCATAATCATATAAAAACAGGCGTCATTTCAGTTGTCATTAGTCATGCCATGCTATAAGAAGAAAAAGCTCCTTGATATAAAATTGTAATAATGAGTGTTAGTTGAGACCTTATCAATGACCCTTAAATAAAACAATGAGAAACAGACCAAGGATGGATGCTGGATGATGGATTGACACTCAGACCACAATGCTACTACAGATATCTTACAAAGGGGCAGCATACTCTCTAATTTTTATGTACTCATGCTTCAGTTTTATTCTTATTTAATGATAAAACATTGATTTTACTGTCTATACTTAAATTAATTAGTACATGTGTCAATTGATTAAATGAATCAATTGATTAAATGAATCAACTGGAGATTTTTATTCAAGGAAAAAATCCATGCACTATAGCTACTTCTGAATGGAAATGATTTACAATTAGTCGCCATGATTTAATGACCCATTCTACAATAATATAATAAAGATCATTGACCAATAGGAAAAAAGACATCTTCTGGGTATTTGACAACTGTAATTAGAATCAAGAGAACTGCAATGCATTATGAGATAGGACAGAGGAAAAGATAGGACAATACAGTGCTCAGTTTAGAACCATGCCATCACCACTCATTACATATGTCTTACAGTGGTGCGGTTGTCTATTGGATTAATCACACTCCATTTTTTTACATAAACAGTTGGAATTTCACTACAAATGTCCTGAAACACAAGATTTTGATCTAGTAAAGACAGTGTAATAGTGTGTAACAGCAAAATCTGGCAAAAACAAACAAAACAATACATAAAACTTTAAACAAAGTCTTTGATAAGATGGTAGCTCTACTCACAGTACTCAAATAGAAAAAAACTGACAGCTAAAAACTCAGTAATGAAGCTAAGGGTAAAAATTAAAAATATTAAAATCATGTGAATTTAGATGAGCTATTTAGCTGATTATATGCATGTATTTTATCTGGTACAGGTACTAATTTGTCTGCTGATTATGACCTCTATAAATAAGTTACGTCTCTTAAATGTCCAAAGTACTCAAATCATAGCCCTGGTTCGGTCATTAAAAATGAATTATGATATTCCTAGCATTGTATCACAAAGGAATTAATATAAACCTGCCAGACAAGACCAACAATCAAGTATTTGATTTGTTTTTTCTTCTCCGAGACAATGATTTTTATCTGGACCAATATACAGTCCATATTACAGAGGACCTACAGTATAATGATTACACTGTATGTAAATATTTCTCAAACTCTACCTAGCATTAGTGTGTTATATTGCTTTAATGAAAGCCAAACAAAACAAAAAGCTTAAACCATATGATTAATTACAGAGACAAAGTGCAGATTAAAGGCTCAACAAAACACTGCAAGCACTCAAAGCACAACACAGAGCCGTGTCACAGAGTAGCACAGCACAGCTGTGTCACAGAATAGCAGAGCACATATCCGCTACCTTTGTGCTTGTCTCGGCTTCTCGTGTTTGATATGGCAAGTGCCTGTTTGTCTAAAACCAAATGTCATGCTTGGTAAACAACATGTGCTAATTCCAAAGACTAACTTATGCATCTGATTCATTAAAATTTGACTGAAAATTCAAATGTCTCAAAATAAAAAAATATATATACATATTACATGTATATACATGCAGATTTTAAAAAATAATGTGTTGTGCTAAAATGCAGAGGTATGCATAGTTTTTGAAAATTAAAGAAGCTTTCATTACATAATGTATGTACAGTATTTACTTCAAAAGGTTTAGGGGCACTCTGGGGTCTTTGGGGATCCTTCGCTTTCTGTCTCTCTTCCTCTGAAGTCTCCTGTAAAAGAAAAAAAAATGCCAACTTGTTTGTAAAACATAAAATGTATTGTGAGTGTCAAATGTCTCAGAAATTTTTGCCTAGTCAAAAAAACATTTAAAACATAACCCCTTCACACAAATTAACAGAAAAATTGAAGTAAATTTAGCACTATCTTTCCTAAACACCACATTTTCTTTTAATTATAACATTGCTGTGTTCATTTTTATATTATCTTTTTCATTTTCATAATAAATCTCTGTTGATCTTACAGTGGCAATAAGAACTTTGGCTGCTGCATCCACCAGACGTTTAGCCTCAGACTTGGGGACATTGTGACTGGGAACACTCCTCAAAAGAGGCCAGCCTCCTTTTAGTGATCTGAAAGTGTTCACCGATTCTATGAATTATCTACTCCTGGTTATAGTTTTTATTTCTCTATAATGAATGGCTTTTCCTTGTGTGTTAACTAACTATTAAATCATTCTTTCTTTAGCTGTTAAGATGTCTTACTTGGGACGTTGTGACTGCATCAGAAGTCCGAATCCCGTCATGTCCCTCCTGAGTCGCCTCCCCTCCCTGGTTTCTATGTAAGCATATTCTGGCAGAGTGGAAGTCTGTTAACATACAAACTCTTAATTAAATCATCAAACTATTATGGCTTGCAACTTGAATGTTTTGATAAAAAAAAAATATTTAAATCAACATGACATCACCTAGATAAATGCATAATGCAAGACCAAACAAAAAAACACAGAGACATGCAGATTTAACTGTTTTACATCATCAGGTTAATAAATTTGCATCAGTGTACATTGATACATATGCATGTACAAGTGGATACGTGAATTTCAAAACTTTTCACATTTTTTTTTCATGCTATCATCAATTCTTCATTATGTAAATTTTTCAAATATGTTGCCTGAAATTAGTGTTTTAAAATTTTTTTTTTTTTGATTTTATTCTAAATCTATACCTTTACAGCTTATATATATTTTCAATTCATGCAAATAACTATTTATTGCATACAGGCTTGTGCATGACAGAAAAAAAACACATAGGTACAAGAAACTCTTTTACATGACATTACAAATTTTAAAAGTTGAACTCAAAGTTAAACATAGGATGAAGATCGATCGATTGCCAACAGTCCTCAGTTTAAAGGAAGAAATTGATCAAATAGGGTGGAAGGTGCATTTAAGTTTAAAATGTTTGTTTATTCACCCACACAATCACAACAGTAAACAAACATAAAGTAGGTGATATACATGCAACACCATGCAGTGCCGTCACGTAACAACTGATGTTTACCCGAGTCCGTGGCCCAGCGGATTTCGGAGGTCCGTAAATTGCAGACAGTGGTTCCACATCAGGGTCTCTAGTTAGCTTTATAATACATAATAATAACTCTCTATATTCTGTACCCTTCTGCAGCATTGGGAATTGTGGGGAGAAGTATGGCAATGTAATAATTTACATGACTTAAGTTAAATTAAAATTGTTAAAGGTATCTCATGATTGAAGTTTCACTGAAAATGCATGCTTCTAAGCATTCTTTAATGAAAGGTTGTTTTACTCTCAATATATGCTGTTAATAAAAAGATCTGGGTGGAGGGGGTAGGAGATTTGGGATGGGTCCTTATTCCTCTAGTTTCTTTACATATTACATGTATACTATAGTCAAAGATAAATCTTCACTTTGTATCCAACATGATAAAATCAAGATTTTTACTCAGAGGTTGTTATTTTAAAAGGCTTAAATGATTATTTTTAGATAGATTGAGCAATAAACGTAAAAATATTTAAACTCACCAGAAAGTGATGCTTGATCATGTGACGTTTAAGTTTCTTTTTGACGATCTTCTGTCGAGGGTCTCTATCCTCCTACGACAAATCAGTACAATGAGGTCATGAGCAATGAAAGTGAAACAACATACTTGTATTATAAAATATACCTTTTATATCACTTTAAAGCTTAAACTGTACTGTGCTCAAAATATGCAGGATCATATTCTCAAAGATATACAGGATCAAATGCCCCTCCTTTTTTTAATTAATACATGTCTCTTAAAAAGAACTGACATCATCACAGGATTCACAGTCCCCAATTTTAATTTTCTTTCCTGAATATAAGATTATTCTGATCATCTCCTTAATTTCAGTAAGCATTTAAGTCTTTACAACATTTGTATTCTTGTTAAATTTATAATGCCAGGAAAATTACATTTTGTGAGTGCACAAAATTCAAATAATTGATTATGCTAAGTAAATTCAAAACTTTTACTTTGTCAAAACTTTTAATGCGTCTAATAAAAATATAACTCCATAAGACTGTGCTTGGTCCAGTGATTTATTTGGATAAAAAAATATTGGAGAATTATAAACTTTGAATAAATGATTTGTGTGTAAGTTCCAATTACAGTGCAAAAGTGATGTGGGTGCAATCAATGCACCATAGCACAAAAATAAATGTATTTACCCCCATATTTTGTATTGATTTAAAATAAAGCTATGTGCATAGTGTTATGTACTTGTCAAAAAATTCATAAAGACTTTTGCTGGCAGGACCCAACCTCTTTAACTTAAGTGTTTAAGCAGTATTTTCAAAACAGGATTTTGTCTCCTGACAAGAAAATCCATGCACTGCATATAAGTCAGTAATGCCAGACAGATTCATGGCATTAAAATGGATCTGTCCTATGAACTTTTTTCATTTTCTTATCTTCAGATTACAAACAAGACCTTCATTTTTGTAGTGTGGTAGATTATTCCGCTATTTACATTTTGATAAAGGATATATTGTCTCCTGACTTTTCTTCTAAAACACTTGGAGTAATCAATACCTTCATTCGAACACTCTTGATGGTATGCTCAACAAATAGTTACAAGTGAGAGCCTGATGTCATACAGGTAACAGACACACCTAGATAACATGTTATTATTCCACTGGGTGTAATAAATTGTCATTCATTGTCCTTATTTGTACGTACACAAATTATAAATTTAAAATGCCTGCCATGTGATCAATTCTTAAGAGATACCAAATTTAGGTGTGAAATTCAATGATTTGTAAAATTCTAATATAATTTTACTTATCTTTATTTTTTAATTATTTTTTTTTTTTTACCATTTTTTTTAAAGATAAACCTAGATAAATAAATGGTGTTTCTGAATCTATGATTTATACTATGTTGCTGCACCCGTTGGCTCAACTTGTCTGTGTAATGCAGTTGCCTAGGGATGTAGCAGTTTGTATCCACTGCTTACTGTAAACATTACATAAAGTCAATACTATCTTTTTGTGGAGAACAAACAAGGATGATTTATATCTAGACATTTATAAATAATTCAAAGACAATTTGCAGCACTCCTCTGATAAATTGTAGAGGTTTTTTTCCCCAATCAGAAACACAGAGCATACATTATGTTTACCAGGGCAATTGTTAATTAATGTAACTCAGTCATTTTTCTGAGTTGTGTGGATTCAGTTTTTCTTCTAATTATGGTTTCCATGCATGGATCTAGGGCATGGGGGTCACCGTTCCAGACTACCCCCTCCCTTTCGGGCCATTCATGGGTGGATTTCACTGCCTTAAATCCCATTTCTAAGTTTTGTGATGTTGGGAGGGGGGAAATGTGAATAGATTTACTTAATATATAAAACTCTTCCTACTATAGCCAGTCCATTAAGTACTTTTATAGACCCTTTATTATACAGGTGCAAAATGACCAATAATCCTGAATATGTGAAAATCATATTTCCCAATAATTATAGAATTCCAAATGTCTGGTACATAATGCACTTTTGTATTTATATTAAAATGTATACACATTTTCAAAATAAAAACTACATATCTTGAAAACTGTATAGGTCAAATGATGTGCCCTGTATGCAATATTGTGCATAAAAATGCTTGCCAACAAATGATTTTCACTAAGTTCTACAACTACAATTAGTTTTTATCCCAGGAAATGTTCTAAAATCAAAATCCAAGCAATTAGAACATTTCTGATGTCAACTAAGGACAAGTGGATGTCATAATCTGCTTGTCCCTGGTGACAGGTATGTTGTAAAGTTTTTGGTGTGATAATTTTCTTCTGTTTATATCAGGTAATAATGTCATAAAAATGAAACAAAGTACTTTAAGATTTAAAGACTCTGAATATATAAATATACTGTAAATATCATATATGCAAATCAGACACATTTTGAAAAGATAAAAAAATCTAAAACAAGGTATAAAACTTTTTATCATGTTTATATATATGTTTTCTTATTTTTTTCTTAAAAGGGAGGTTTATAAGAGATATGAAGCTAATACCATTTTAGGGACAACTAGATGTGAGCTCATACTCATCTTGTAGGACAACTAAGTGTGAGCTCATACTCATCTTGTGGGACAACTAGGTGTGAGCTCATACTCATCTTGTGGGACAACTAGGTGTGGGCTCATACTCATCTTGTGGGACAACTTAGTGTGAGCTCATGCTCATCTTGTGGGACAACTAGGTGTGGGCTCATACTCATCTTGTGGGACAACTAGGTGTGGGCTCAAACTCATCTTGTGGGACAACTAAGTGTGAGCTCATGCTCATCTTGTGGGACAACTAGGTGTGGGCTCATACTCATCTTGTGGGACAACCAAGTGTGAGCTCATACTCATCTTGTGGGACAACTAGGTGTGGGCTCATACTCATCTTGTGGGAGAACTAAGTGTGAGCTCATACCAATCTTGTGGGACAACTAGGTGTGGGCTCATACCCATCTTGCGGGACAACTAGGTGTGGGCTCATACTCATCTTGTGGGACAACTAGGTGTGGGCTCATACTCATCTTGTGGGAGAACTAAGTGTGAGCTCATGCTCATCTTGTGGGACAACTAGGTGTGGGCTCATACTCATCTTGTGGGACATCTAGGTGTGGGCTCATACTCATCTTGTGGGACAACTAGGTGTGGGCTCATACTCATCTTGTGGGACAACTAGGTGTGGGCTCATACTCATCTTGTGGGACAACTAAGTGTGAGCTCATACTCATCTTGTGGGACAACTAGGTGTGAGCTCATACTCATCTTGTGGGACAAATGGTCACTGAAATTTTTGTCTCTCCTTGGACTTTATATGCAGGTAGTACATGCATGTAAAATCTCTTAAAATTCCAGGAGGTTCAGACCCCAACTCACACACCCCTTCTAGATCATCATACATTAAGGCATCAAACCTCATAAGTGAAATGTTCGAACTTGAGTTCAAACTATTTGTATAGTATTTATACAATAAAATATGTTCAAACCATTAAGGCATCACATATAATATTCTTAAATGACTTGCTTCATAGTACATGTAACCTGGTTTAAGTAACTCTACAAAATATTTATACTGATGTACTGGAACCAGTGAGTACCATACAGGCACTTTAAATCTGTGTATTTCCTGGGGCTTGGTGTTATGTTGATCTGTTGTTAAAACAAACTATTGAATGTAAATCAGAGAGTTATCCAAGATAAACAAAATCTACTCAACAGTAAACATTTAACACATCAATGTCACAACACAAAACAGACCCTATGTTATTTAAACTCAGAGATTTAAAAGCTCAAGGTTTATTGGAAATACGGAGTAAGAAACTCATTATAGAATTAAATTTTTAATTTGACTAAATCTACTTATAAGTTTACAAAGCTAGAGACAAAATAATGTGCATGTGTTATAAAACATAACTTGCACAGCACTTTTGAGAGTATATTTTATATCAGATTAAAAATAATTAATAAATCTGATAGATTACAATCTATGAGGGAGAAAGTGCATGTTCTTATACTGGACTCTTTTAATAACAATTAAAATACAAAAGAAAGAGATGTTTTATTTTCATAATTAAGTCTGAAAAAAAAAAACACTGGGACAACAACACAAGGTATGAGTACTATGACCCATGGACCAATATTTTGGTTTGGGTAAATAAAATGAACTTGAGCTTACTAGAAATCTGTGCATTCAGAAAATAACCTCTTGCAGTACAATTTTTTCTCTTGCATTCAAGATGTATCATCTTATTTTCAGTAGAAAACATTCGATCAGGTGTTCAGATGAATCCAGATCTAACTATTGCACATGCAATTATTCAAAGGGTTGATTTTAAGTCTGTTGATGATAGAACATCAAAATGTATGATGTAACTTACCATGTCCATCTGTGTGAGTTTGACCCTGACCTCTGGAAGGCTGAAGTAGTGCTTGAGGGCACGGTCATGTAGTCCATCGTACTGGAGGGTCGGCCTCTGTGCAAAATAATAGTACATAATGTAAACACACAGACAAACGGTCCTAGGTCACAAGTCCAGGAACACAGTGCCACTCCTAGCAGTGTTAATGAGGGGCAGCATCATGAATAAACCATCACATCACCAGTAAATCAATAATTATACAGTGTTACTTTCTTTTACTACATAGGTAGAAAACCAAAATGTAAACAGATTGGAATTTGATTTATATACCTGTATTTTTGCAACTATTTTTTTTTTACCAATCCATTTTCTTAATATTTATCCAAAATTAACTAATTTACTTTTTTTGTTATCATGGTTATTTAATATGTTTAAATTATTAAAACTATAAATATCAAAATCATCTTGACTGATTAGTAAAATTGTTGATCAATATGTATGCATCAGAAAAATTTTATCATATATTTTTATGTGATGTTTAAAATTATAAAGAATTTTATTTTTAATCATGATTATGTTGTTTCTTTTGAAAAAAAAAAAACAAAAAACAAAAAACATCTAGTTCATAAATACTTAAAAATTCTTTACATTCAGATAGATGTATAATGTTTAAGAAATTCATCACAGCACTTGTGATTAACTTGTATAACATCAGCACTAAAATGGTGATGCTAAATTCCAAACAATGGCACTTGCAGGCAAATTTTTTTCACAATATTCAAAAGATAAATATATGCTGTAAGTTCTATATTAAGTGAAAGGATTTTTTCAATTTTCCTCCACATTTTTTAAATGTATATTTCATTGTGCAACATTTTAAAAGCCAAAATGCCCCCCTTTTCTCTGACATTAAAATCGAAAGAAAAAAATCTATTCTACAGTCAATTATCATGAGAATCTTTTTACAAATCAAATTTGGACATTTAATAAATAATTTTAAAGACAATAATTAGTAATTCACATAATTATCATTTTTATTCAATGAATGACTTTTAGTATTTCACTGCTAGAGATGTAATACATGTCAATATTTCACCCGGCCCTCCTGACATCATAACCTGTAGATCTATTGCGATACTTACTGATTTCAGTGGAGGGTGGTCTAATTGGGGACAATTTACACCTGACAAGTCAAATCCATCTTCTAATCTCTTCACATCAAAATAATATTTCCTACAAACAAACAGGACAAAATTAAAATACAGTTCATGTACTTCCCCATATAAGCAAAATTACGAATTAAAGAAAGCAATTTTCTATGTTAGAAAAAGAAGTCATTTTACATTACAGACGTACTTTTTAGTTTTAGTGTTTGTTCTTGAATTGACATTACTCTATTTTAATAAAACTGAAACACCTAATGGGTTTATTGATTACTACTTAATTATAACATAATCTGTCAACTGCCCTATAAACAGGATGAGGTACAGCATTGATGCAAACAAAATTATCATTTTTTCCGTTTCCACATTCCCACAGTCATGGTTTAGAACTGGGAACAGCCCCGACAGGTACAATGAATAACAAAAGCAATGAATAATATTAATAAAATCTTCATTTGGAAGGAGAAAAGGAGGAATGCATTAAGAAAACATATGACTGGACCATGAATTGATTCTAAGAACCCAATATATTACTAGTGAGGTGCTCTACATTCCTCTCTCCTTAATTAGTCTTTTGACCTCATAGACACAAGTTCACAGGCTTTTAAACTAACTTACACAAAACCTGAACAAGGCCCCCACTGACACCAAATGCAGTATAAGGAATGGAAGAGTACATAAAGAAATAAATGGCTGGTGCAGTAATCAAACCTGGAGCCCCTACATAAGTGCATTACTAATTTACTAGTCAGTTCACAGTTGCTCTACCACTGAGTTACCCTGGCTGATATCCATCGTCTGTATATCCTAAATTTCCATGACTTAAATAATATTGAAAATGCAAGATGCATAATGGAGTGCCATGTACTAGGAAGTTTACCTAATAAGGGGCTAGATCTAATAATGAGATAATAATAATGAGCTTATCAGAGGTATTACTATCAAGAAACATGAAAACTGAGAGTACTGCTTAATTTTATCATTCAGCAAAAAAAAAAAAAAAAAAAAAAAAAAATTCTGACATGCACTTTTTGTATTGAAATTGAATTGCCTCTAGGCCTACATAATCTGTATATATGCCTAGCTAGCATACCTATCTTGTAGTTCTTAAATCTTCTTTATTAACGTGAATACATATTGAAATCATATCTCAGATCTACCTAGAGGGTAACATATATTAAATTCTTAAAATTAAGCCTTCCCTGCTACTTTTTCACTCTCCTCAGTATAGACCCTGTGTATAACGAGGATGCTTTCTAAAACTGTTTTTCAACTTACAATTTTTTGGCTACTGTTTTAACCACGGCCTCCGATGACATAATTCTTAAATGTTTTTGGAAAATTAAGTCCAAAAAATGACTAATCCAATAATTATTTAGTAAAGTAAATCATCATCTTTCACATGTTGGAGAACGACGGATAACTCAACGCACATAAACAAATCACTCCGCAAGCGAGTACCTGTCAATATAGTTCGGAATATTATCTCGGTTTTCTTATTTCTTTAATGGAAAATTACAGTTATTGTCAACACTGAAAACATTAATGTATATTTTAATCTTGTTCCCATTGCAGAAAGTTATGAATATTGAATAAAAGAATATTTCATTAATTGTTTTCGTTACTAAGATGAACAAAATATTACTACGTCATATAAGGGCGTTAACTGTGTTTCGAATATGTCTTCATGAAATGGGAGTTACCTGCACTTCATCTCAGAGTGCATTGAACATGTTGAATCCAAGGAAGTAATGAATGGCTATTTTTCTTTTATGGGATTTTATTATTATTTTTTTAATTACAGAAAAGCAGAATACTAGCTTATCAAAAGCAAGAATAATTAATATGATTTATGTGTGATTTAGATTTTTATTTTTGCTTGCCTTATATATATTTTTTTATCAGGCCTGTACATTTTCAATTTTATTGATGGTGTGTGTCATGATATTTATCTTAAGACCATTTTTTAAAAATTCAATCATATGTCAATTTTGAATATTATCCCAAACAACCAAAATGAATTTGAATTACCATATCTATATTGGATTCCGAAACATCATAAAACTCCTTACAAACAAAGATACATTGCGGGTTCTTTTCTCTGTATAAAGACATTTAGAATTCCTATGTCGATACCGGGGGAGATATATCCTGGTGAGCTTGAGATAAAAGATACCACAGACTCTGACACATTTGTTTCAAAACACATTTTTTTTTAAATTTAGAAAACTACCTCGAAATGAATATTCCAAAATTTCAAAGATCTATATTCTTGCAATTGCTCAATAAGATGTGGAATTTTACCGATTAGAGTTGAAACTGTAAGATATAATTAGGAGAATCATAAGAAGATGGCTAGATTGTGCAATTTTTGTTCTAAAAATGAAGTAGTTAAATTGTACAGAATATTCGAATTATAGATCAAATTTATTTACTAGTAATAAGTGCAACCCGGCAACTTTTTCTATGTCGGATCTAGATAGCGTAATTTCCCTTTTAACAATTTTTTTCAAAACAGACCTCAAAATAATTATTTATATTTATCATACATGCACAGGTAATCTTTGTTGTACAACAAAACTACATTTGTGTATATATATTTCATTTATTTTTGTTAAAAGTGACATATAGGTCCGATGCGTTTGAATATTAATTGTATTAAATGTTTCTCATTGTACTGTATCATAATACATGTCACTATAATAAGATATACATGTATAAAAATGTACTTACTTACTCTTTAATTAGAGAATTGGACAGACTCTCGCCTACATCCACTTCTCTTAGCAAGCTTTCGTGTTGTTATTCTGGAAAGTGGAAAATGTGTAAAATGTACTTTTCAACTTTATATACAACCATTACTTGATAAAGAATGGGTGGACTTAACGCCCTATTTTGGATCTTTTTGCGACTCCTCTTACAATCTGTAAATGAAGTGAATCCAAAATAAATTATGTGCATTTGAAAGAAACATATACTTGGTTATATTCTGGAACATTTGTGCAAAAACAATGCCCTGTTGTCGTGTATCATAATTGAAGCAACGATACATGAGTGGCGTCTTTGGAATTCGACATGTGCACCCCGGAGTGGTTTTTATGTCACACAATCAATATTTATAGGAGGCGGGGCTAAAATCGGTGTCATTGTTGACACTCTCTCTCTATCCCTCTCTCTTTCCAAAAATTATATACGTGTTTAGCATTTTACAGCGATGATAATATGAAATTATTTTAAAAATGTGATGACACGACAAAATTAAAACACATATTTTTTTAAAGTTTGAAAAACGGCAACAAAACACATTTCAAAGACATGATTTAGATCGAGGTCAAGTTGAAGAATTTTACAATGTAACTGTTGAAACTGTAAGATACACTCGCAGGTGGACATCACGTGATGAATTGTAATATTTAACAGGTCTAAAAATGAAGACATTTCAATGGAAGCGAGAAGTTTGTTTATAGAACAAATTTTTTGTTAAATTAAGTATGAGCACACTTTTTTTGTCGGCTCTTCTAATTTTAATATAACATTATTTTGTTCAATATACAGACCTCAAAATAATTTTTATATTTATCATACATGCACATGTGTAATCTTATGTATTCAGACAAAAAATTTGTGTATATATATCTATTTATTTTTGTTAAAAGTGACATATAGGCACCATGCTTTCGAATATATTTATTAAATGTTTACCTCGAAAAGAGTGTTTTAAATACATGTCACCATTAATATACGGTATAAAAATACTTTCGGGGGTTTATATGATGGAAAAAAATAAACATTTTATGAAACTTAAATTTACGGCATTTTTTCTGGCTAGTTAAGTCCACCCATTCTTTAAGTCCAGGCTTTTTGATGTCATTGACGGCTGCTTTTTCAATAAAAATGGAAATCGTAAATTTACTTACCTTCTCACTGGTCAAGATCATTTGCAAAATTACTTTATTTAAAAACATCCTGATTGTATACACAAATTCTCTGAAGTTGACATCAAAAAGATGCTTGAGTTTCTGATTGACAATATCTATCTGGTTTTTGGAGACCAGGTCTTCCATCACTGATCTATTGGAATTCCCATGGGTACCAATTGCGCCCCGTTATTAGAGGACCTATTTTTGTATTCATATGAAGCAGAATTTGTCCAAAATCTTATGCGTGAAAAGAAGAAAACACTTGCTGTGGCCTTCAAACTCGACATTTAGATAAACTGTATATCCATTCCTATGTCGATACCGGGGGAGATATATCCTGGTGAGCTTGAGATAAAAGATACCACAGACTCTGACACATTTGTTTCATATTTGGATATTTTACTTGAAAAGACGAAAATGGTAATCTAACAATCAAGCTCTATGATTAACGCGATGAATTAAACTTTTCTATCGTCAACTTCCCTTACTTATGCAGCAATATAGTGAATATTCTTTCATCACCTGTATACACAGTTTATCTCTCTCAGTTTATTCGATACGCAAGAGCATGTTATACGTGTGTACATTTTTTTAAAACGCGGTAAATCATTGACAAACAAGTTGATGAAACAAGAATACCGGCAGTCTCGTTTAAAGTCATCATTTCGTAAGTTCTATGGTCGATACAATGATCTTGTCACCAAATACAATTTGTCATTCAAAGAGTCAAATGCTGACTGACGTTTTTCATATACCAATTGTTAGTCCATTATTTACTGAATTGACGACGGATTTTTTCGTTATTTCCTGATCATGACAAAGAGCACACGGCGGATGTGACCGGTCGGCAGGGGATGCTTACTCCTCCGTGGCACCTGATCCTACCTCTGATGTTTTGGAGGTCCGTTTTTGCTCTGCTCCTATTTTGTATTGTTTATGGACTTTTGATCTTGATTACTGTTTGCTATCGTCATATATCTGATTCATGTGATAATTTATAAGCGTCTTCAAAAGAATCATGCACTTCGTCTACAAAGATTTACGTATGCAAGCCTGTGCGACGTTAATTGACGTTGTGCTAGATACACATATCGCTCAATGTCTGTGCATCTTTGCTAGCCAAGTGTTTCTGATCCGCTCCACTACTCGTGAGAAGGGTGGGAAAGCATCGTTCTGAGTCCGCATATAGCTATATCTCTCTTACCAGAATGGGAGATATGATTGTACATTTTGGTCGTGGTTTGCGACGATGGGAGAGTAGCGGATCAGAAGCCATTTGGTAGCGAAGATAGGAATAGATACAAAAGATTTTAAAAATAAAAATAAATAACCCATGGTCTTGTCATGATGAATATACATACAAATGTATTAATATTAATGTTTTATCTATGAGCACAATTAAAGGGCAATAACTCTTATTTTGACCTTGCTATCTGGCAAGTGATCTTCAAGTAATGTATTGTTATAAAATATTTAATATTGTTTATATATTTCAGAGCTGTGATAATACCGATTGAATATACACTTATCCATATCGACAAAATGGTGTTTGTCTTTATTTACATATAAAACGAACCCATTTCACAAACACCGAGATCAAGACCAAGAGCTCAAATTTGTTGGAACCTAAAGGAAGGTCTTTTCACAAGGAATATGAAATAAAAAGGCCGTGTTCAAATAGAGGTTTCCAGCTCCCTTTTGAATCATTCGATAAAAAAACGTCCAAATTGAAAACAAAATCAAGAGTGAGCGAAAAAAATCGTTCATAAAGTTCAAATAGACCATTATCAGGGAATATATAAAATGTAAGCAAATATTATATTTTACGAATATTATCATTTACATATATAGCGCATGACAGCAAATACATGTATGTATCTCGTACATACAAGCCGATTGTCCAGATTAATAAAAACTTCATTAATGCTCATTATTAAAAACCTCATAAAAAACCTCGTAAATACTAAAAGGTTCTAAATTTATGGATCTAAAATTTGGGGTTTTAACACCCCCTTTTTTTGTTAATAAAATAGATACTGGAGACTTGTGTTAGATTTATATAGAATTGACAAATTGTCTCTTCTTTGCATTCTAAAAAATGTTACTGGTCGACCAAAATTGCAATTAAAATTGAATTAGAAAACTTGATGGACAAGAACCGAAAGTGAACGTGTTTATATCAAACCACTTTAAGAAAATTTTTATTTGAAAAAGCATATACATATGATACCATAAAAATAAAACAAAGTAAACATATAAAAATTACAACTATGTAGACTGCATGAAAATATGCGCATTTACTGAATTAGTGCGTCTAATATGAAGCTCTTAAAAAGATCGGGTTCGTAGCATAGAAAAAAAGATAACAAGTCGGGATCGATTTTAATTTATTCAGAAAATAGTTCTTAAAATTGGTATGTTTTGGTATGCAAAATCTCCAGGATTAATTGTAATGAAGATGGAAGAAACGACAAATGTCATATAGCATATACCCCTAAATAAAATCCTCAATTTTTCTCTTAGATTTTAAATGAATATTTTCTTACGCGGTTAATTTGCATAAAAAAATCATAATGAAAACAACAATGGCGGACGTTTAGCAGACGGATCAATGATGCCTATATATTGAACTAATAGCAGTTTGACATTTAATTAAACTCATGGAATTAGCAAAGTCAGTATTTGGATCAAGAAATCCGGACGGTTATAGCAGCAAAGCTACAACAGGTTCGTTCTTAATGCTTTATAATAAAGTCGGCTTTATTCGTTGCCAGTTGTGAAACATGGCGAACATATGCCACATATGCAATAGTTAAACGTGTGCATGTTTTACCAGAAGTACAAACACCTAATTTTATGTACATTTCTTTTTGATTGTATGGACCCTTACGAAAATCGGATCGCATTTACATGATTTAAGATTGCGGTTGCATTTCGGAAAGGTGGGGGGGGGGGGGTAGAAAGATGCAGGATTATTAATTTAACCAATTGTTCATGGTTTGTAGTAATCTCAGTGAGATTTGCCGAGACTGAAAACTTTACTGATGTCTCCTAAAATCTCATGTCAGGTGTAAGGTCTCCCTAATCACTTTGTATGACATTAATTTGAAATTCAAAGTCCAAGAGATGCTAGATGTTCAGTCAAAAAAATTGTCTCAAGGAATCTCACTGAGAATATGTTGAGAAGTATTTTTGTGTAGTACACATTTCTATATAATTTTGTTGAGCTTTATAATTGTAGTTGAGACATTGTCTGAGGATGAAGATGATTTGGTGGTCGGTCATGGAGAGAATATTGCTGTGTCCTCCAGTCAGTACAATACAACATCAGACTTTGTGCCGACTCCTGGGGGACCATTTTCAGCACTGACTCCGTCAATGTGGCCGGAGGATATTCTTTCTAAGTTAGGAAATCCAGTAAGTGTTCATTGTAATATTTTATTAATTTACAGGAATATTGATTACATTAAACTGTTTAACCGAAGGCATAACTGAAATCCTGTTAACAAAACTATTTGGTACACTCTTTATTTTAGCGATTTATATACTGTAAATGTATTATATTTAGCGTGTACGATATTTAGCGGAAAGTGAATTTTAAACAAGTTAGCGTAGATTTAATTTAGCGCATTTCTTGATATTCTTATTCATGTATCATTGTTTAAGACATTTAGCGATATGTACTTGAATTAGTGGAAGCATCTTTCTGCCAAAAGGGCTAAAAAGAATACGGCGCCAAATATAATACGTTAACAGTAACCGTAAGGTAAAAAAAATAAATATTAATTGGATTATAGATTTTGTTGACATTGTTTCATAGGTAGTTGTCACGCTTAATAACTTAATTTCTTGTTTTACTAGTACACTGTAATTGTAATGTGATCCATTTAATACATTTATATCATAGCCGGAAGATCCAAATGGCCAGTTAGATTACAGATATGATGAATTTGGGTTTAAAGTCGAGGAAGAGGGTGAGTATGTAAAATATCTGTATACAGTATGTTCTCCATAAATTCCTTTATAAACTGTAAGTATAAATATCAATTTATTCAAGCATGAAAAACAAAAAAACAAAGTTTTTAAGAATATGATCGTAGTTGCCAACTGACCCGATTTCGTCGGGTTACACACGATTTTTCGACCCTTAACCCGATTATTTTTTATGACCCGACGGGTCATGCTTTTCAGCCGATTTTTGCTGAACAACCCGAAAATTTCCCGATTTCCGGATTTGGTTCGTAAATTAGGTTGCACTTTTAATTTCCAGTTACAACCCAAGCTTGGATCTACGTAAACAATGCCGATGGTATGCTCAGTGGGTCGATTACCAGTGAATTACCCTGGAAATTATGAGTTCAGGTGTAAACAATTAACTGGGAGTTGTTTAGACAAATCAAAGTTTGAAGTCAATTTAAAATGGCTTCCGATAGAAGTAGATCGTTATCAGGGCCAGCAAGAAAAAATTGAACCAAGAAAAAGACACCCAATATTTATGGACATATCAATTAAAAAATCTTGGAAAACAACTGATATACAATAAATTAAAGTGATTGAAGATAGTGTAGACCTACCTGTACATCTATACTTATTGCACTTGTTAATTAAATTAATTAAGAGAGAAAAAAATAACTTCAAAACCAAAACTTGTATACTTTCAAATTTAGCGAAAATTAAACTGAAAAGGCTTTCTTAAAAAAAACACACACTTAATTCAGGTCAGTATTGAATAATAAAACCTTCAATGCTTTTTTTTACATCTAAATTTAATCAACAATTGAACATATATATTTATTTTTTGTCTTTGTAAGTGAAAGCCTTTTTTTAATAAAAGAATACTCAATACACAAATACTTATATATATAATGATTATATATACCGGGTATAATTTAATCATGGTAAATATGTCGTTAATGTCGTTACGTGTTATGACCAGATTTTTTACTTTCTAAATCTGGTCATGACCAGATTTTTACATGTCGGAGGTTGGCAAGTATGATTATGATTAAAAAGCTTTATAGCCTATGTAGTAGTGATTTTCTGTCTGTTGCAGATGGACCTGAAGAGAATTCTAGTAAACTTTTAAGCACCCCCTTTGTGGAGGATCCCCAGCACCGTTTGAAGTGGACAGCTTACCTTGAGTTCACACACAACAATGAAGTGGGTGATCTGACCTGGGACAAGGTACTTTGATTGAAAAAAAAAAAGTTCAACATTTTATCACACAAAGTAAAGCAACATTAGACAAAATTGAATTATTTTTTTTACACTGCAATATATTTTCCCCAGAAAATTATTTCAGTGGCTAATTTCTGAAGGAATAATTTTACTACCTCAATTTTTAAATCCCACTTAGGAAGTTTCATGGTACAGAGTTTAAATTTTGATATCTTTTTAGCTCACCTGAGCCGAAGGCTCAAGTGAGCTTTTCTGATCAAAATTTGTCCGTTGTCTGTCGTTGTCGTTGTTGTCGTCGTAAACTTTTCACATTTTCATCTTCTTCTCAAGAACCACTGGGCCAATTTCAACCAAACTTGGTACAAAGTTTCCTTGGGTGAAGGGGATTTAAGTTTGTTCAAATGAAGGGCCACGCCCTTTTCCAAGGGGAGATAATCATGAATTTGTTAAAAATTAATGGCTTTTTTAAAAAATCTTCTTCTCCAGAACCGCTGGGCCAGGAAAGATGAAACTCATGTGGAATCATCCTCAGGTAGTGTAGATTCAAGTTTCTTCAAATCATGACCCCCGGGACTAGGGTGGGGCCAAAATGGCCGACCCAAGTTTTACATAGGAATATATATGCAAAAATCTTTAAAAATCTTCTTCTCCAGAACCACTGGGCCAGGAAAGATGAAACTCATGTGGAATCATCCTCAGGTAGTGTAGATTCAAGTTTGTTCAAATCATGACCCCCGGGGCTAGGGTGGGGCCAAAATGGCCGACCCAAGTTTTACATAGGAATATATAGGAAAAATCTTTAAAAATCTTCTTCTCCAGAACCACTGGGCCAGGAAGGATGAAACTCATGTGGAATCATCCTCAGGTAGTGTAGATTCAAATTTGTTCAAATCATGACCCCCGGGGCAAAGGTGGGGCCAAAATGGCTGACCCAAGTTTTACATAGGAATATATAGGAAAAATCTTTAAAAATCTTCTTCTCCAGAACCACTGGGCCAGGAAAGATGAAACTCATGTGGAATCATCCTCAGGTAGTGTAGATTCAAGTTTGTTCAAATCATGACCCCCGGGGCTAGGGTGGGGCCAAAATGGCCGACCCAAGTTTTACATAGGAATATATAGGAAAAATCTTTAAAAATCTTCTCTCCAGAACCACTGGGCCAGGAAGGATGAAACTCATGTGGAATCATCCTCAGGTAGTGTAGATTCAAATTTGTTCAAATCATGACCCCCGGGGCAAAGGTGGGGCCAAAATGGCTGACCCAAGTTTTACATAGGAATATATAGGAAAAATCTTTAAAAATCTTCTTCTCCAGAACCACTGGGCCAGGAAAGATGAAACTCATGTGGAATCATCCTCAGGTAGTGTAGATTCAAGTTTGTTCAAATCATGACCCCCGAGGCAAGGGTGGAGCCAAAATGGCCGACCCTAGTTTTACATAGGAATATATAGGAAAAATCTTTAAAAATCTTCTTCTCCAGAACCACTGGTCCAGGAAAGATGAAACTTATGTGGAATCATCCTCAGGTAGTGTAGATTCAAGTTTGTTCAAATCATGACCCCCGGGGCAAGGGTGGAGCCAAAATGGCAGACCAAAGTTTTACATAGGAATATATAGGAAATATCTTTAAAAATCTTCTTCTCCAGAACCACTGGGCCAGGAAAGATGAAACTCATGTGGAAGCATCCTCAGGTAGTGTAGATTCAAGTTTGTTCAAATCATGACCCCCGGGGCAAGGCTGGAGCCAAAATGGCCGACCCTAGTTTTACATAGGAATATATAGGAAAAATCTTCTCCTCAAGAACCACTGGTCCAGGAAAGATGAAACTCATGTGGAATCATCCTCAGGTAGTGTAGATTCAAGTTTGTTCAAATCATGACCCCCGGGGCAAGGGTGGAGCCAAAATGGCAGACCCTAGTTTTACATAGGAATATATAGGAAAAATCTTCTTCTCCAGAACCACTGGGCCAGGAAAGATGAAACTCATGTGGAATCATCCTCAGGTAGTGTAGATTCAAGTTTGTTCAAATCATGACCCCCGGGGCAAGGGTGGGGCCAAAATGGCTGACCCAAGTTTTACATAGGGATATATAGGGAAACCTTTTAAAATCTTCTTTTCAACTACTTCAAAGCTATGATTAGTGATATTTAAATGGAATCATCCTCAGGTAGTGTAGATTCTAGTTTGTTCAAATGATGAATGCCTGGAGGGGGGGGGGGAGTAAATTCAAGCCCGATGTGCTCAGGTGAGCGCTGTGGCCCCTGGGCCTCTTGTTTTGGGATGCGCTGGAAGATGGGTACATCTTTCCTCTTGTATGAAAGATAACTCTCGCATGCTTTGTTCTACTGGCAACATACTTCAGAAATAGGTAGCAAATCATTTTAGGATACCTATTTATTATCTTATTCAAGATTATTGAAACTATGTTAAGGTCACTGTAAGTTGGACATTAGATCATTATTTAAACAAGAATACCCTTGAATTTCTATTACATTCTTATCTGATTAAACTTAATGATTGCTGTTAATAAAATACACCAATGAATTTATCATGACAGTGTCAAATATGAATAACTTAGATTTGATTTTAATCAGACTGATGAATAATTTTAAAATTATCAAATTATACTTTGCATGATAACAGTCCTTTTCTTATTTGATACACCTAAGGTTTGAAACAGTGCAATTAAAATTAAAGTTAAGGTGGTCTTTTATGTATATTTCAGGTTGATCCTAGGCTCCCAAGATCTGAGAAGTTACGGGGTATGGTGAAGCAGGGGATTCCTCATTCTCTGCGGCCACATATCTGGATGAGACTCTCTGGTGGGATGGAGAAAAAAATCAAGTCTGATCTTACATACAAAGACATTGTCAAAGCCAGCTCAAATGATTTACTAATGACATCAAAACAAATTGAGAAGGTAATAAAAGTTGCAGAGTTTGGGGAAAAAATATGTAAAAACTAGAAAGTGTTCTACATATATATTTAAGTGTCGCATCAGGTACATTATATACTTGTATCAAGGTTAGAAAAAAAAATCATCAGACTCAGAAGCCCTGCTTTCCTGAGAAATTGTTGTGTCAATGCACTATTTATTTTCTTACCTACCAGACAAATGCTCCATGATAAAGAATTTTTGCATTTTTTTTTGATCACATAAAAAAATGCATAAAAAAAGATTTTGATGTTGGAAAATATGGCATAACATGAATAGCTGAAGTTTTTTCATTACAGCTTTTTCAGTAAGATATTGTAATCTAGAACTTTATTGCATTGATACAAGATTTTTTCTGTTACAGGATCTATTGAGAACCATGCCGAGCAATGCTTGTTTCTGTAATATCCACGGGACAGGTGTTCCGAGACTTAGGCGGATACTACGGGGTCTAGCCTGGCTATATCCAGACATTGGTTATTGTCAGGGGACAGGAGTAGTAAGTCTTTTAGAGTATGAAAAAATGATATTGTAAAATTTGGGTCTAAGAATGCATTATATTTTCCAAAAAAAAAAATGAGCTGGTTTTACGGATCCAACAGCCAAATTTTGCTGTTTTAAAAAAAGAAGACAATTTTGTTGGGGAAATTTTTCATCATCACTGATAGTGTTTTGTATGAAATAAAAAATTAATTTGAAGAAAGATGGTGGTCCTTCAGTGCACGAATGTCAATAAGGTGTTGAAAAAAGTTTAACTTTGATCTTAAAATTTTAAAATACAGTCATGTACTAGTTCTCAAACCAATATTGTAATGGACTGGTAAAGTCTGAATAAATAGGAATTAGGAAATACTAACGCTGACATAGTTACTGACAGCATTTATTTCTTTTGCTTGAGTAGATAGCTGGATCTTTGTTACTGTTTATGGAAGAGGAAGACACCTTCTGGATGATGTGTGCTATCATTGAGGACCTTCTGCCTGCCTCGTACTACTCTAGTACATTGATTGGCATTCAGGTCAGATTCAAATAAAAAAAAAAGAAAGAAAAGTTTCACCAGGAATATCTATTACATGTATTTATAGAGGGTATGAAACATGTCCAAAGTTTACATTTTCATTTTTTTCCTACATTACAAACAGGCAGACCAGAGGGTGATGCGACATTTACTTATTAGCTACTTACCTGACATAGATCTGGTTCTGAAGGAACATGATATTGGTATGTTACTTGTGTAAATACATGTATATACGCGACATGTCCACTAAATCTTGTACGGCTTGTTAACATTACTGAGAAATAGAACACTACAGTTTTATCACAAGTATTATTTGCATTATGTTTGAATGTTTTATGTGGATTGGAGACTAATTTTGTGAAGAGAAAAAGCTTCTGAATGATATTACCAGCTTCCCCATTTCTAGAAAATGAAATACTTTATAGATCAAACTTCAGTCCACCTGACTAATATTTGTGCTGTTTACACTGACACTAAGCATGATACTGCTCGCTTTAACCTTTGTGTGTTGATGACTTGACCCTATGTTTATTAACAGTCCTGTAGCACACAGCATGTCTTTACAGAGCTCTCCCTGATCAGCCTTCACTGGTTTCTCACTCTGTTTGCCAGTGTTGTTCATATGAAGGTGCTCCTCAGGATCTGGGATCTATTTTTCTATGAGGGCTCCACTGTTCTATTCCAAATCACAATGGGCATGCTCAAAATGAAGGTTTGTCATACTTTTTATGTACACAGTAATAATAATAAGAAACACGTATTTACGTTTTTAGCTCACCTCAACGAAGGTTAAGGTTAAGTTTTTTGGAGCAGTTTTCTTTTTAAGTACTTCTATGTCCTATATTGATTAGACATGCATGGAAGATGTTTCTAGTGTGTTTCATTGTACCAGTCAAAGTTTCAGATGCTGCAATTTCAGCAAAGGAATGACCAGGTTAATGTTTTTGGTGCAGGTTAACATTTTTGGTGCAGTTTTTGGTGTAGGTCTCATTTCCGAGTAACTATAAGCCCTATGTTGACCAAACTTACATGGATGGTACATCTTAGGATGCATACTACCAGACTTGCTTCGGATGCTGAATCTGACCTACATTTTACGGTTGAGTGAACAGGTTAAAGTTTTTGGTGCAGGTTTCATTTTGAAGATACTATGAGCCCTATAATGACCAAACTTGCATGGATGGTACATCTAAGGTTGCATTCTACTAGGCTGGCTTCAGAAGCTGAATCTGACCTACATTTTCCGGATAAGTGAAAAGGTTAGTTTTTTATACAGGTTTCATTTCCAAGTAACTTTGAGCTCTATGTTGAACAAACTTGCATGGATGATACATCTTAGGATGCACACTAATGGACTTGCTTCAGATGCTGAATTCGACATACATTTTCCAGATAATAGACCTCGTAAAAGTTATGGGTGCAGGTCTATCACCAAGAAACTATTAAGGCTTATATAAACCAAAGTTGCACAAATGATGCATCAAGGGATGAAAACTCTCAATCTTGCTTCAGATGCTGGATTTTAATTACATTTTCATGATGAAGAACTAGATTTAAGTTTTTATATAGGTCTATTCCAAAGTATCAAAATTGCATAAATTTTGCATTTTTGGATGTACACTTTTTGTTGGTTAATTGTGTGACTTAATTTGCCTTACTTAAAGACAACATTCGTTGAGGTGAGCTCTGTAATCTCTGATTACCTATGTTTATGAGTATTTAAATGTACATGTAAATAGGTTAAATGTGTTATATTGGTTTGTTCATTTGTCTGCATATTGATGTGCTAAACTTATGTTCATGCTACTAATATACTTGGTAAGGATTATTTTGGCCTGGATGAAGATCACATTAATCTGGATAGAAATTACCTTTATATCCATACATGTCCATAATGAACATGTATTTATTTTACCGGTCCTGTTCTAAGGCAGTGATTCTTAGATTGGTAAAATTCATGCAAAATAAGTCACAAATGATTATGGAATCATGTTGATTGCAAGTTATTTTATGAAAAAAAAAATGGATTATGTAAAATAAAAATGGATGAATTACTTTGTAAATTCTATGAGTTTTTGAAAATTCTTTTTGAAGTACATTGCATTTGATATGGATTTTTCACAAGTTTGAGAAGTTTAGTACATTATTACAGGAGGATGAGTTGCGTACCCTGGATAACTCGGCTCAGATCTTCAACTCTCTGTCTGACGTTCCCGGTGATGTGCAGGATGTAGAGGAACTCATTGAGGTAACATATCTATAAAGATTTACTGAAATGGTGTGAAGAGATTTCATTAAGTTTTTGTAAACAAATACATAATGTATTAAAAGTGTTTCAGATGTTTACAAAAACAATTGCATTTTACAGGTGTCATACAGAGTGGCTGGTTCACTGACAGACATGGTGATAGAATCTCAGAGAAGGAAACATTTAGCCTACTTAATGGCTGATCAAGGTGCAATAGTCAATCCAGATTCTGCTAAAAATCTGCCAAAACAAGTAAGTCTTATGCATTATATTGTCCTATTCAGAAAATGATATTAAAATGTATGCAAAATATATTTGAAAGAATGTGTTAGTACTTTTGACCATTTCCTTTCAGCAATTAAACAAAAGGCATTTGAAAAGATCTCGCTCCCTTGTTTCAACATTACTTTGGGGTGAAACTGAAGATGATGATTTCGGTAAAGCTAAAAATGTTCGCCAAACGGAGATTCTTGTAGACTTAAGAGAGGCAATATTGAAAATAGCTCGTCACTTTCAATCACTGGATCCAAAGAATAATAAAGTGGTAAACATTAATTCTGAATAAAAATTGATTTCATTTGTGTGTTGTCTCTGTGTACATGCAATTTCAGTAAATGAAATTATGGACAATATGTAAAAATTTGCATAAATATAATGATTTTGTAATTTTCAAAACATTATTTATAACATTATCTATTAAATTTAAAGTCTTTATTTTACAAAATTTGGTAATGCATACATGTATACTTTAAACAGATACTGACTGCAGATTATGCCATGGAAAGTCATGCTAAAGATCTAGAAAACTATGTCAATGTAGCAAGAAACAAGAGAAGGAGGGCCAAGGCATTGCTGGACTTTGAACGTCATGATGATGATGAACTTGGCTTCAGGAAAAATGACATCATCACAGTAAGTGTCAAGTTTATGAAATATGTACAATGGCTTGTGTAAATGAAGATTTGAAATTTCGCTCAGACCAAAAATGTGTTATCTTTTATATTTGCATAGGATGTGTCACATAAAATGTCACAGTTTTTTGTTCATTTACAATGCTATTTTCATTTTTTTTATTGAAAGTTCTGCTACTTGTTTTAATCAGATAATATCTCAGAAGGATGAGCACTGTTGGGTAGGGGAGCTAAATGGACTAAGGGGCTGGTTTCCTGCCAAGTTTGTAGAGTTACTGGATGAGAGAAGTAAACATTACAGCTCAGCAGGGGATGACAGTGTAACAGAAACCATTACAGATCTAGTCAGGGGAACGTAAGTATGCAAGGAGTAACATTTAAATGAAAATGGTATTATCAAATTGTGGGGGTACATGTAAGTAAAATATTATCATAGAAAATTTTATTAAAATGTTTTAAATAAAATTTGTATGGAATTTTAATAGGATTTTTTTTGAGTAGGATTTTCCGCCTTTTAATTTAATCAATTCAGGGTTTGTTTTAGAATACACATATATTTCAGACTGTGCCCTGCATTGAAAGCTGTATTTGAGCATGGATTAAAGAGATCATCAATTCTGGGTTCTGTCTGTCATCCCTGGCTTTTCTTGGAGGAGGTAAGTAACTAATGTACTGCTTAAATATTTATAATACATGTAAGTAAACTAAGATTTAGTAGTAATATGTCATTATCACATATACATGTATGTATAGCAATGTTTGATGCAGAAGATGTAAAATTTCCTGTTTACACGATTCTTCCATCTACAGGCAGCAACAAAAGAAGTAGAGAAGGATTTCCAGTCAGTGTATTCCAGATTGGTGTTGTGCAAAACATACAGGTATTATAATGTTACAAGAAATATGTGTGTAAAGCTATGTTATTTACCTGAATGTGGCCATTTTGGGGTGTGGGGTTAGAGGAGCATCATGAAGCTATATGTGATGGAATAGGGATGAGGCATTCTTAATGATCAGTTTTGGGGTACATAATAAGAACATTTAATTTAAAGTCAGAATTTGAAAACAAATTATGAAAGCTATGAAGGGTTTTTGACTGACATGCACGTACATTGCAGTGCCATCCTAGGTATCTGTATACAGGCTTTGTAATAATAATGAATTGTTAAGCAGTATATTTCATTAATTACATTTTCACTGCTCATGTAGCACTGTAATGAAGTAAGACACCTTTTTGTAGACTTGATGAAGATGGCAAGGTACTTACTCCAGAAGAGATTCTTTACAGGGTAAGCTTGTACTGTAATAAAGTCAGTTACATCCAATACAGTCATAAAGTCAGTTACATCCAAGATCATTTCAGGTAGAGTTGCAGCAAATTTTAACACATAAAAAAGAACTTAGTAAAACATTGACAAATAAGGTGATCAAAAAATTAAGGCAAACAGTTATGATATTTTTCATGCAGTAACATTATATGACTTTAAAAAAAAGTTAAATAAATGTTTGATACAGCAAAATCCTAGCATGTAAAGCCTTTCAAGAATTTAATGATAAAAAAAACAGGCTACAAGTAAATTCAAATGATGCTTACAAACATTGATTTTTTTAGGCGGTCCATGCAGTGAATGTGTCACATGATGCCTGTCATGCCCAGATGGATGTGAAGTTTAGATCACTTATTTGTTGTGGCCTTAAGTAAGCATTATATTTCTATTTTTGTCATTCTTTTATTTTATCATTCTTTTATTTTAATAACCTTTCTCAGATACATAGAAATAGAAAATATGCTTTTGGCCCTTCTGATTTCTGAAAATTACATTTTTCACCAACCTGGCACCCAAGTGGTCCCAGAAGTCCCACTGGTTGCCCTGGAGCTACTTTCACAATATGAACTGCTTTAAAAAGTAAAGTTAACATAGAAAACCTAGCAATCTTTGTGACGTGGGGTCAGTTTGGGATTGTTTTCTTCAAAGAAGCATGAAGGAACTCAAGAGACCAATTCGAAGAATTATGGTGTCCCACTTTGGTACTTAGGTGTCTTAGTGGTTGAGCTATATTGACAAAGTAAAACATTAATTTTACTGCAGCTTACATGTATATACAATTGTTTGATGTTGTATTTTGGTATAGGTGTTCTATACTAGTAAATTGTCACAGCAAATGCTACATTTTGGGCTAGAGACCTTGTTCTTGTTTTGTTGAACAGCTAAATCAGTCTTCTCCTGGTTGTTGAACTTGATTCATAAAGCAGTCACTAAATCTCCCTCTGAAGACCTTGTTCTTATTTGCACTTGTGTATACCTGGGATGTTTATTTTAACACTGGGTGCTACATATATGACTGGAGACCTTGTTCTTGTCAAGTTACCTGTACTGCTGATCTTTGCTTATTTTCAGTCCAGGTGTTATACATATGCCTGAAAACCTTGTCTCCTCAAGTTAATACTGTTAATTTATGTTTACTTCAATACTAAATGGCAGGTGCTATGTATAATTCTTTTGTTAATCTTGTGCTTTTGTATGTCAAATTAATGACTGCAGTAATGTCTCAGTGGCAGATGGTTCATCCATTGTGGATGATCTTGTGCTGTTGTACATGTACCTGTATATAAAGAAAAATCTATGATTGCATTTACCTCTCCATTCCTTAAAAGTACAGAAGTTGAGGCCCCCAAAAGAGTACCATAGCACATAGTTTTCGAGATTTTTATGTGACTCGGATGGCCTATTACTGTTGTTGTGTTTCATAAGTCATGCATTAACATATGAACATTTCCCACATGGTGCCTAGGGGATGGGTAAGACCAACAAAATTAAAACAATCTTAAAAAATCTTCTTTTCTCCTGGACATGAGGAAGTGATACTGTTGGCACAATTGTAATAAGCATCGAAGTTGAACCCAAAATTGTGAAATTTCTCAGTGTTAATGTTCAATGACAGACAAAAGATAGATAGCAATGTGCATCCTGGATTTTTTTCCGCTTTTAACTTTCAAACAAGATTTCTTGATCTCAGAGATTATCCTGCAACATTCACAAAAACGAGGACTTTATTTATTAATTTTACATATCAAAGGTAACTTAAAGGTACTTTCATGATTTGATATGTAAAATTAATAAATAAAGTCCTCGTTTTTGTGAATGTTGCAGGATAATCTCCGAGATCAAGAAATCTTGTTTGAAAGTTAAAAGCGGAAGCTTTTATATTTCAAACAACATTTTGAGACTGAGGTCAGTAGTATAACTGCATTGTGTATGTTTACTGTGAGCAGGTGCTACATCTCTGGCTGGAGACTCTCTGTTCCTGTAAATCAGTCAGTAGTATAACTGTGTTGTTTATGTTTACATTGAGCAGGTGCTACATTTTTGGTTGGAGACTCTCTGTTCTTGTAAATCAGTCAGTAGTATAACTGTGTTGATTATGTTTACATTGAGCAGGTGCTACACCTCTGGCTGGAGACTCTATGTTCCAGTAAATCAGTCAGTAGTATAACTGTGTTGATTATGTTTACAGTGAGCAGGTGCTACACCTCTGGCTGGAGACTCTCTGTTCCTGTATGGATGCTGTGGAGAAGTGGTATCATCCCTGGTCATTCATGAGAAGCCCAGGTTGGGTTCAAATCAAATGTGAACTAAGGTAAGTGCCTTGTACAGTGCATGTATATTGTACAGCTGTTGTGTACCCTATGTCATTTTATCAACTTGCTCTCAGTGATGCATGCATGATGCTGAATCAAATCTAGTTTACTCTTCATGACACAGAAAACCTTATATTTGTTGTATTTCATTGTTTCTTTATTTTTTAAATTTTATCTAGTAGGATTTTTTTGGTCACTGCATGCTAACATATAGTTGATTTGTTGTGGTTTATTGCAGGCTTTTGGCACAGTTTGCATTTAATCTGTCTATGGATTGGGAATTACCAGTCAGGAAAAAGAAAGCTCCTACATACTCAATTACAAAATCTGTCCAGGATATCCTTATCAAGCACCACTTGTTTAGCTGGGAAATATAACTCTAATTTACTCACTGTAGAATGTGCAATATAGTGACCATTTCAGGCATATAATTTACAGGAACGTGCTGGGCATTTATCACATCAAACAGAAACATGTACATATCAGTGAAAAATAATTGATAATCATGATGTTACAGATTTTTAAGCTAATCTTCTTTACCAATATCACTGCAGCATTTTCTTGACTTCTGATACATGTACAGGTATGATATGATGTAGTCAAAACGACAAGGTATGGTAATGTAGTTGAATTCACTCAATATTTTGAAAGATGTATTATTTACACATTCAAAGTGATTTTTATATAATATTCACTCTCAGAGTATTTCATCGCAAGATTTCTCCATTCATATATGACAAATGCAGCAAATCATTCACCAAGATAAGATGTCAATGCAATTAAAGTTGAATGTGATTCATTAAAGAAAGATAGATATCTTTGTCTACCATATTAGTTTTCTCAAGACTAATTCTCTAACCCTTATATATGCATGCATCTCGGTTTTATTCAGAGTTCATTGTATTTGGTTTCATTGACCACACATAAAAGAATGTCTCCTTCCTTGTCATTGTGACAAACTTGGACATAACAAAAAGGATTTCTGTATGTCATTGTGACAAACTTGGACATAACAAAAAGGATTTCAGTACAGTATGCTGCTCCCATGTTAGGGTAAAAAGTTACCAAATATATTTGATGTCATATTGCACTGGCCAATGTAAGAAAAGGGAAATAAACACAAATGTGACCTCCACCTGGTCTGTGGATTGAGATATATGTAAGTCAGATGTTAGGAAAAAGACAAGGTCAAAGGCAGGTTAGGAAAAAGTCAAGGTTAAAGCCATGCATGTTAAAAAAAAGTCTATGTTAAAGCCAGGCATGTTACAAAAGGTAAATGTTAAGGTCAGGCATGTCACGAAAAGTCAAGGTCAAAAATTGTGTATGAGATATGCTTATAAATGCATCAGCTGTTTAGCTGGGAGATAAGAGTAAAATACATGACATCTGTAGATACTGGTTAAGGCATTTTCTGATATATTATCATTATGTATGTCACATAGATAGAGGGTGTAAAGCGTAGATAAGGGAAAAATTCATGTAAAAAAAATTCTTTAAGCAGTAGTGTAGACTTTTTCAACAGCATTTGACCATCTCACTCTTACATTTCAAGTACGATGTATAGTTAAAACTGGGAAAATATGTACAATATGTAGCCCTATGACTGCAACCCAAAACAAAATTCATTATTTGATGACTTCAGTAAGCCTTTTAATTTTTTTTTTTGGCTGCATGTTTCTTTGGGTTATTCATGATGTCAAAAATAAATTTATGTTTCACACTAATATGGACATCTAATGTCATATGAATTTTTTACATTAAATATTTAAATTAAGAAATCCTTTGAGGAATGTTGAATATTGTGATATTATTCTTTTGTTTTTGTATGAAACTTTTTTTCTTGTTATTTCTGTTCTGTAATGAAATCCTTTCCTGTTGTAATCATTTTCTCTATGTTGTGAAATCCAGTCCTTAATATTTCAAAGAATTTTATTTATATTAAGTTCTCTTTATTTTATACATTGTTGAGTTCTGTCAATAAAGTACAATACAATAGCACATTTGTTTGTTGTTTTTGTTTTGTGTGTATCTGTGTAGTACTAATTTCCTTTACAGTATAAAAAACTTAATTCAAGCAAAATAATAAATATTGATATATTTATTTTATTTTTATTTTTTTGCACTTATTCAGACTAATCCCTTCATTTTAGGCTTTTATCCCAGTTTTCCTTCAAGCTATTTAGAGACTGGGAAATCCCCCACCAGACTAAGGCTTCCTATCAGCCTCTGAAGGAAGGGGTCAAGGACATGCTGGTCAAACATCATCTGTTCAGCTGGGATCTCTGATCCTGGGATTGGGCCCCATCAATGGAGATTTTCAGCATGTGTAGTTAGGATCTGGTACATATATAAGAATAACTTAAGCGTCATATTCAAGATTTGCTTAGTCAAGTTCTTCTAGAGTTTATGTATATTGATTTGTATCAGTTTGGTTCCATCATATGATTAGCGTCTGATCTGATGATTCATTATCTGATATGGAATGAGATGAATAATACTCTGTTAAATCTTACTTCAATTAAATAATTTAAGAAAAGGTCTTAAAATATGGACATGGTTATCATAATATACAAGTATTCTGGAATTGTAGTTCCCTAGATATCCTGATAATTGGGTGCTTTAAGGAGATCACATGTAAACCTCATAGATACAAATTGTGGCTGTTACACTGGATTCATTGCTTAATAAATTGAAGCTAAAAACATTAACCTATAAAAGGATTTTCTGGCTCATCTTCATCCAAGTTCTATACATATATATAATTTTTTAGCATGTATTGTGTATGCACAATTGTTGTTAATACTTTTGGTTGTGAGCATACTTAATTATGATTCAACACCCACATTGATATTACGTATATGTCATATATAACATACAAAAGAATTCAACATAAAGCTACATGTATATAAAACAAATGTGAAGCCATGTCTGTGATATGTACTGTTGTTTTGTAAATGTAATGTTATTCTGATTGTTATACCATTGAACAAAAGAAGGGGGATTCTCTATCTCTGAATACAGGTACATAACTATATAAATATTTCAAGAATATATATGGTATTGATTGGAATTGTTTTCACTACAATGATGGTTATAAGCATAGACTGAAAGCAGAGATCTTCTTTAGATATACATGTATATGTTATAAACAAAAAATTAGACAATCAAAAAACATATCTTTCTGCAATAAACAAATGTACATATATTTGATATCAGTCATTTTGAAACATTTAAGTTCCAGAAAAAGTATAGTTTGAACTTTACATAAAGTATGAACATCATTTATTACTGGTCTTATTCTTACTGGAATGCAGTCTTTATTATCATCTTCACAATATCAAGGGTCTGCAATATTCCTCAACAACAAACATAGTCCAAAGGATGTTTTTGTCTTAGCTGCAGAACTGTAGCTCTCTGCTTGAGAAAATTCGGACAGATAAAGCAGAGAGCTACAGATCCAAGCGTTGTAAAAACCTTCCATTTACGCCGACGATTTTTTGTCGCTACTTTAGGTATTTATTTCGTGTGGTTTAAGCTTTCTCTGCCTTTTAGAATGGTATCCTATAATAATTCATATATTTAACTCTTATATTTGATACTTTGTTTACCTTTTAACGGTCAGAAACAGTCCTGTATATAGTTTTGTAATGTCGGTTTAAAAGAGTTCCATTTCGACGTTCGTAAGCACAAACAGCTATTTGTTAGCGTTGAGAGGTAAGTAAATGACCAGGAATTGAAGTTGAATGTATGCTTACTTATGAAATATCATTTAAAATTATTTTCAAAGCTGGGGAAAATATAAAATACATGTACAGGAAAAATACCCATAGTAAGCGACACTTTCGGCACTTTTCAACTTAGATGTTTGGCCATATCTTGAATATAGAGATGAACAGTTGGCAGCGCAACTCCTCATAAACCGCAGTACAGAATTTTGTGAAACTTTGCAGATATTTAGGATACAATGTGTAGTAAAGGAATAACTGTCTTATTTTTCGAATTCATGAAGTGATCAATGGATTGGCTTGTGTGATAATTTGCATAAACGCCGAAGGCGTTTATGCATAAAATTATCACACAAGCCAATCCATTGATCATCTTCATGAATTCGAAAAATAAGACAGTTATTCCTTATATTTACATGCTTTGATTCCGCCAATCCACGGGCTCCAAGCCTGCTTCTCTCTAGGTGTTGTCCCGCCCTACACGTGGTTTTTTTTTTGGAACCGCGCCAAAACATTCATGAGGAAATAAATTACATTTACAATTGGTAATTTTATCTCGGACAAAGACATTGGAAATGTAAATATATATGCATATTGTCAGGAAATTCCGACTCCTTTACTTTTTCCGGGATTTTCAGCACTTTTCATCTTAGATTTTTGGCCATACCGTGAATAAAGAGATGAACAGTTTGGCAGCGTAACTCCTCTTTAACCGCTGCACAGAATTTGGTCAAACTTTGCACATATCTCGTACACAGAGTGTAGATGTGCATATTACCAGGAAATTAGGACTTCATTATTTTTCTGGGAATTTCGGCACTTTTCAACCTAGATTTTTGGCCACATCTTGAATAAAGAGATGAGCAGTTTGTCAGCGCAATTCCCCATAAACCGCTTCATAGAATTCTGTCAAACTTTACAGACATTTAGGACAGAATATGTAGATGTGCATCAGGAAATTCCGATTCCTTTATTTTTTCGGGATTTTTTGCACTTTGAGTTTTGGGGGAGCGTGGGGTATGTGAGGTGCTCACTTTTGACTAATATCCTGATCTAAGATAATCCTTTTTATTGTCCCCGGCTTTTGCGAAAGCGAGGGGACTTTAAATCTCATTCGTCTGTCCGTCAGTCTGTCAGTCTGTCCGTCCGTCACAAAAACTTTAACCTTGCCCATAACTTTTGATTTAATGGAGCTATGACTTTCATATTTCACATGTGTATCCCTTCTGAAAAGACCTTTCTTTGGGTACCACCATATTTGACCTTGACCTTGGAGTTTGACCCACTTTTACACAAAAAATCCAAACTTTTACTTTGGCGATATCTTTTGAATGGTAGAAACTAGGACTTTCATATTTCACATATGCATTTTTTGTGTCAAGGCCTTTCATTGGATACCAACAATTTTGACCTTTTAACCTTGACCTTAGAGATTTCCGTACTTATAAAAAAACTTTTACCTTTACCATAACTTTTGAACGGAAAGGACTAAGGCTTTCGTACTTCACATATGTAATCCTTGTGAGAAGACCTTTCATTGGATACCAAGAACTTTGACCCTTTGTCAAAAAAATGACATCTCAGCCACAAAGAGACCGAAAGCGGGGGACCACAATTCTTTGAATTTGCTTGTTTTCAGTTTATTTTGTGTTATGAAGTGTAATTTCTCTTATATATAAGTGTAGTGTAATTGTCCTCTTTCTTTTTATGCCCCCCCCCCCCCTCTTAAAGAAGGGATGGTATAATGCTTTTTTGATGTTTGTCTATTGGTGGGTTGGTCAGTCCACCAACAGTTCCTATTCATTTTTTTGCAGAGGTTGCACATACTGTAATGAATTTTTGTATACATATTTAAGAATATCTAATTCAAATTCAGTTTTGGGTACGATCGATATTTTTTTTTAAAGAGTTATGCCCTCTTGGACTTAGAAAAATTCAGATTATTTGCAGTTGCTGTTCATTTTCCTTGCAGAAGTTGCACAGACAGAAGTGAATTTTGGTATACAGATTTATCATGAGAATATCAAGGTCAAGTTTTGTTTTGGGTACGATCGATCGTTTTCAGAAAATATTTATGCCCCTTGGACTTAGAAAAAGGGGGTTGGGGCATAAGTGTTTCACAAATGTCTCTTGAATTTTTTCGTAAAGAAACACGCTTCATCTCTCAGTCTATCACATGATTATTCAATTCCATTCCATATCGATCCTTTACAGGGTTACAACCGTTACATGGATGTAAGCTACATATTATATTCAGGTGACTGTTAAGACCCTTGAGCCTCTTTTTTTATTTTCTAGACCTGGCCTTGATTTTTCTCTCATTATGTATATGAAAATCATGCTGGTACCATGGGTGGTGTGATGTCACCTTACATTAAGTCCCCCTTGCAAGTGATAAGTATAACATCGGAATGTTGGGTAATTCAGTGATCCAAGTACGTCCTTGTTACGGTTAACCTCGGTAACTGTGACGTAGATTATATTGGATTGGCCTTGGTGATAAGCACTATCCAAGATAAACAGGTTGTTGATATACTCCGAGAGTACTTACTATAAACAACTAGTTCAACAGGGGACACAATCACACAAATACATACCAGTAACCCCATTTTCCAATGTACTACATGCAGCTATACCTAAATATTATCTGAATTACTTTGGTCATTGAAAATGATCTCAGTCAAACCAATCTAACATATCTGGATTTTGTATTTTCTCTTCGGACACTTTCCGAATTCAGAATAAAAAAAATAGAACATTTAGCCTACATATGGTTTCCAGTATGTTCTCAAAGGTACCCATCGTGTGTTCGAAGTGTCTTCTTTGAGTTATTGCGGGATGGGATGCGAGATGCGCATTTTTACAAGATTTAGGTCATCAACCTGAATGTGAGTGGCCTAATTCATCATCAATGACATTCTGAAATCATTTATTTATGTAATAATCTAGCAAGATATTTTATTATCTTATCTCATGTTTATATAACAAAAACGTAAAAGTTTATATCTAACCCATCATGAGCAAATCCCGTTTTCTAAATTATTATAGACTTCCCTTCCCATCTTTCCCTTCAAAAACATTAATAACCTTTTCTGAAAATTAGTGCAGGAGTATGCTTTACGTACAATTTCTGAAACGATTTAAATTATTGACAAACAAGTTGATGATACAAGAAAATCAGCAGTCTCGTTCAAAGAAATAATTTCGGAAGTTCTTTGATCGATACTATGACCTCGTCAGCAAATACAATTAATCGTCAGGTCAAATGATGACTGACGTTTTTTTTATACTAATTCTTAGTCCATTATTTGCATACTGAATTGTCGACGAATTTTCCCGTTGTTTCCAGAAGCACAAGGAGCACATGGCGGTTGTGACCAGTCGGCAAGGGATGCTCACTGCTCCATGGCACTTGATCCCACCTCTGATGTTTTGGAAGTTCATGTTTGCCCTGCTTCTATTTTGTATTGTTTATGGACTTATGAGCATGACTATTGTCCGTTTCTTTCATATTTTATTCAGTTGGCGGCTATATTCAACCAATATATACAGTAAATCTGTAAGACTACACTCGAATTAAGTGCTGGAAAGACAGAAAAGACGTGTCTAGTGTAAAGGTATTACTGAATATAAGAGTAAGAGACCTGATCCCTGCATAGTTTACTCGTATATATAAAATTTCATTTAACGGCAAGGAAACGGCTATTCAATTCGATCAAGGAGAGGTGGCAGAGATTTTTTACACAGGTTCTTGTAGACAGGACCCCCCCCCCTCTCTCTCTCTCTCTCTCTCTCTCTCACCACCACCACAATATTCAACCCCGTGGCTTGTTGGCCATTTTTTTTCACAAAGTATATTCAATAAACATATTTATCATGTGTACAATAGGAAACAAATCTAAAAAAAAAAAAACACAAAATAATGACCCCACAAAAAAATTACCCCACTATACATTATATGAGATACCTTTAATTCTCTCTTCTAATGTATAGTAGGGTATTTTTTATGCCTCCGTAATGGAAGATTCGGGGTATATAGTATTTGTCTGTCCGTGCGTATGTATGTCTATCTGTTTGTCTGCAAAAGTTTTAACCTTGCCTATGGTTTTTGATTTAGCATCGTCGGAAACCCATGGGTGATCCCTTCTTCACTTATCATCCGGGTTATAAGTAAAGACGAGATACCGTGGGTTTCTGACGATGTGATTTAGTGGACCTATGGCTTTCATATATTTTACATGTGTATTCCTTGTGACAAGACCTTTCTTTGGGTACCACCAAATTTGACCTTCACCTAGGAGTTTGACACACTTTTACACAAAACTCTAAATTTTTACCTTGGCCATAACTTTTGATCAGTAGATACTAGGACTTTCATACTTCATCATATCTATTTTTTTGCGGCAAGACTTTTCATTGGATACCAATAACTTTGACCTTTTACCTTGACCTTGGAGATTTACCTAATTATGAATAACCTTGGCCGTACTTTTTAACAGTAAGGGCTATGGCTTTCATATTTCATATATGTAATCCTTGTGAGAAGAACCTTCATAGAATATCAAGAACTTTGACCCTTTGACATTGGACTTTGACCTACATTTAAAATACAAACCTTGACCATAACCTTTGAAGGGTAAGGACTATGGCTTTCAAACTTCACATATTTAATCCTTGTGACAAGAACTTCCATTTGATATCAAAAAAACTTTGACCCTTTGACCTTGACCTTGGAATTTGACCTACTTTTTAAAAACTTTAATCTTGGCCATAACTTTTGAACGGTTAGGACTAGGGACTACTTCATATATGTAATCCTTGTGACATTACACCTTTCTTAGTAAACCAATTACAACACGTACTGACCATTTGGCCTTGAAGTTTGAAGTTCCTTTCAAAATCTTATCTTTGGCCATAACCTTTAAAACAGATGGTGCTAGGGCTTTCATATTTCACAATTATATTTCTTGTTAGAAGACCTTACTTTGCATTGGTATCAATATATTGCATTTAAGAAATGTCTAATCTTCGCTATGTTGCCATACCGGGACATTAGTGTTTCATAAACACATCTTGCTTTTTAGCCCCCGTAAAAGAAGTTTCGAGGGTGTATAGTTTTTGCCCTGCATGTCCCTCCGTCCAGCTGTCTGTTTGACAGTCCGCAAAAACTTAACCCTTGGCCATAATGTTTGAATGGATGGGGCGGGCAATGACTTTCATATTTCACAGTTGTATTCCTTGTGACAAGACCTTTCCTTGGGTACCACCAAATTTTACCTCTTGACCTTGGAGTTTGACCTACTTTTACCAAAAATACCACAATTTTTACTTTGGCCGTAACTTTTAAATGGTGTTTGCTATGACGTTCAAACTTCTCATATGTGTTCTGTGTGAAAAGATCTAATTTTGAGGTGCTCTTGTTTTGTTTCATTCCATATGCAATCTATGGTTCCCATAACGCGTTACAATATACTCAGGTGACTGTTAAGGCCTTAGGATCTCTTGTTTGTTTTAATAAGTTTGGGCAATTACTGTGGCTTGGAAAATGGGAGCAAGTTAATCAGTTTTATGTTGTATATTTAGTAGTATATTTTGATAAACGAATTCCTTCTGATTATCTTGTGATCTTGTCAGTACACGTGGGTATGGGTCACAAATACCCCAGATCCAAACATTGCTGATAGTTTATATACACTCATCTTAAAAGTGCTCTATATCCTCATTATTAAATATTAATGTTTTTAAACTTAAGAATGATCTAGTGTTGATTGTGAATATCTTCTAACTTCAGACATTTTTCTATAAAGAAATTGTATAATCTGACGATACATTATTGTAAAACATTCTTTTCTTTTTCTTTTTACTTTATATCTATTCTATCAGACTCGTTTAAACCGTTAAATTTTCAGAATTATTTTTCTTTAAGTCACTAATAATTCAATAAAGAATTATATCACTACACTAATTTAAGGATATCCTGGAGAACACGTAAGGTACTAAATAGGTTGCTCAACATTACACGAGGATTAGCATTCCCAAAACAGATTTTCAAAACAGCTTGTACGAGGTGGCCCCCTGGGATTGGTTTGTTTTAAATTGTGGTTTCGTGACTTTATTAGGTTAGGTCAGGTAAATAACAGTCATTATCAGATATAATATAAATATAATGTGATAAAATTGCTATATCTCTCCTAACCTAATTTCCGTCAACAAAACTATCCTGAAAATAAATTTCAATACTGTATGTTAGAAAGTACCATTATTTATTTTTTTTTCAATCAAAATGACCAAACATTTATTTCAATCCATTAGTGAATAAAAAAGTATATGGAAAGATTCCGATAAACCAATTCAAATGCAATTGAACCGTTCCATTTTTCCAACTCAAATGATATTTCTTATTATTTATTTACTTTATTTTTTTATTTTTGAAACCTTACAATAGAAAAGATAAAGAAAAAAACAACATAGAGCCTCCAGCGGTTTTAATAAAAATTGAGGAAAGGTATGGTACGATTTAGAACATTCAATCATATTTGGGGTTATTTGTGCATCAAGGGGGTAAATTAATGATGCGATTCTCGTCCGAGGAGCATGCGACCCAAATGGAACAATCTCATTGGTCAGTTAAATTGATTGACAAGGTCACCACTCCCATAAAATAGGTAAGGAATAGTATATTAACGGATCAAAGAATTGTTTTTTAAACATTTTAATTAAAGCATTTTGTAATTAAACATAGACCGTTAATGATGAAGAACCCCCTCTTCCCATGGCTTGGAATTCTGTCATGTCTCGCCCTAACAGGTATGTGTTTTAAGTTGAAGGATTTTTATATCTTCTTTTGTCAATTTTGTTGTTAAATTACAAATCATTTGAAATGACAAAGCACAGAATAGAACAAAAAAAATTATTTTGGTACTTTAGATCTATATCTTAACAGCAGTGAAAAGATAAAATATTTTAACCTAAATCTTTTTAATTCTGTATATAATTAAAATAAAGGTATTAGTTTGTGAATTCAATAATTAGCAAATGAATAAATGCATGACTGTATTTTACTTAATTTACACTGTAAAGTGTTTAGAATTTTTGTCCATCCATTTTCAAGTGCATTAGATACGAATGAATTTGTTTTTATCAAACTACAGGCTAAGTAAAAGTTTAAAAAAAAAAATTTATAATCCAACTTCAGGTTATTCGGTAGTATTTCATGTTTATTAAATTTTCCAAAGCTTTGAAAAAATATAGGGAAAAAATAAAACCACCCAGTTCATTTAAATTACCACAAAATATTTTTTTTAAAAATCAGGCGATATTACGAAAGCAATCATCCGATGTGGACGACCAATGGTCCAAGGCGACTTTTAAGGGGGTGTTAACGCGAGGCATTCGCACCTTATTACTGTAATCCCGTCAAAGACGCTTATACCAATGTCCCATAGATCATATCTTATTTGTAAACCGAGTCAACCGAAAAAAGTTCTAACAGGTTAATCTGTATCTCTTTAAAGCTTTCTCTATATTGCCATGACTATTCTCGATAACGTTGTATAACTTTTTAGAGATTTGCCAAATTCATCACTTCCTGGTTATCTATGTGTAAAGTTGAAAACGAACTTTTGAATACCTTAAAACCTTTATAAATTTAAGTTTATTTCAGTTAAGATAGGTAAAACATTTTACTAAATAAGAGAAAAAACCTAAATAATTGTGACACCAGTCAATGCAAATTTTATTAAAATTGTCCTTCTTATTTAAATTGCAATAATTTTGCGATATTTTCCTAATTCAAGAATGTACTTAATTCAATTTCCTAAACTAACAGGGACACTTCATATGCTTAAACGAATCATATTAAAGTTAGAACAATTTAAGCATGTTTAAATCATGCAGAATAAGGTATTTTAGTCAGAACAAATCGTGTTTTCAAATTCTAATTTTCCGTGCTAATATGTATCACTGTTAAATTTCAGTGGAGTCCATTATTCCTCCATTCATGCAGCGTATGCAAAGCGAACAGCCGGTGGTTCAAAGATTTAGACCGACGGCGGAGAGATGCTGCAGGGTGGGAGAAAGAACAGCCAGGTTTTCAATGTCATGCAGTCTCCGGAACAGCCAGTTTAACAGTGTTCACGCCGCCCGCGGATTCTCCAGAAGCGGCACCATTTTGAGAAACATAGACTTATTAATCTCCAAATCCACACAATGTGCCTTTCACTTCTTACAATCGTTTGAAAATTGTTGTCTGAACAAAGAACAGTTTCTTAACGAAAGTCGACTGTGTAGACGGAGGTATACGGACAAAGAAGTTCGTAATAATTGCATAAACATCGCAAGATCTAAATACGGACAGTGAGGATCAAATCCGCCATATTTTTTCAATGGTTTCACGACTACGGCAGCATTTTAGTGTAACTTATGTTATGAATACGATGTATTCACTCATTATCATTTCCTTTGTACGTATGGTGACATTAAATGTCTTTGTTTAAATGTAACTTATTTTCTGCGAGCTGTGAATATGCTTCATATTAAAATCACAATCATGCTTACCACAGATTTTGGTTTTTTTTTTCGTTAGTAATTAAGGGCACAAGGTTAAATGTACCATGGTATCTTCATGGCTAGATATGGGCTTTCCCTAATATTTCTTTTTTATGAAAACGATTATTTTGCTTCTAACCTCTATAAAGTGAGTCTTATCGGAGGATGCGAGAATGACTTTCGGACTTTTCTTACCATGAGAAAAGTCACATTGTCTGAATTTGTTTCCCCTTGCGGTTAATAATGACATTTCATGGAATTGATACAATGATTTGTTGCAATGGGTTTGTGAACAATATCATCCAAACAATTTTCTTGTAGTGCCAGGAGTCAACACGTTCCCATTGGACGTCCATTGCCAGGGGTCCTGAGTCAACACGTCCCCATTGAACGTCCATTGCCAGGGGGTCCTGAGTCAACATGTTTCCATTGGACGTCCAACGACAACATGTTGACTTAGGACTCTTGGCCTTGCGCGAATGACCCAACGGGCACTTTTAAAGTCTTAAAATATACTGGACAAAAAGTTATGGATCCTATCAAAATATATGTTTTATATATACGTTATTCTAAAAAACAGAATACAGTTTAAACATTAGTATCATATTTTATATTCAAAGTTTGAAATTCAAACAATGGAAGTGATGTTTGTTTAAACACACGCTATCCACTGTTCATTACGGTCAATCTAAACTTCGCCATGTTGGGTGTAGACATGAAAATAAGGATTTTTTTCCAGAAAAGTCAAATCATGTCGGTAAAATTATTGCCAATATCTTGTATGACCTTCCTCTGAGGCAATAAACGCCCCATGGTGTCAAACCTTACTGCCCATCAACCTTGCAAGGCTAGCCCGAGGGATCGAGCTGTTGTAATCCCTCCTGCAACGTTGCCTGAATCTCCTGTCGATTTTGGGGGAGTTTTATACGAGATGAAATGCCTTGCTAATGAATGTCCCATGCATATTCCAGGTCAGGTCTGAAAACGACTTGTTTTGTCTATAAGCTGAGCTGTTTCACTTTCAATGTACTCATTTACGATTCTGAATCTATGAGATCGATCATTTTTCGTCCATTAAGATGAATTTCTCTTTCCCAGTATCTGCAATAGGTCGAACGATGGGATGAAGAATATCATACCTTCATTTTAAACCTGTCAGGAAGCCTTCAATGCCAACACTTATCAGGGTTTAAACTTAACTGAAATTTCCACGAGCCATGTGGGCTCCTGACATTTCAAATTTAGGAGCCCACTGTTAAATTTGTTAGCCCACAGTCTCTGTGATTTTTTGTAAAAAGCATAGATTTTGGGACAAAAAGTAGATACAAATGAAATACATATAGAAATTCATCTGTTTAAAATTGGAGTTCTTACTTTATAAAAAATCAGATGTCATATAAATATTTAATCAAAGGAAATGAAATTGCATTCAATAAATAATTTTACTATCTTTTTTTTTTACTTGGTAATACATGTATATAAATACGTAGCCTTGGTACATGTCTACAACTGATAAATTGACAATGACACAATAAGATTTTCTAGGTTAAATATTTTAACTACAACATATCTGAAATACATGTAGGTGAAAACACTTAGTATTCATATGACTGAGTAGTTGGGAGTTATTAAAATTGTATATCTCTCACGTATCAACCATTTACAGAGGGTTGGAGGAAATTCGGATTAGGAAAAAAGACGATCGTTTTAGGGAATTTCACAAATCGTTTAGTACTTTAAATGGAAAAGATGAAGAATATTTACGAACAATAGGACCATACTGCTGTGATTTATTTCATTTTTCTGTAGTTTTAAATCAAAAACCTGCATAAAATGTCTGTTTTTCAGTAAGGGGACTGGGAATGAATTCGGTCCCCTGCAGAATTTTTATTCGCCACGTGGGCGATCAACTTACAAATTTTATGAGCCCACACCAATTTTTACTCGCAATTTGCGAGTGGGCGAGCGTTAAGTTTAAACCCTGCTTATGCCTGCCGAAATCATCACTGAACCTCCATTTAATCTGTCATGCTTAGAAATGAAAAATCGGCAAATCCTTTCCCTTTTGCATTCCAGACAAGTCTGCCATCATGGAGGTCAAAACAAGACCGCTGCTCATCTGTGGAGAGAACAGAAAACCAATGACGTTATTGCCAGTATATGTGTCCTGTTGCCCACTGTAGTCAGTTTTTGAAATACTCTAATTTTAACATAGGATGCACAGTTGGTCGGAAAGCCTTGAAAATTGCTTCATAAAGTCTGTTTCGAACTGTTTTAGTAGAAATCCGTCTACTTGTATTTCTCTCTAAAGCTCAGTATCAAAGAACACTTTAGAAGTGGTGCCTTTTTGCAACATTTGCTAAGTAACGGTCTCCACGGATTGAATACACCTTGGACGTCCCGATTAAGCTTTCTTTTATAAATTTTCTGCCTGTAAATATTATTACAAGTTTACTAGTATAAACGGCGAATCACGCTTTGGGAAACATGAAGTCTTTTTGCAACATGACGTTGTGTTTTTCCAGTTCCCAGCATCCCCACAGTCCTGGAGCACTAGTCCATGCTCACATGCCTCCTCAAAGCGTCTTATCGTCAGTTCTGGCTAGAAATACTGAAACTTTCTTATGTTCACTAAAAAGAAAACCCTCTTTGATACTTCTGTGCTCCTACTGTTCCACTTACCCTTTTAATGCCACGCACTTTCTTGAGCAAAGGCCGCAAAACTTATCAAACACGAGTAACTCAGTATAGAATCGCGTGAATGACACTTTTTAAACTTCCGAAGCTTTCTTGTCACCTAAACTCATAGGTATGGAAATATTTTTCTTGTGTAAAGATATGATTCCTAACTAATTTTGTCAAGTATACAAGCACGTAATTTTAGAGAGTGTTTAGAGTATATATTAATTTCCATTTTATAAAAGATGGGGTGCTTCTTATTCGTAGGAGGGAATTACGATCACTCAAAGAGTACACTTGTACTGATACACCTAGTTGTGAACCAGTTGAATGGTAAAGGTTAATAACACGTGGGTTACCTCCAATGACGATGCTGATATTGTGTATATAAGGTTAACTATGATGTAGATGTAAATTGATATAATGGCCTACAGATAAAGAAAGTAAATAGTTAGGATAAGACCTTCAAATTTTAAATATTTAAAGAGTAAGTCGTTTTTATTCCTTTTTGACACTATATGAGGGTTTTCAAGGCTGAGGGAGTGACCACATTTGTAAAGTTTAAGACTAAAGATGAATAGAGTTATCTTAAAATATAATCTTGTCGTGTAGTCATTTTTTTTTTTTTTGGTTGACATGTATTGTAAAACGTCTTTCTAAACTTAAAGCAGTCCAATATAAATTTATTTTTCCATTTGTCCATTTTCAAACTTACAGGACCACAGTGTTCAACTTACAGTGTATTTGATGGTGTTGAGACTAATCCTAAGACGGAACGCATACATGCATGTGCCACACAAAAGCAAGCCTACATCTCTTATCCGCAATTCCTTTTATACCACGGAATAAAATTTAGTGAGACTTTCACAAAATCTTTGTTACATAGTGTCCTTGTGACCTCCTATTTTATATTTTGATAGGACACAACTTTTGGGTTTCCCATAGCAAAACATGGACACCGCCATTCTTTCTATGATATTTAAAGCAATATAAATATGCGCTGCATGTTTGACGGAAAAAAATGTTGCAAATTTGTAATTAACTATTTTATTGACAGAAAAATAGAACATTTATTAACTTCTATTATTTATATTTGCTATGAAAGAACTTTTTATACGCTTTGATTGAAGCAAAATTGAATTATTGTCGTCCTGTACAATAATGATTTCTTATATAATACCGTATATTCAGTTATACAGAAATATTTCTTGTGTCACATTTTTAAACTTTATTTAGGTTTTATTGATCATAATGATTTAGATAACATACAGATTAATCATAATAACATATTTTACCAGCAAAATAAAATTCTCAAAAAATGCAGCTCATATTGCTTCAATTGTCCATCTCTTATCCGCAACTCCTCCTATACCATTGAATAAATTTGATATTTTTACAGATTTTTTTATTACATAAGGCAATTGTACACCACCTATTTTACTTTTTGATCCGACTCTTAGGTCTCCCAGAACAAAACATAGACTTTGCCGTTATATTCATGTGGGAGGGGGAGGTATATCATTTAGTGAGTTCGGTGCTCACAGTTCCATTTGTTACATGTAACACTATTCAACCGCAAAGGGCCATTTTCGAAAACTTATTAAAAGCGGAAAATGATACAAGTATCAGATATCGAGATATAGGTATGATTGTCTAAGAATTCTATGAATTTTGATAAGTTTTTGTGTAATAATATATATTTTCCTAGTCTCTGGGGTTTTGGCGGGGATGGGGGTTACACCATCCATTCGTTGGGTGTCTGTGATTAGAACTTTGGAAATGTTGACTTTCAACAAGACTGTAGATATCCATGCTTCATAAACTTGTTTGTCAAAAGTTTGTCTCAGTTTAGAAATTTATCGTATGTATACACTAAAGCATGCTCCTGTGCATCGAAACAACTGGGAGACATAAACTCCGTGTAGAGATGATAAGGGTTCATTACTACATAAAAAGGAAAGTTGACGATAGAAAATTTGGTCATCACGTTTATCATCAAGTTTTATTGTTAGGATTTCACGTCCTTTTCTAGTAAAATATCCAAAAATGAATCATAATGTGTCTGACTCTTATATAATTTATCTCACGTTCACTGGAATTTATAAAGTCAATATATGAATAGAAGTAACTAAATATTGTTCATTGATGATATGTCGTCGATATATCTAAGTGTCGAGTTGAAGGCCAAAGCTAGTCTTATCTTTTCTCATGTATAAATTTTTAAGAAAATCTGCATTATATGATTACACATAAATGTCTGATTATTACGGGACGTATTTAGTACCCATGGAAATGCCAATAGATTGTTAGAAAGCCTTGTCTCCCAAAAATAGATATTGCCAATCAGAACCTCAAACATCTTTTTAATATCATCTTCGAAGTACAGGTGTATACTTGTGTGTACGTAAGAATTCTTTTGACAAATTAATTCTGACTGTAAATAACCAATGACTTTGTAAGTTTTCTGAGTTCCATTTTTATTTAAATAAAAATAAAACCCCACTGTTTTGATGATAAAAATCCTTATCGTGGGAAATGGTCGTATAAGATGTTAAAAGTCGTACACGTTTCGTACTGTAGCGATATCATCGATTTCGGTAAAAATGTGTGATTTCAAATTTAAAAGTTTTCAAGTATCCACATTTCATTTTCTCCATCACTCGACCATACCATCAGACATGCATTTATTTGTTGAGAATAGCTTTAACAAATTTAGATTACAGGATACAAAGAATGAATCAACACTTTTATTATGCTCCATTAAGACAAAATTATATTGCATATTATATTGTATTAAAATTGTATCAATTTGTCAAAATTAATTATATTTTCCCTAGCTTTTCTTCAAAATTTGAATATTAAATTTTCTTTCCATTATGATTTAAATTATTAGTTCAGTTACAAAGTATAATTTACACACAAGAAGCCGTAAATATATTTAAAAAGTAGAGGCTAAATTTAAGAAAAAAATTATTTTGAAAACAAAATGGACAAAAAGAATCCATGGTTTGCAACGACGCACACTGAATATCACATTTTCACTTCTCGGAGTTACTTCTCTTTGTATACTTAACATTTTATTTTTTGCACAACCTGCTTAAAGGTTTAAAGTTAATATTTTCTATATAATATTATGACATATATATTTAAATAGCATTTCACACAAAAATAAATTAAAAATCATCTTATTTAATCTAAAATTTATAAAAATTCAAATTTTTAGACGGGTTTGATTGACAGTGATATCCTTGCACTTTAACAAATTTTGATTTTTATTCTTAATACTTAGGAAAAGTGGCAATCTTGTTCTGTATAAATGATAAAATGAAATATATTAAAACTATAATCCAGAAAAATCAGAGTAGAAATGTTCGAAAGCAAAGCATACACACAGTAAATTGTTAGTCCTTGCAATTGTGGTGAACAGACTTTAACAATTGAACGTTAAACACAATAACAGAGCTCGTGCCCTGTTTACAAAAACTGTGTACGTTTCACGGGTGTGTTCAATTTGCTTAACTCTGTACACAACACTTAGCTCGGAATGACGATACTTGTGAAGGAGTTTTGCTTTCTAACATTTCTACTCTGAATATAATTATTTTCCCGAATTAAAATTTTAATATTTTCATTAATACTCAACAAGATTGCAACTTTTCCAAATTGAAGTATTGAGAATAAAAGTAAAATTTATAAGAGTGATAAGATGTGTCAATCAAACCCATCCGAAAATAATGAAATAAAATTTTTCAGATATTTTTGTATGAAATGCTATTATAGTATATAAGTGATATTATACAGAAAATATTAACTTCAAATTTGTGTCCATGCACATTTAATGGAAAGTGACATTCAACTTCAACAAGATCCTTACTATACCAGTTGTAAACATTTATCTGGGGTGACGATAAAGAAGCCAGGGAGACAAAGTAATATAAAAACATGAAAAAAAGTCGAATAGAAATTTAAGAAAAAAAAGAGAGAAGGAGAAAGAGCAGCAATCATGCAGAGCTTAATTTTCAGGACTTTTTCGTTTCGAGTTGACACATGTTCCTGAAATCTAATAACATTGGATAATAATAAATAGCTTGGTATTTTTTCTTACAATAGATGAAGTTTTAACATATTTGGACCTGAAAAAGATGTTAATGGTTACCTTACAGTCAAGATTTATGATATAAGTGATGACTTCAATTTTTCAACCTCTAGATCCCTCTATTAAGTAGTGCTCAATATACCCTTATTGCTTTGGGGTTGATGTCTTTCAGATGATTCGATACGGAAGAGTATGATCTATATACCTATGAAAAATTTCTAAATCGAGTCAAGCTAATTGACAAACAATTTGATATTATTAGGCCATTATTTACAAACGAAATGAAATTGTGTAGAGAATTTCCATTTTTTCACGAGAATGAGCACACGATCGTTGTGACGAGTGGGCACGGGATGCTTAATCCTCCATAGCACCTGATCCCACCTCTGATGTTTTAGACTGAGGTCCGCGTTTACTCCGTCCCTGATTCGTATTGGACGCACTGCATGAAAAGTCGCGTTTAATATAATTTAATAAATTCGTTTACTCCAGTAAATTCCTTGTTTTGAATTTAATTTATGTATAACGGTACATTTTTCATGAGATATATTGTGATATAATTAACTACAGTTTTCAAATAAGTATAATCATATTTAATGCAAAATACGTCGAGAATAATATAGTTTAATTAAGAAGATTATACGTTTCGTTTAATAATATCGACATGTAAAAGTAAATATGCTTATACTTAAAGTTTAAGTATATTTTTGGTATAAAGATATGTCATAAATAATTCTTTATACTTAGTGTAAACTTATGTTGAAACATATTTGAAAAATAATATTTAGGCACCCTATTTATTTTAATTTATTCATTTCTCATTTTTAATTATTTAACCCTTATGTAGATTTTTCAAAACTGTGGAATATAACTTTGTTTTCTCCCTATCGACTACTACTGTAGTACAATTACATCGGGATCGAAGTCGGGCTCAAAAAGCAATTAATTTAAAAACAACACACCGCGCCGAAATTCAATTTTTTGGAGTGTTCCGAGCAGCCATGTTGAACTTCATCATGATGTTGTATGGGACAAAGGGGCGAAAGAGATTACACGAAAAGAAGAAGCATGATTAACTTTGGATGGAATTTCTGTTTTAACAGAAGATGAAGACAATTACGACCCTGTATAGCGGTAGGAACAAGTTACAATGTACGAAATTTTATCATGTGTCCTTGAATGAATAATTGCTTCTGCTACTGATAATATTACTGTTCTAGGCACTACACATAAAATGCCTGGCAGTAAAAACGTTTGGGCAAGCGCTATTTAAATTTTGTAATTATTATTTAACACTTTTAAACATCTCTCATAAAGATGGATTTTAACCAGAATTTCCTCGTTTGGGATTGGTTCCAGAATTTTAGTGTTCCTCTGTTCAGCATTTACAGAGTATGTTGTACAATGTAATAAAATATATATTTATTTCTTAATGCATACTCAAAATCATATTCAGCACTAGCGGATTGTGCGACTGCCTGAGACGATTCCCCACAGCGCCGGCTATGTGGACAGCTTGTGAAATAGCGGATTGTGCGACTGCCTGAGGCGATTCCCCACAGTGCCGGCTATGTGGACAGCTTGTGAAAATGGTGAGAACCATGCAGCTCTAATTTTCAATTAACACAAATAGCCTAACAATGTTTTTATTAACTTGTATCTTTTAGCATAAGACTATAAAAACACTGCAATAACTTGAAATGCTATATATACCAAGTGAACAAGATGAACTTAATTCCTTATCCTAAAAATACAAAAAGCAATGGATTCTGAGCTATGCATAAGTTTTCTTATGTTAAATACTTTAATAAGCATGATTATTAAAAATAGCTATCATATTCTATGATGCACAATTATGCATGCATTATTTACAGGAATCTAAATGATCACAAGAAATGACAAAAGCAGTATGAAGATTAACACAAAGGTAAGATTTCTTAAATTTTCTGATAAGATCAATAAAAGCACATGAGTTGATTTTTTAGCTCACCTGAGCCATTTTAAGACCAGAGCGAGTTTTCTGATCTGTGTCTGGTATTCATCTGTCATCTATAAACTTTTCATTTTTTTATTACATTCATCAGAATTAATCCTAGTTTGAACAAAAAACCATGCAGGATACATCTGTTCTTTCAGATATTGTGCCAGAAAAGTTTGAAGTGCTATGGGAATGATCAACATTGAACTTGCTGAGCCTTCCTTCTGAAAGTGACTTAACCAGATATTTGGCTACCCAGTATGAGGTACGTACTAATCATTTGTTGTACAACTTATTGTGTATGAGACTGCCACCATTTAAGGATTTTATTGTATGAATGTTATCTACTTGCTCTAATCATAAATACATCTGTTTGTATATTTTTTCTATGAAATGCCATATCTGTTTTTAATTGTTCATATTTTTTTTTAATCAACAGTATCTTTCTGCTAAAATGAATAAAATGTTGTGGAGGAACTCGAAGAAAAGGGATGCACATCTCAACATATTCAAGGTCAAGCAGGTAAAATACATTCATAAATTGCTCAAAAAAAAAATGACGAAAAGTCACCAATCCCCAATTTACATGTACTTCCACAAAATCTGTGGCTTGCTGGGGTGAAACTATAGATATATATGTCTTTATATGTACATGTAGTGATGGAACGATTGTCGGCGACAATCGATTGTCGGTCGTTAGAAGCTCTTCGATGCTACTAATCGATTATAAAATAAATGTCGCCGACATCGCTAACAAAAAATAAAATTGTCAAACTTTAATTTTATTACCAAATCCAAGTGCAAAGAGCATAAAAGTAGTGATGAATGTTGAAAACATGAAAGGATCCCGTGTCTTGTTGATACTTTTACCGCCATGATTAAATATGGGGTTAGACTAATACCAGGAAACGGTAATATTGCAAGTAAAGGAAAACATAATTAGTCTAGTCAATCTTTAAACGTAATTATAATCATAAATACAAGTCTAACATGAGGATAATTACTTTTACAACTTGCAATTTTAACTAATCAAAACTAATTTTAAGAAATAAATACGTACATGTATTAAATGAAAGGTGGGACTAATATCAGTAAAATACCCATTGCATGGACTTTATAAAAAAAAAAAAATAAATTCCCGTTCTGTTTCAATAGTCCTATATTGTTTAAAGCAGACAAAATATTATTTTCCACTTTTTAAAAAAGAAATTTCAATTAAAATTTTTGAAAATTTTATGTAAGTAAATGTTTTTTTTATGTAAAAGTCTGATAGAAATCTGAATAAGTTTTAACTTTTCTATATTAATTTTATTGAAGTTCAAAATTTCGATTATAATCGATTATTAATCGATTATGCCCAGCCGATTATTACCGATAATCGATTATGATTTTTTTCCGATTCCCCATCACTATTTATATGTTAAATGCTGTAAATGCTTTTCTTTGCAATTTCGTAAACTTTGTAAATCTTCAAATCCCATGTGCTCGGACTACGGTACCATTATGTATGTTTCATGTCATATTTTGTCGTCTTATAAATTTGATCTATACATATCTATATGTTTTTTTTATGTAATTCACTTAACTAAATGACACATAGAATCTTTTTCATTGTTTAAAATGCTATTTTCTTGCTTTAGTCATGTTAGTCATAAGTACACCCTGTTTGTATATTTTTTCTCCTTTTTTATATATTCTTTGTACGGAGAGCCATACCTGTTATTAATTTTTCATACTTTGTTTGTTACAGCTTTTTACTTCATTCATTGTATCTTGCTGCTAAATGAAAGAATTATTGTGAAGGAACAGAGAAAAGTGCACTTCAACATGTTCAATGTCAAGCAGGTAAACATAGGGCCATCCTTAAAAAAATGTTTGTTTGGAATTGCCGCCTGGGGGTTTTCAGACCCTGGAGGGAGCGAGGGATTTTATTTTTTTTTTTTCAAATTGAAGATAATGATAAAAAAAAATAAAATCCCAATGAACAGTGGTGATTTCCATTTATTATCCTCTTTTTTTATTTAATTAATATTATTTGGTCCGATTTGGAAAAAAAAGATATACACAGAACGGAACTCAAATATTAATCTCATTTAGATGTTAAGATCTGTTCATTTATTAATACATGTAGTTAAATTTCAGCATCAAACTTGTAGTTTATTTTAAGAATTTTTATTAAACAATACTTTTATCAGTCTATTTCGTAGTATTTCTCTTTGAAATTTACCCCTTTGTTAAGACAACGCTTGCAAACAGTTTGAACCACACACAATTTCTTAGGAATAGTTGGGATGTTTTGTGGAAAACTGGGAGGGGGTGCTTGGTATGTTCTCGAGTTTTCACCATGCATCAATTTTAACATTACGTTTCAAAGACTTGTCATACTGACAGACAACATTTAGTATTTGGGATAAAACATTTCTCATCCATATAATTTTTTAAGGGATGTGGGAACTGAACGATCATTTTTTTCGACGTGACGGACTTAACTTATCAACTTCAATGTGCAATCTATTACAATAGCTCTTCCCAGGTATCGATGTATCATTCCATTTAATTTTTTATTCACCTTTTATTTTTATAGAGATGCATAAATGTTCTGCTCTTCAGCACAACGCTTGAATGTTTCCAACATGGTCTGACATTTTGGCGGCTTTTATTTTGTCAAATCGCCACCTATAATCGCTATATCATAAATACTATGAAGAAAGCGTTTTATTGACCCGAGTTGTTAAATTATTGTGAGCTCAAACCCGACTTTAAAAAGCTATTTCGATGAGCGAACTAACTTTTACTAAACAATGTAAGACGATAAAATGATAAAAAAAATATTGTTAATATTTTGCCAATAAAATTTTTTGAGCGGGTGGTATTTTAATGAGGCGGGCGGCAATTCCAAACAAACTATAATTTTATTTTGGCCTAGTGGTAAAATACTCAAAAAAGAAGATGGCAAAAAAATCATTAGTCCCCAATTTACATGTTTATCAACACTAGCTTCAACTGTAGCTCACTGGCCTGAAATTATAGCTAAGTATCTGTCTTTATTACCCAGACTTGAAAAAATGGCATAGTCTTTTGTGGTCTTCTGTAAATTTTTTAATTACTTAAAATTGAGCTGTGTTTTCTCTAGGTCAATTGATAATTTTACAATCAACTCAGATTTTGTGTAATAGTTAATATATGCAATTGCATAAATCCAGAAGCACACATATAATATGTATGTATAGGCAAATAGGTATTTATTTTTATGTTTGTTGTAGAAATTAGGAGCCAGATGTGCTTCTCCAGAGCTGAAAACCTCTTGGCAAGAAGAGAGGAAAAAGCAGGAAGAAGCAGATTTAAATATTGATTGCGTCTTCATAGTACAAAAAATGATTCTAAAGATGATACTATCTATGAAATTAGAAAACTGACGTGGCGTTCTGATGATTGTGAGAAAGTCTTCAAAGAACAGGACACCAAAAGTGCCACTCTCAAATCAAAGCACTCTAAAAGGCAGAGCATAAGAAGAACTAGGACAAATAAAGAATCTAAAAGAGTCAAACCTATGGATGTAGTAATTGAACAGAGATGGGCTATTAGAGATGAAACATATCTGAGTTGCTACTGTTTTGCACAAATTTGATGCTTTTTTAGACTTTTAGACTTGACTTTTTAATTGACACATTCAATGTTATATAAGAAAAATATACCTTGTGTTGCAATTTTTTGACAGTGAAAGTTTTCTATGATGCTTGATTATAGATTAAAACTGTTATGTTTTTTTTTATTGTTTAAACATTTATTGATTTATTGTGTAGTATGCAATCTAGTGTTGTAAAATCGGACAAATTTTACTATCGATTATCAAATTGAATCGGAAGAACACAATCGATTATATAATCGATAATTTGAACTATTAAAATAGGTTAAATTTATTCATTCAGCACGAGTAGAATTCCATGACATGTGACCGCGAACTTCAATTTATCTTTATTGGCATACGACTTTTTACACAATTTACAAATAACCGAGTCCATCTGTAAATTATTTTTGCATGGAGGCCCATCGCCCTTTTTCCGAAAGCCAAAAAATCCAAACTTTAGGTCGTGTTGCACCAGGATATGGATATAATTCGGCGTCAACCTCTTCACCACGCACGCTCGCCATTTTGTTTACCGCCGATTAGAGTGACATCCCTTAGGTATAATATAAAAGTTAAACCTCATCAGCTTGAAAAATACGGCTTGCAAAATATAGCGATCTATCGATGATAATATTTACAATCGATTGTCGCCGATCTGGGCCTTTAAACGACGATTTTTCGATAGTCGGCGACTATCGTAACAACACTAATGCAATCACATACACTTTTATCTTGATTTATATATTACATATATGTACAAGTCTGACTTGAATATAAGTGCATGGACATTATTGTGGAAAAAAATAAGACAATCAAGGGTAGTCTGAAAAAGTTTTGCTGGCAGTAAGTTGCAGATCTTGATACCCAAGTAAGAGAAAGGTGGAGTCTCTGACGGATCCTTTTGCTGTTGCTTGTGGGCGAGTGAGGCTTCTCTGTCAGTGGCTTAGTGAGTCATAGATGTAAAAAATAGAATAGGCAAATGAGGTAGAGACATTTCTGAGTAAAAAAGGGGTGTCCGTGAATTGTGATTTTAATAAATATTACAATTAATATTGGCAGAGTAATGAGAATTGCAAGAGTAAAATATTGATTTGTTTCCTTCCATTTGAAGTAAGAGAGCTTATGACGAGAATCTTTTTCATTAAAATGGAATTGTAATTAAGGCTTAAAAAAATTTGTTAAGATACTTGTACATATGTTTATACAGGACTTTAATATGTGCATGTTTCAGAGCTCATCCTTGATATTTTAAGGCAAAGTTAAAAATATCACTGTTGAAATGTCTGGCATTCTAATGTAAAGTTGATTTAATGAGGATATGTTGATTAAGTTACAATCATCAAGCAATATGCCTAGCAGTTGGAACAGAAATGGGCTACATGTATTGGAAACAAATTTAAGCTGCTTTGTGTGTGATACTTTTTCCTTAATTTGAATTGACATAACCAAATGATATAAAAGATTTTTTTGGTTATTGTATTTTTCACAGTCTGAACTTGAATAATTAGTGCATGGACATCTATTGTGGAAATACTTGGGGAACAATAAAAGGGTGGTCTGAAAGAGCTTTGCTGGCAGTAAGTTGCAGATCTTGATACCCAAGTAAGAGAAAGGTGGTGTCTCTGACCGATCCTTTTGCTGTTGCTTGTGGGCGAGTGAGGCTTCTATGTCAGTGGCTTAGTGTGTCTTATTAAATGTACATGTAAAAAGAATGGACAACTTTTATTGGCAACTTTTATTCTTTTTATGCAAAGTATGATTTAATTTTTTGTGGGAAATTGAAAAGCCATTTGCAACCCATGGAGCAGTTTTAATAGGGTCAGTTTCAGTCACAGATTTTGCAGTCTTTTGGAGTCCAGAATGAC